AGTTAAACCTATAGCCTTTAGATTATTAGGAGCACTACTTACTACTAGACTATATAGAGCAAGAGGACTAAAAGTTCTTGTTTTTTTTAGACCTATAGACCTTTATAACGTGTGTGCGCATATCTATTAGTTAGAGCCTTATCACCTACTCTACTGTCAGCTTAACTATACACAGGCTAGCGCGCACAGTACTCTCGGGTTGTCAAGGGGGGGGCATTATTAGCTTGTCTATAGACTCCTTTTTTTAGGTGTCTAGAAAGGCCCTAGATTAGTATAAGATATAAAGAGATAAGGGACTATTAACTAGTATTCCTACTAAGAACATATAGTCCTATTAATAGCTAGATTTATTAACTAGTATTAGTAATCCTAAGGCTAGAGGATTGCCCTTATATAGAATAGAGCCTAGTTATATACAGCCTAGATAATAATAGAGGACTTTACTAGGCAAGAGATAGAGGTTATTAATTTTTCCCTATACTTACTAGATTTTAACCTTATTAAGCCTTGTTAGAACTAAATAAAAGACTATGTCTAGATCTATTATAGGTATATCTAAGGGTAAATACCCTACTAGAAGCTATATAGGTAGGTTAGAGAGGCCTAGGATGCCCTTCTAAATAAATACTTATAAGGATATTGCTGATGGGTTAGCGATATGGCACCTTATAAGGTCATGTGTGGTGTAGTCCTAGCACAAAGTGCCAGAACTGGCGGATCTTTTGGTCTATTAGGCGAATTAGTACACCACCCGATTCTGTTACAATTGTTCTGGCACTTTTGTGCTAGGACTGCACCACACATGACCTTATAAGGTGCCATATTGCCGACCCATCGGCGATATCCTTACAATATTACGCCTAGTAGCTCTATAGTATGTATAATAAATGCTAGGTAGTAATTAATATAAATAGAGGGCATACAAGATAGTGAATTTTAGCTAGGTAGAAGGGGGTAGAAAATGTTGTGGTTTCTATAAATTATGTATGTGTAGGTATATAACATTACAGAGGTACTTTACCTACCCCTATTACCCTATATATAGGTTACAGCTCTACACTACCTACTAGGGAGTTTATACTAACCTATTATACGTAGTAGGTCAATATAATAAATACACTATAGTTAGTATTAAAATTATATTAACTAAAGTAAGTAACAAAAGAAGCTTTTATAAAACTTTCAATAACTTATTAATTCTAAATTAATAGGTAATACCCCTCCCTATATTCTTTCAAGATAAAAAAGTACTTAAAGACAAATCTAATCCTATAACTTAAGAGGCTGTCCCTACATAATCACACTACTTACACCTAACTTACTCTCTCCTACAATCAATCTTCTACTTAACATACTTCATAATGAAGGTCCCCTTTATCCTTAGTCTTGCACTTGTTGTTGCCCAAGTCCAGGCAACTTGTTATGAATGCACGTATGTAATCTACTTCCCCTTTTAACTTGTTTAATACTAACTAAAAGAAGTTGTTGGACACGTAATGCGCAGAGGATAATGGAAATTAATCCTAGTGATACAAGAGCTATCTGTAGCAGAAAAGGGGGCCGAATGGGTCATGGTTACTGTATTATTGACATCCATGGTGACTGGCATGGTGATGGGTGGCTGAATGTAAGTTAAGCTAGCCTTAATTGCGTTTGCTTTTGTACTAACTTTCTAGTCATGTCCTTATAGTGGCGACTGCGATCAAACATCTGAGAACCTGTGTCACTAGTGGAACAGTGCAGGAGTTTGCTATTTCTTTGCTCTAACAGCCTTGTCAGTAGCGTTATTACTAAAGCTAATTTATTAACTTAAGTTATAAGCAAACTTAAATAAAGGCTATTTATATTAAAGTGCTATATTAGTAGTAATACCCTTAGGTGATTGATTGCTCTGTTATGTGTGTATATTTTACTATGCTATAGGGCTATTACTAATTAGCCCCTTTTAAAGTGGTAAATACATTGATTATTATTTTCCCTTAGTTTAGGTAGAGAAATCTATCTAAGAAATAACTAGTGTATTCCTAGCTAATTACTTGACCTTATACCTAGGTATTTATAGCTATTTTGCCTATATTAATACGTACTCTTAGATTAAGAATATTTAAAGCCTTTAATCTAGCCTTTAATTAATAATAGTTATCTATAGTTATAATTACTTATTATTATTTAGTAATTACTAATTTATTATAATAGTTATAGTAACTATAATTCACTTTTATTTACTTATTTAGTTACTTAAATAACTAACTAAAACTAAAGTATATATAGTTAAGTAGTATTACTTACTACTTAATAGTATAATATAAAATAGTAACTTATAATAAAGCTTTAAGATTTAATTATAAGTAGAGGTAAAAAGACTTAATTATAGTTATTAGTTATTACTAAGGTAGTAATATAGTTAACTATATATATTAATAGGTAGTAATAAATAATAAGAGGTAAAAACTAGTTCTAAATTATATATAAACAGGGAAACTATTATAGAATTATATAATAAAGTTACTATATAATATACTTATAGGTTTAGTAAATCTATAGAGAAATTACTATAAGATTCTTAAGAGATTTTATAGTAAATTAGCTATAGTTATTATAGTTATTATTAGTATTAACCTATACTACTAATATCTAAGTAATAGCTAGTATTATAACACTAGTAACTTTCTAAAGTGCTATAAATTATCTCTATTTTGTAGTTATTTATAAAAGACCTAAAAACATAATAAAAATAAAAAGCTAAAAAGTATTTAATACTTTTTATATATATAACTTATTATATATATAAAACCTATTTATTTATTTATATCTCTAATTAACTATTATTAACTAATAACTTTAGTGCTTTATTTAGTAATAACTTTATAAATCTATTTACTAGGTTATCTTCTCTTTATATATATTAGATCTTATAGATCTTATATTACTTATATAACTAGTAAAGCGCTATAATATTAATTATAAGTTACTTCTTTTTTATAGTACTAAGCTTTATAAGGCACTTATAAAGAAAGTATAAATTAGTATAAAAGATTATTAGGATTTTTAGTAGCTTTAGGTAGTTAGTAATTATTATAAGTATAGTACTAATTATATAAGTAATATTAGTACTAGTAACTATACTATAGGCCTTAGAGGCTAGTGTATTATATATAACTTTTTTATACTTTATTAAGCTAAAGTAAATAATTTTATTAGTAAGAATAAATTTCTTATTATTAGTAATAAGTTATATAATATTACTTTTACTAGTAAGTATATGTAAAGGTATGGGTGGTGTGCCACGCCTGTCAATAGACCATTCTGGCATTACCAAAAGATCAACCAGTTCAGGCACTAAGTGCCTGAAATGCACCACACATGGCCTTATAAAGGGTAACCAGGCCAACCCCTTACAGTATAGTAATAAAGCTATACTATAAAGTAAAACTATAGTTATATATTAATAACTATTAATAAAAGTAAAAAGCTTTATAACTATAAAACTAATTAGCTAAAAAGGTAAGCTATAAGAAGGTAACTTATTTACTATTAAATTTAGTAATTAAGAGCCTTAATCTTTTTCTTTATAGGCTTTTAGTATTATATAGTAACTAAATAGTTAAAGTAAGCCTTAAGCTAGTAAATAAATATAATATATACCTTATAGGCCTTTTACTAAATAAAATCTCACTTAGTAGTAAGTAAATTTATATTAATAAGCTAAAGCTTTTTACCTTAATCCTTTTAGTAAAGGTTTATTTTACTATTATAACTAAAGAAAAGTATATTACTATTAAAAGTAATAAAATTATTAATAATTAATAGTTACTTAGGCTTTATAATAAAAGTTACTTTTTTAAGCTTTCTTTTTTTATAAGTAGAGAATTTATTATTTATAACACTAATTATATTATCTATCTATATACTAATAAGGCTAAAATTCTTATTACTAAGTAATAAAATGAGTAAGTAGAGGTTAAAGGCTAATAAATCTATTTAAAGATTCTCTTTATAGTAGTAGTTATATATAGTCTATATATAAGTACTTACCTTAGTAATACTATAAAGTAGCTTTATTACCTTTATAATAAAGTCTTTAAGGTAAAAATAGTAAATTTATATAAGAAGTTTTATAAAAAGAATATAGTTAAGTAGTCTTATAAATTATATATATACCTAGGTAATATTATATAACTAAAGGTAAAGTCTATATTATAAGAGTAAAAATAAAAAGTAAGAATTAGTTATTAGGCTATTTATTAGATTATAAGTAACTAAATAAGAATTATCTTTTTATTATTATTAGTATAGTCTTAAATAACTAACTATAATTTCCTATATAGTTATTTACTTTTCTTTTAAACTATATATACTATATATAAGTTAAAGATCTATATATTTCTATATATTTTCTTATTATAAGTAATAATATAAAATATATTTTAGTTAATAAAGGCTTTTACTTTTACCTTATTAGATTCTTTAAAGGGCTTACTAGGCGTAGTAATAATACTTTTTTTATATAGTTCAATTATAACTATATAGTTAGCTTTTTTCTTTATAGTAAGGTATATATTAGAGATATTAATAGTAAGGTATATGTTATAAAAAGGGTACTAACTATAATAATATCCTTAGGCTAAGGGGTAAAATACTTGACTTTCGCTAACTTCTAACAATCTGACAACGAGACGCTATTCGAACGCAGATATCCGCCCGCACGCTCCGAAGTCATCATTCAATAACAGGTGGGGAAGAGTCATGGGCATGGTTTGGTGGTGTTGGCGTCGTATCACGAACTCCGTCAAAACTCAAGCAAACTCCCTCATAATTACACTGCTCTTCTACAACGGAATAAAGCAACCCGAGATGAGTGATAAAACACAACTTCGCAGCGCTTGGTAAAAGAAAAGGTTCATCAGGTCGTCAAGTCATGGCGCAATCATTCGCCCGCGCCCGTCTCGTCTCGTCTCCCGTTTCCCTTCTTTGGCAGGTCCCATCCGCCACAGTCCGGACTACCCGGCGGTGCTTTTCAGCAACAAGACCAGGTTCGCAACCACCATGACAGTGATCATTAGCCAGATCAGCACGGCCAGCACCGTCACCCACCAAGAGTTGGCCATCTTGACGCCCACAGCGCTGAACCGCCTCGCCGGTACGATGCCGGTATCGCACCCGTAGCTCGCGGCGCCAGGGACGACCGTCATGTATTTGTCGCGCGAGGTGAAGTAGATGAGGGGCGCCGTGATGACGGGCAGCACGGTGCCGAGCACGACCTGCGTCCCCGTCAGCGCGTTGCTGAGCCCTTGCCGGCCTGCGAGGGCGACGACGACGACGGTGGGCACGATGCTGATAAGGCGCGTGACGAGGCGGCGGAGCCACGGCCGCACGCGCCAGTTGAGCGCGCCCTCACTGACGAGCTGGCCCGCGATGGTACAGACCAGCCCCGCCGAGACACCGGACAGCAGCAGGGCGAAGGCGAAGATGATGCCGGCGGCGGACGAGATGCTATTGGCCAGGAGGTCGTGCATGCCGAAGATGTCCGGGGCGAAGGACGTCTTGCCATGGTACATCGCGGCGCCGGCGACGATGAGGATGGCAGAGTTGACGAAGAGGGCGAAGATGAAGAGGGATAGGACGACCTCGGCGATGGAGAACTTCATGCAGTGCTGGATGGCCGCCATGGAGGGGAAGTAAAACACCTTGCGGTAGCTGCCGTCCGTCATCATTGTGTCGGACCGGGGAGTCTCCTGGAAGTTGCCCTCCTTGGTGTCGTACTCCTTGAGGCGGGACTGCACGACACCGGAGCCGAGCTGGATGCTATGCGGCATGACCGTCGCCCCCAGGATGCCGCAAGACTGGTACAGACTGAGTAGTTGAATATGTTAGCAGGGGTAATGCTCTCCAGGAGAGGTGTGGGATGGGGCTAGGCTGCTGCCGCGTACCCATGGTTCTCGATGATGGAACTGGATGGGAGATATCCCCGGAAAACTTGGCCGATTGTCGTGTTCTCGATCAGAGAAAGCTGGATGCAGAAACAGACTACGACCCCGAGCACCAAGATGCAGACGCCAATCTCGAAGATCCTCAGCCCCCGCATCGAGCCGTCGGGCCGGTAAAAAACCACGATAAAGATCACGTCGAGACCCGTCAAGGTGACGCAGGCGATCAGCGGCAACCTCGGTATTAGCAAGTTCAAGGCCGTCGCCGTGCCAATGACGACGGCCATGTCGGTCGCGATGATGGCGACCTCGGCGAGGGCGTAGATGATGATGTTAAGCCACTGGGGGAGGAACACGCGGTTTGCGGTGGCCAGGTCGAGGCCCGTGATTGTGCCAAGCTTGATAGCGAGGCTCTGAAGGAAAACCGCAACAATGTTGCTCAGCAGGACAATGAATAGGAGGTTGAAATGATACGATGCGCCGGCGGCGATGTCGGTGGCGTAGTTCCCGGGGTCGACTGCGGAGGAGAGTCAGTCCCCGTATGGCTCCTACACATCTGCTCTCTTCGACTTACTGTACGCAACAGCGATCATGAACCCGGGCCCAATAAATTTTGCAAAGGTGACGAGGTTGTCCCATTGCCGGGTTGTCCACTTGGGCTGCTCCTTGTCAAACCCGTCATCTCGAAGAGGAAATGTCGGTTTCGACAATAGAGATAGTGGTTCCGGGTCGTCTATCTTGTCTAGTTTCTTGGGCGTCTGGCAGAAATCGGTGGTGCTCTCAGACGTGCCCGGGGGCGAGACGAGCGTCTCGAGCACTATGTAGTCGGGAGGCACATCTATACTCAACCGTCTAGCATTCGCGCGCGACCGCCCGTGCAGCGTCTGATTGATGGTGTAGTCCGCTGTGAAGAGGTTGGTGCTGATATCCTCCCCTTTCTGGGGCTCGCTCAGCCAGGTAGGCTTCATGGTATCCCTGGTAACAGCGAGCGGCGTTGTGCAGGTTCGCGAGGCTGCACTCCCCGTGGGAGGTGATTAGAGTCGATGGAAGCAACAGGTGGACAGGAAAGACCTGATCAACTCACCATGAGGGCGCTTATGAGCGACAGTGCTTTTGTTTTATACGGCGACTTCAAAGGGGGAGGCAAAAAGACAAAAATGTTTCCCAGGGAAGAGAGCAGGAAACGCGGGTTTTGTTATATCACAAGAGACAGAAGCCGGAAGCAGCCTCCGAACGACAATGGATCCCAGGTAACGGTAGGGCTCGCCGAAAGCGGCACTGTGAGGGCGTACGGCACTTGCGTACGAGACCCCGATTCGTCATGGGCTCGCCGCGGAGAGCTGGCCGAGCCTGCGGGCTTCTGGGAATGATAAAGGTCTCTCTCCAAGAAGTTGTCTCGCCACAAGTCCTGGGCTACGCCTCGAAAGAATGCTTCTGGACCAAATCTTGAGACCTTCTGCTTGTCTTTGGACTAGCCCAATGCAGGACATATGCCAAGAAGATTCGGCGTGGGATGGGCATGGAACAAAAAGTCGACGATTATGGCATGGTATAGACATAGGCAGTGGGCTTGGAAGGATAACTGCATGAACGTGTGGCGTAAGAGAGACGCCAACCATGCTATGTAAATTCTCATTTTCTGGTTGGTCTGACTAGAAGTGAAGGTTCCTCGGTCTTTGGTCGCCAAGGCATTCTGGGCAGCCGTACTCTGTTGAAGGCTGATCTCTGATTCTTGGCGGGCCGGTTTGGGCTGAACTCTGCCGGCCGGCCGTTCTCTCTCTTTTCTTCTCGGTAAATGGGTGCATGCATGTGGCAAGCCAGCTCACCGGGCTGACCGGTTTTAACCGGAGTACCGCATCTCCTTCCCCGTCCCCGGCGGGACCGTGCCTGCATGACTCCGTACACCCCCCTGTCGTCCGGTCTTGCGCTGCGGCCCCGACTCGGACGGAATGTGGAGAATCATGGTGCTGTTGAAGCTGGGCCTCTTCTCACCTTTACCTGACCTTCTTGGTGTCCTTGCCGGCGGCGCGCTCGCGATCTCTCTTGGCGTAGATGCCAGCAGTGAAAGGGTTCTCGTATCTCAGGGCTACCTTGTAGACACCGAAGACCCAGATAGTCAGCAGGATGCCGGCAGGCTTGCCGTAGATGAGAGCGGCACCGAGGAAACTCATTGTGGAACCATTGTACATCGGGGCATCGGTGATGTTGAAGGGGAAACCAGTCACAATGCCGTCCATGAGGATGCCGAAATAGTCACCAAGGAACGTGCCGGTAATGCCCAGCTGCCACGTTGAGGAGAGAACGAGAATGTTGCCGCAGGCGACAAGGGCATATCCCACATAGGTCACTGCATCGGACGAGAGCAGAGGATGCGTGGGTTGGAAGCGAAGAGCCCGTTCGTAAAGCAGGTCACGGAAGATGCCGAGGGAGAAGATGGTAACCGCCAGGCCGTAACAGGCAGCCTGCGACCGTCCGCCAAAGAGCTTGGTGAGGACTTTGTTCTTGTACTCTGGGGTGGGGAGAGAAGATCGGGTTAGAGGGGCAGCACTACCAGGCACGACAGCAAGAGTGTGACGAACCTTGTCTCGCGACGATGCTACGCAGCTGTCAGCACATACTACTTGACTGGGAAGCATTGGGGGGAGAGTAACTTACTTCCAGAACAGCGGGTTAAATGCAATTGCGGCGGCGGAAACTGTGTGCAGCCCGTCAGCAAGAAGGTCGACGAGGTGAGAAGTCGCTGGGGAAGGCCCAAGCTCTAGGAGGGCGGTATGTCGTACTGTACAAGCTCTTCTGGTCGAAGTCGACCAGAGCCTTGCTTTGGAATTCGACTGGCGCCATGTTGTGTTCGAGTTAGGGATGAGTTCGGAGTGGTTATTGCTGAAGAAGAAATTAAAAAATAAAATAAAAATGAATTGGGGAAATGTCGGGGTTGGGTTCCTCTCTTGCGCTCTTTTTCGAGGAAGAAGCGTTGAGGACAGACAGGAAAATGGAGGAAGAAGTGGTAGGAGCAAGTCACTTGCTTGTGACAGAAGCTTGCTCCACCCAAGTATTTATGTTGGTGGGGGCCGCTTGGCCATAGCGCCTTCGTCATCCACAGTAATAACGCATGGGCGCACCTGCTTTTCTGGGGGTTCGGCAGCCTTCGGGGGCTGGGGTTAGGGAAAGAAAAGCTTCCATGTCGGCCGCCGTTATGTGATCGCTTGGCGCCGAAGAGCCTCCAAAGAACAAGCCAAGGCCCGTTTGTGGAACCGTTGTACGACTATCGGAATATCTGTCGTTTCATTCTTTCTAAATGGCTAGGTGAAATAAATAGCAAGTGCCGCAACGCCTGGACAAAACAATTCGCAACATGGGGGTATCAACCGCATCCTCAAAACACTCGGAACACAGAACCGTTCCCTCGGAGCTGGGAAAGCCAGAAACAACGCTTGAGCACCGTGTCACCTGCGATTCCTAGTCTTCTTGGCCACGGTGCCCGTGTCTTCCTCCTCGTCGTCCTGGCCCTTCTTCAGGTCCTCGGTCAGGCCCCACTCCTCCTTGTCGTACCAGTCCTCGCCATCCGACATGTCCCGGTTCGGTCCGCTGTGCGCCTCTGCCTTGGACCAGTGAAGCACAGTCTTACGCAGTCGGTTGGCCTTGAGGAGACCTTCGTGGAGCTTCATGGCACCGCGGCAGACCTCCTCCTGCTTCTGCACGTACAGTGCCAGCAACCGGCGGATATCCTCGGCCTCGGCCTCTGGCAGACCCACATCTCGGTCTGGACGAGCGTTGGGCGGCGGTCGGAAGAACGGGTGCACAAATGTTTCGTCTACCTCTTCCGATGCTATTGATGGCGCATGCGTTCCGTTGTGGTCCAACATGTCCGTTCCGGGCTGCGACGGAGGAGCCGCGTTACCCTCGTGCATTTCGACATCGACAGCCTTTTGCTTCTGCTTCTTGTCGGCAATGCTCTCGTCGGCTCCCGCTTTCTGGGCAATGTCCATCCTTGATGTCTGACCGTTGGTTGGCCGAGAAGCCTCGCCTGCGGTAGGTGTGTCCACCTTGGCCGACTTGTCGTCTGAGCCTGCATCAGCCATGGTCACGTCCCCGTCGCTGCTCTGCTTGTCACCAGAAGACTCTCCGTTCGTGCCGTTTAGCGCTCGCTCCGGTTTCGCGTCACCGTTTACTGTTCCGGAAGCAGCGGCCTCGGTTTCTCTCGAGGCGAGAGTTTTTGTTTTGCGCGCGTAGCCGCGCTCCACATAGTCGCTTGAGTAGAGATCCGCGTCGTCAGGCCCAACCATCATGCCGCATGGCACCCATGTGTAGTCGCCGCATAGCCTCGTGAAGAGATGCCTTACCCTCCACAGAGATGCGTTCTCCTTGCGTCTGACTTGACAGCTTTGCTCAGCGATCTCGTCTAATGTCTTGGCGGTGAACGGCTTGGAGAGGGTAGGGTGGCTTGGAAGGTCGGTCGAGGCAGTCAATGGAGCTAGGATCTCTGGAAGAACAGGGTCAGCTATGTTGCTCCGGGGTCGATCAGAGAAGACTAACGCTCAATTCGAATGTTGGCATAGGGGTCGAGCTCGGTGGCCGCAGAGACGGCCTCCTGGATGCGCTCCTCCTCGTCGTCACTGTCGATCTCGTATCCCTCGTCGTCCACAATTGGTGGGTTGCGGCTGATGATCGTGCGCTGCTGTCCAGCATAGTCGATTACCTGCAGTCGCCAGTCAGTCAGTCATTCCTGATCGGAGACCAGTTGGCCAGCGAGCGAGTGGGCAGAGGCGCGCAACGCACTTCATTGTAGACTTCAGGACCGGAGGGTGGTGCGAGTTGACCCTGGTGGGAGAAAAGGGCACGCTTTTTAAGCTTGTGTCCACGGTTTCCGTAGTGGTCAATTTCATCGTCCGAGTCGGATTCTGTAAAGCTGCCTGTCAGAACGTGTACGGACAAGGGCGACGGCGAGGTCGACGTCGAGAGGGGATTCCGGGGAGGGCCTACCATAGCTTTTCCGCTTGAGAGCCTTTTTCATAGCGGCTACCGTTTCGGCAAAAAGGATCTGTTGTGTAGCCATTGCGCCGTGTTGTCTGTTGCTCCTGGCGTCGTGCCGGAGCGATCACGGAGGTCGGTCGGTTGGTTGGTCGGTGGTGAGGAAGGAGGAAGACGCGGGCGACGACGAGGGGGAGGACGTGGTTGACGGGCGTTTTCGAGCAAAGAAAGCAAAAAGGTTCAAAGAATTAAGGTCGGAGCAGAATTCGCGGCGAGATGTGATCGAAAGGGAGTCATTTACGACGTCGGAGAAGCAGGTGGTGTGGTGTGGGAGGAGGTGTAGGACGGGTAGCCCTCAATTTCTGCGCGCAGTCTCTGTGACGAGGCGGGAGGAGAGGCACCACGCGGGCGGCAAGGCTGTCTGTCTTTCGGTTTCCTCCAGGGCACCTTTCGGCCATGGCTCGCTGTGAGCGCGCTCGCGCTTCCGCTCTTTTACGGTGGGGCCCATGACAGCATCTGCATCTCCAGCCAATCATAGGTCATGTTGCTAGTAAACCCACTTGAGTCTACCCGACGACGAAATGCCCTGGTGCCAGCTGGAGGGCGGTGGCGAGTGCTGGCCAGGATACGTACCTACTCTCTGCGAAAGTCACTGTACGGTACGGATACAGTGAGATGATGTTTACCAGGTACCGGCAAGCGGAGTGTAGTGGGCTGGGATCGCTGGAAGGGAGCTTGCGGCACCTGGGACATGTACTCTGTCTGCACTCTGTCCCGCTCGCGGAGGAGAGAGACTCTTGTTTGCGCGCTTCCCACTTGAACGAAGCTCCCACACTTCGCGACAATTCCTATTCTTCCTTTGCTGCGTTTTCTCCCGCCGCCAAACATACGATATCCTAGTCCCGGCGACGATGCTCCCTTGAGCACCACCATCCGTACGTGTCACCGGAGCTTTACAAGTACGTCGCTGGCCCTTGCATACCAGAGCTTTGCGATACGGCCGACTCCCCGCGAACCGAATCGCTATATTCATGGCCGCCTACCCCGTGTGCCATAGAACCTCTCAAAAATGGACGGATACCCAGTAGGAAGCCTGGATCACAACATCCCGCACATCGTCCTCGCCGGCTTGACGTCAAGTCCTACACGAGACCTGCCTCTGAACGCAGAGCTTCGAGACCAGGCCATCCTCATTCGGTCAGAACTGCCGAGTATTCAAGGCAAAGATGCTGAAGCTCTGAAAGACTACGTTGTGCGCCAGGATGGGAGAAAGCAGCCTTGGAATGGGAGGGACAGCGGGAAACCGTACAAGCTGCGGGTCACCGTCGCTGGTCGAGTATGGCTTACATCACCATGTGTCCTGTCGGGACTAACTCCTGCATAGTCTCTTGTCCTTCCTCCCCGTCGCGCCAGGCTTCCAGACGGCCTCGAGGCACCTGAGACGCCCGCAGTCTTACACTCGCCTTTTTCACCCCTGAGTCCGGCGTCGCCTTTGTATCCCGACGGCTTGATGAATACGGATTGGCTTCAGAAACATGAGGATATGGTCCCCAGTGTCTACGTGTCATGCTACACCTTGACGTCCGATCCCACTCTAGCGATGCTTCACGATAACCAGCTCAAGACCGACGTCAACACCATCAAAGCTGCTCTCAGCAGGTCGGGCTACAGGACGCGTTTTGCCGTGGTTCTCATGAGTGACGGTACCGTGCCCTCTTCTATGCAAGAGTTCATGCAGGACCGTCTCGACAACATCAGAAAAGGCGTTGCTCTGGACACCAAGTCGTTCTTCTACTTTTCATCTCACGACTTGTCCAAAGACTTGGAACATGCAGCAGATTCTATGCTGGCAGCCGTCTTCCTTCAGGCCATAGAGTACTACCGCGATCTCGGTCGTCATGCTAGGAAGAAGCGCAGCCGAGGCGTCGCTCCCCAGCCCACGGTGCCTCCTACAAGCACCTCACAAACACTGACGGTGCAGGACTGGAATGTGCGATATGATTACAAGACGGCCATCTTCGCCGAGTATCGCCAGGAAATGGATGCGGCTCTACGCTCATACGACCAGGCCTACGAAGGACTTCTCAGTCAAGATGTGATGGACATCATCCCCAGCTGGAGTCCGAGATGGAACGAGGCGCGGATGCTAGCCGATTTCATTGCCATACGTAGCATGCGATGCTTGCTCTGGGCTGGACAGACTACGGCTGCAGCGCGGAGGTGGCAAATACACCGGGAAAGGATGGCGGATTTCGTTGACAGGCGTGGCCGAGGGACCAACAATTATGGCTGGGCCGCGTGGGAATCAAGATGGGCCATCGTCATGGCCAACTTGATCGAGAGGGTGGATGTCCGCAGCTTGGCGCCGTCGACTCGAACTCTGTTCCTTCAGCCAGAGAAGGCTGCTGCGGGCGAGCGACTACAGCCCTGGGAGATGCTGCACCACACGGGATACTGGTACCGCGTCGCTGCTGAACATCTGGTTGTCCGACGAGCCCTCGCTCGGTCCATTCCGGAAGAAGACCGGCGCTCGCCAGAGACCACTCCGGCATCAGCCCTGGCCAGCAAGGCGTTCCAATACGACACGTACATGTGCCCAGACCCCCATGAAGAGTTTCCTGTTCATGGGATGGGCGTAAACCACTCTCAACTTATAATAGACTGCTTAATGGCGGCCAGATCACAGTTCCAGGCGCGGGGACAACTCCGGTTGTCGGCCGAGCTGTCGCTAGAGTGTGCCAAGGAAATGGTTAACATAAAGGCGTGGGACGACATAGTGGCGTTGTTGCGGCCGTTGTGGGAGGACATGTCATTCAGAACAGAGGGCTGGCTGAACATCACCGAAGACCTGAGCTGGGTGTTACGTGCTGCGGCGGCCCATGCTGGACAGGGAGAGCTCGTGGTTGCCATTGATTGGGAGCTGCTGAACAGGAGTAAGACCTGCCCGTCCACTTCCTACTGGCTGAAGACTAACATTGCTGGCAGAGTTCACGCGGCGGCCCAAGTGGCATTACGACATATCCAGATCCCTAGAGGGCCTTAAACTCGACTCGAAGCCAACGGTGATGATCAATGACAACGTCATCTCATCTTTCATATCCGCGTCCTTCATCTTCAAGACTGAAGACGGCAAGGCTGGCGAGGCTTGCCAGGCACAGCTTGCGATTAAATCAGACGCGTTCCCGGACGCGGCGACGGTAACTCTCAAAGGCTTGAGGATCGACTTCGAAGGCAGCCTCAAGACCATCACACTAGACCACGAGGCAGGCTCTACAAAAGGCACAGAAAAGGGCAATGTAACGCTATCGAGGGTGCCTCTAACCGAGAAAGCCCGGGCAGATGCCGAAGAAGGCGATGAGGGCACATCAGGGCTCGGCGGATCGGCAGACTTGTCGGTGAAGCCGGGCCACATAAGTGTCTACGAGATGGCGATACCCCTGCGAGAGCCTGGGGAGGCTCATGCTTCCTCGGTGACTCTGGTTCTGGAGACTGACACGTTCACACTCAACTACACTATCGCCTTTCGAAATCTGGAGGCGGCGGACTTCTGGTTTAGCCCCTCCTTGTCGAGGAGGCGGATTGTGCGGCAGAGCGCACACGTCATCCAAGTACAGGCGAGGCCGCCCAAGCTGGAGATCAAGCTGGCGCAGCCCCTGGAACAGTTTTATGCGAATGAGCCCATGGACTTGCTGTTAGATGTGATCAACGCCGAGGACGCAGACGCGGTCGCCAAGCTGGAGGTTCACGTCTTCGGCGAACAAATCCCGCCCTTCCGAGTGCACATCGAGAACGGAGAGGAACACACCGCGGAAGCCGGTAAGGAGGAGGCCAAGCTCGCAGGCCTGTCGCTCGGCACGCTGGCGACGTCGCAAACGACCCGCATCAATATTAGCCTAGACCCGGTGCAACTGACAACCTCATATGATGTGACGCTGAGAATCTTCTACCATCTCACCACTGACCCGGCGACCTTGATCATGCAGATCCTACCGGCCCAGCTGACCGTCGTCAACCCCTTTGAGGCTAATTACGACCTCATTCCCCGCCTCCACTCCGATCCCTGGCCAAGCTTGTTTGACCACGAGGGTGTGCAGGATCCCTCGGTAGACGAAGCCGCGGTGCAGCCTCGCGGACTGGCGCAGAGGTGGTGTCTGGTTTGCCACTTCGCATCGTTTGCGACGGACGACCTGGAGCTGGTCGGCATGGACGCCGAGGTGGTTGCATGCCAAAACAACGCGCGATGCACCACAGTGAGCGGGCCAGAGGTTCCCGAAGGAGGTCTCCGCATCCCGCCGAGGCAGATGCAGGAGGCGCAGTTCGACTTGGTGGCGCAAAAGTTCAGCCTCGACGACAAGGGACCGGCGTCTCTTGACGTGGCCTTTGTCCTCAGGTGGAGGCGGGTGAAATCTCCATCTTCGGCGGCGGCGGCCGTCAACACGACCAGGATGCTCGTCCCGCGATACATTGTGCTGGGCGCCGAACCCCGCGTCCTCGCTTCGTACTCGCTCGCCAGCCCGCTGACGGGCCTGATCAACCTAAACATCACCATCGAGAACCCGTCGAGCCACTTCCTGACGTTCGGCCTGAGCATGGACCCGAGCGACGAGTTCGCGTTCTCGGGCTCTAAGCAGACGACGATGCACGTGCTGCCGGTCTCCAGGAGGACCATCACGTATCGGCTGCTGCCCCTTGTGAGAGGCGACTACATCCGGCCCACGCTCGTGGTGAGGGACAAGTACTTCCAGAAGGTGCTGAGGATCATCCCGACGGAGGGCATGAAGATCGACAAGGAAGGGCTGCAGGTGTGGATTCCGCCGGAAGAGGGCGAGGAAGGGAATGAGGGAGAAAGATAATGGCCAGCCTGACCAGGATGCCAGCTTTCTTGTATACATATGGTCTAGATCTAGAGTCCCTAGCATCAAACTCTTTAACGTCCCAAGAAAAAACGACAAAGTGTCTACCATCGCACAGGCGTTCAAGTTCGTCACCCCGAGAGAGAGGGGGGAAAAGAAGAAGAAAAGAAAAAAGATGTCGCTGCTTGTGCATCACTGCCCACTCAACTCATAACTTCGCCTTGGACGGCCGCGCAGAGCCCCCGAGCTTCTCCATCCACTCGTCCGTCAGCGTCGTCTTCTCCGGCACGCTCAACCTCGTCCACCTTTCGTAATCGGCCTGCTCTTCCCGCCACTCGGCCAGCCCCTTCTCGATCCACCCGGCCGCCAGACGCGCGCTCTCGCCCGGTACCTCCATGGGGAAAAGGTGCCCGGCCCCCGGCAGCGTCACCTCCGCCACCCTGCCCCTGGCGACGCCACCGCTCCCGCCGACGCCGGTGCCCGTCAGCCGCATCTTCTCCTCCCTCAGCTCGGGGGTCGAGAGGTCGCTCGTGCCGCCGAAGACGTACAGCACGGGCGGGCGCAGGTGCGGCAGGCGGGCGAGGGTGCTGGGGCCCTCGGAGCGGTAGAAGGGGAAGGTGAAATAGCGCTCGTTGAGGCTGGGGTCCAGGTCCGGGACCAGTTCCGGGCGCACAACCTCGCGGCCGGTGGGGTCGTAGGCGTGCCAGCTGGGGCGGAAGTAGGTGAAGACCTCCTGGTGCTTGGTGGTGGCGAGAGTGACGCTGCCGGGCGCCGCCGTGGCGGGGTACAGGTGGGTGGTCACGTCACGGAGGCCGTGGGCGAGCCAGGCGTCGAAGACGCGGGGGTCCCAGGCCTGGTAGAAGGGGGAGCGGAGGAAGGCGGCGCGGGCGGCATCGCGGGAGGGCCAGAGGTCGCGACGGCGGGCGGAGGCGGCGGCGGGGGAGGCGGCGATGGTGCCGGTGGCGTTGGAGGACCACTTGGAGATGACGGGGTCGAGGAGGACGACGGCGGAGAAGAGGCGGGGGTGGACGAGGGCGACGTTGACGATGGTGTTGCCGCCGAAGGAGTGGCCGATGCCGACGAGGGGCCGGGGCGGGCGCAGGGTGTTGACGAGGTGGAGAATGTCGCGCGGGTAGTCGAACCAGCCCGGGTCGTTGCCGAGAAGGGGCTCGTTGAGGGCCGAGGAGGCGCCCTGCCAGGCGGCGTCGGCGATGATGATGGAGCGGATGCGGAAGGTCGAGGACGGCTTGAGGGACTCGGCGTGGAGGTCCTGCCACAGTGCCTCGTAGAGTTCCTGGGGGGTGGGGGGGGGTTGTTAGTGGATTTTTCTTATGACTATTAAGCAGAGGCACGGCCCGTAAGCGAGCGATATGGCTTGGCCGTCCTATATTATGAGATGAGATGACAAACGAGGCTCATGACTGACCTTGGGGAAGCCGTTGGCGTGGGCGCCGATGATAGTGACGTCGCCGGGCTTGGGGTTCGGGTTGTCCTTGGGAATGTACTCCTTCACGGCCAGCTTTAGGACGTCTTCCTGGGAGTGGGCGAGGGCACGGGGGAACTCGCGAATGTGAGAGCCGTCGATAATGTGCTCCTTGATGTGGAAGATGGAGGATACGGACGACGACATGGTGGTGATGCGCGAGAGCGTCACTCGGGCTGGCTGAAGTGAGGTTGAGGTCCGGGCCGACGTGATGCGGTGTGTGATGTAGGAGGACCTCGCGGCGACGATGGAAAAGAATGAGTGTAGATTGAGACAGAGAATGAGCCGGCTATCTCAGAATGCCGTCCCGCAACCCATCGGCACCGGGGTAGAGACGAGGTGCATATACAGACCGAGGGGGTCCACACTTTCCTGGAAGTTTGGGGTTTGTGGAGATGCCGAGGTTCCAGCGGCATATACAGCGGTTATCGGTAACAGCACCCCCCATCCCCCATCCCCCGGGGCCCGTTGCGTCCTGACCCTTGCACACATCTATCCTCAACATGTCCACGGCAAAAAAAGGGAAGACATACGGATCAATCTAGGAGACGACAGGCTTGCGAACCTGGGAAGAAAAAAGAAAAGAAAAAGAAAAGAAAAAAAGAGAGGGAAAAGACAATGCACGTTCCCGAAACATCGTGACTCGGCCGCGTTGGACAGGCAGTTGTGCTTTGGGACACGCCATACGAAGAAAGAGGAAAAGGACGAGAAGAAAAAGCAAGAAAAGAAGTAGCAGAGGCGAGCCGGCGGATCGGAGGACGGTAAAAGGCGCCGCCGCCAGCCACCCGTTTGAGATTCTGCAGTCTCTGTACGCCGTCTCGGTGCAAGTTCCTGTCTTCCTCGCCGCGCTTCCCCATGCATCCATCCATCTGTCACAGTGTTACCTACCGGCTTGTCACCCAGTCTGTGTCCACCTCGAGATGGAATGGAGGAGAGGGATTGATGAGAGCCAGGGGAGAAAAGCCACACACCACGACTCACTTCACGCCCCGCAACGCCCAACCATTGTCTATCGACAGCCTCCCCACTTCTTCTTCATCATAAACTGTACTTAGTGCCTGACTTATGTAGTACAGGTGGTCTACCAACGTAAACTATCCACCCACACTTCAACCAACACGTTCGACTCATCCCCCCCACCCCGGACCGGAGCTGATCCCGAAAAAATACCCCTGCATGCCGAGGGTCATCATCTTCACCGGCGCCCCAGAGGCCGACTGGTCCTCCTCCCCGGACCTCCTCCTTCCCCCCTCCGCTTCCGCCTCAGCCCCAGCACCCACTTCGCATTCGACATCAACACCCCCCGCCGCACCACCGGCCTGGCGCTCCCTCCCGCTCCACCGCCGGCCCCTGATCACGGGCTTCTCCCAACCCCACGGCCTGCCCTCCAACTTCCTCCCCCCCGCCCACTTCTTCTCCCTCTCTCTTGACGCCGACTCCCAGCAAGACACGACAGCCGCCGGAGCGTCCCAGGAGCTCCTGTCGCAGTTCTACGACCACTCCCTCGCCCTGCATCACGACCTCGCCTCCTCGCAGCTGCCCCCGCCACTGACACCGTCGCACCCCGACACACCCGGCGCCGGCAGCACCCGCCGCGCCCTCCCCCCCTCGACGGCAGGTCAGCACACGGTGTCCTTGGACGAGACGACGGCCACCGACTCCTTCGTCTCGGAGACGACCGATTCCTTCCAGGACACCACGGCCGCCGCCGACGACCTGACGTCGTCCGGCCCCCGGCCCCCGCCCGTGACGGCGCCGCCCCACCACCACCTGAGCGACCTGAAGGACATCCCCGCCGGCCCGGACCTCCTCCGCCTCGCGCCGCAGACGGTGACGGTGAACCTCATCGCCGGCGTCATCTCACTCTCGGAGCCGCGCGGCGTGACGACCCGCTGGGGCAACGAGCTGTCGCTCGTCGAGGTGTTGATCGGCGACGACACCCGCGCCGGCTTCGGTGTCACTTTCTGGCTGCCCTCGAGCGGCGGCGGCGGCGGAGCAGGCAGGGACGCGGGCACGACGCCCATGCGGCTGCGGAGGCAGGACGTCGTCCTCCTGCAGAACGTCGCCCTGCATGTCTTCCGCGGCAAGGTGTACGGGCAGAGCCTGCGCAAGGGGCTGACGAGGACCACGGTGCTGTACCGGAGGAAGCTTGGTGACGACGACGAGGGCGGGTACTACCGCCGGAGGGACCTGGAGGCGGGCGGCCGGGAGGGGGCGCACCCGCAGCTCGTCAAGACCAAGAGGGTGTGGGAGTGGGTATTGAGGTTCGTGGGAGGGGAGGGGAGGACCAGCGCCAAGGGGAAGATGAGGGGCTGGGATGCGCCGCCGGATGACACCCAGTGAGCGGCTTCACACGTACACACATGCACACACACACGCGCGCGCGCACATTCTCTCTCTGCAGTTTCAATGGCACAAAACGCATCATTCGATATCACAAATTGCATTCAAAAGAGAAGGAGCATCTAATCCGTGGTACTCACTATGCTGCTTTGATCCATATCATATAGCGATCATTCCACACATCTACACAACAACGGCAGCGGCGCCGCCCTTGTCTTGCTGTTTAACACTCTTCCACTGGAGACCCAGGCAGACGAGGAAGGCGCCACACGCGCCAGCGACCGCGACATAGAACGTGTGCCTCAGCCCCACCATGTAGGCCTCCAGCACCACCGGGATCAGGTCGACGCGGCCCATCTTGGTCAGGATGCCGCGGACCTGGTCGGCTCCCGAGTTGATGAAGATGGCGGGGTTGATACCGGGGGCGTTCTTGGTGACGCCGCTGATGATCCCCGTCTGGAACAGCGTTTGGCAGACGGCAATCATGATGGCGCCGCCCAAGGCTTGGAAGAACTGCACGCAGGCCGAGGCGACGGGGACATCCTCCTGGGGTAGGACGGTCTGCACTACGAGCATACCAAGCTGGAAGCAGGCACCGGTGCCGAGACCGGCGATGACCTGGTAGCCGAACCACGCGCGCATGGGCGTGTCGACGTCAAAAGTTGTGATCAAGCCGTTACCCACGGCGTACAAGACGACGGAGGGGATGGCGACGGCGTTGTAGTAGCCGACGTAGGAGATGAGCGCACCGCCGCCGATTGTGGCGACAACAGACGACAGGAGGAAGGGCAGGATTTTGATGCCAGCCTGGACGGCGCTGGCGCCCTGTATAACCTGGAAGTAGATCGCTGGTGGTCTGCGTCAGCGTGCTGTAGAAAACGACGAGGCTCAGCGAAGGGGTTGGACACTTACACAGGTAGTAGATGAGGGGAAAGAAGCCGGCGCTGAAGAAGACGCCAAAGAGGAAGGAGCAGAGTACGTTACGGTTTTTGAAAAGCTTGGGGGGCAGCGTGCCACTATCGCCCTGCCACAACTGGATGACGACGAAGATGGCGGCCATGAGGACGGAGCCGACCAACAGGCCGATGATGGTAGCGCTTCTCCAGGCGTACACGCTGCCGCCCCATTGCAGCGCGAGGATCAGGCAGATGATGGCGGGGATGAAGATGGCGGTGCCGATGAGGTCGAGCTGCATAATGCGCCGGAAGACGGACTCGCCGAGAGCGTTATTCTTCTGGTCGATGGTCAGGAGACAGACGATGAAGAGCATGGCCATGCCGCCGACGGGCAGGTTTACGTAGAAGCACCAGCGCCAGGTGGCCTTCTCGGTGAAGACGCCGCCTAACAAAGGGCCGGCGACGGAGGCGACGCCCCACATGCCTCCGATGAGGCCTATGGCTATGGGCCGCTTCTGTAGGGGCATGGTGTAAGAGATGATGACGATGGATCCGGAAACTAGGCCGGCGGTGCCGATGCCGGCGACAGCGCGGCCTACGATGAAGGCGGTGGAGGTCGGGGCCAAAGCGCAGATGAGGGAGCCGGTCTCGAAGATGGCGATAGCTCCGAGGTAGGCCCACTTGATGCTGAAGAGCTTGTAGATGGTGCCGTACATGGGCTGCAGGGCGGTGGTGGTGAGGAGGTATGCGGCGCCATACCAGCCAATGTCCTTAACGGTGCCGTAGTTGGCCGTGATGGTGCCCAGGGCCGGGGCGATGATGGTCTGATCCAAGGCGACGAGGAAAACGGCTAGGCACAACGAGATGATGATTAAGACGAGCTTCAAGCCGGACGGGTACACGACTTTGCCATCCTCGAAACTGTGGTCCTGCTTGCTGATCGAGTGAGTGGCGGTGGTCATGCCATGGTGCGAGTGTTGCTCATAGGCGGTGGCGGAGGCATAGGCCGACGTGGTGGTGTTGTTGAGCTTCTCTTCGGGATACTTTGAGTCCATGACAGCGGGGAACCAACTGGTGTTAAGCTTATTTGTTGACTTGTATTTTTTTCCTCCTTTCGCCGCAAGGGAGGAGGAGACCTCGTTATTGGTATATAGTTACTTTAACAAGATGTAGAAAGGACGACCAAGGGGCGAGCCTACAATAAGGAGGGCAAGAGCTAGACGCGGAAGGAAAGAGAGGGATACTTATCCTCCTATACGCCGGATCATGTCCGTGATGGTGCAAACTTGGAAGCTACAGCTCCCGCGAGTCACGTTTGTACATGTGTAACAAGCTCTAATTACACATTTGCAATCCACAGGGATGGACCAACCTACGCCCGAGCTTCTCAGTAAGATGGGCAGGTACGATGTGGACAGGCAGTGTAATGTAGAGAAAGGACAAGGAAAGTGTCCGAGGAGCGAGTTAAAAGCGATGATTACCACAGTCACGGTACCTGGGCTTACAAGCCATACCATAGGTACATTACCGTAAACGGTACCCGTGCCCGGCGAGACGGCGCACCGGGCCAGAGGCCGTCCAGGGCGGCCCCACCATGAATACCACCTATTCTACCTACCTACCTAGGTATCCGCACCTTTAGGTACAGTCTGTTGCGTTGGCAGCGTCCAAATTGCCTTGCGGATACTTCCTATTGTGGATTTACGACGGCTGCAGTCCGACTAACATGCGGTCGACCATGTGGCAGTGGGCCGGCATAAGACAGCAGGTATGGGCAATTGCCAATGATGGACGAGTAGAGCGCATCATCGGGTTTCGCCTCTCTCGGACGTCGGAACCCAGCCTTGTCCGAACTGGATCGGGGTGAGGCCCCCGTGAGACATGCGACGAGACGCCTAAACGGCAAAGTAGTCTAATAAAATCGGTTGCACCATGAAAGCATCAACCCTCGACGAGCTTATACAAATATACATTGTATAAATATTGTCAAGGAAGACAAGCAACTGGCAATGCCATGGTTTTGGCGGAGAAACGTTATGTCGATGGCAAAGTAAAAAGCTGATGCTTTATGACAGCCAGCCAATGAGATTTAACCGTCCAAGCAACGCTAGGTTCGCACCTATTGGATGTCAGCTAGTCTCTGACATGCCGCCGAAAGATTAAAGTCTCAACTAGAGTTAGAAAAATTGCCTCTGTTGAGCTTACATCGTTCCTTCCTCTTCTTCTTCCTCTTCTTCCTCTTCCTCCTCCTCCTCCTCTTCTTCTTCTTCTTCTAGCGGACGGTCGGCCGGCCTTACAGGGTGAAGGAAACGCCCTGCTAATTTAGGCCTTCTCCCGCAGCATTTCGCGATTGGTGCGGGGAACATCAAGAGTTGTTGTCTGGGTCTTGAGGCGCTATATCACATCGCGAATGGGAGAATGCGAGAAAGTGCTTACCTAGTCAATTTGTATCCATACTAGGTATCCGTACCTTAGCTAAGTTCCTAGGTACCTAGGTAGGGTGTCCTTACCCCTGCGACAACAGTGCCGCTGTGGATCAACGAAACAAATGGCCAGAAGCACTGGCGCGTCGCTGAGGTACCGTCCCTCCTAATCTGCGTGTGCCGGTACTTGTCTGTCACTTGCAGAGTACCGTACCGCCTGCGCAAGAGCCCCAGCATCCATCACCCGCCAAGGTTCGCCGTAAGTGGCCCTATGCGCATCGGGCGGCCCTCCCGCCGCGTCGACTGAACCTCTCTCAAACCAAACTGCCATGAGAGGTTGGCCGCGTTGATGCCATCTGCCGTCTCGCCGGTATCCTCACACAGACGACGCTCCAGACGACACTGCAACAGACTTACAATGCCATTCGTCGAAATACACCATTTACCCAGCATCTCAATGATCTTCCCAAACCCGTAATCACGATCCCCCGAAACGTCACCGAGTCCACCCACGCCCCAATACGAACGATCCACTACCCGCTATTGACAAATATCATCCCATAGCAGTCGACGGCCTGCCTTGTTCCCTCCTCGTCAACAACGGTGCAACCAGCTCTGCTGATACCATGGATCGAGCCATGGACTTGAGGGATATGGACTTTGAATCCGCCATCCTCGACGACGAAAAGGACATCGACTTCGTTGTTGGACACGCTCTCTCTACCCCACACCCGCTGGGCCGCTCGCCACTGTCCAAGACGCGCTCCATGTCTGATGGAGGAGGGACCCCGGTGAAGCTCACGCCCTCGCCGCACGTTGCCGATGGTCGCCAGGCATCCAAAGACGACAACCATATCAGGGAATCCGTCACCACACCCGTCACTCCCCACCGATCCGAGTTTCCCCTCCGAGGCCTCACACTGCAGATGCCTACGAACCGCGACCCGGCCTCCTCTGCAGCCTCCTCCTCCTCCTCCGCCGCCTTCACAAAACCCGCACCGCTGTCCCCCAAGCTCGACCACTCCCAGATTTATGCAAGCCCCACCAACATCCTGCCGCGTCGCTCCCGCGGCCTCGACTTCTCGCGTGCTGCTACCAGCCTGCACCACTCGACCCTCGCAGAGTCGTCGCCCGACTCATCGCCCACCATGGGAGGAAGAGCCATGAACATCCCCGGCCGCAGGGGTAACGACTACGGCCAGGCCGAGCAGACGACCAACTCGCTCTGGTCCATGATGGGGAACCACGAGCGCATGACCGTGTCCAGCTCGCTCGGCAGCGCGAACCATCTGGGCTCGGATTCTTCTTCGTCTTCCGGCGATGACGACTTGATGGACGAGGATACGGACGAGCCGTACATCGGGACGCCACAGGCCAACAAATCCGGTCCTCCTCTCGGCACCCAGCCGATGATGATGGCGCCGTGGGGAGGCTCTCCTGCGATGAACAGCCTCATGAGCTTTCAGCACAGGCAGCGGCAAAGAAAACAGCCGAAAAAGAAACACAAGCTGCCGCTGGGTCTCGGCTTCAGCCCCTCCACAAACGCTGGGGTCTCCAAGTCACCGCCCAGTACCATACCCAAGGATATGGCCGGTCATTCTCGGCGGGAGAGCATCAGCTGGCAAGCGAATCAGCTCCATATATCCGGGAGCGAGGAAGAGCGCTGCGATAACATTGACGGTCTTGTCACGACTCCCAGCCGTGACGGACAGCGTCCTACCGTCATGCGACGCGTTGTCACACGTCGTGGGAACCTGTTACCCAAGACGAAGAATTTCGCTCGTATCAGGGCGGCCTTGTTCGAGGAAGGAGCCCCCATCGAGACGGAAACTCAACGAGAGGCCGAAGTCGTCCGTCAAGTGCGTGAGAGCGACGTCGACCTTGGGGGATCCCGTCAGCAGACGGCGCCGGCCACCGCGTACTCATCGCCGAGTCTCGGACCCCAAGACCAGCATCTGGACGACATCCCAGAAAGCATGATCACCGAATCGGCCCTCAATCTCTCAGGCAGCTTTAAGCAGCAAGCTTTGAAGAACTCGAAGGGCCCCAAGTTCTGGGACACGTTTTCCGAGTCGAGCAGCATCGGCGCCCGCACAACACCACCGCCCCCGAACGGGGGCTTGCCCCGCGGCTCGTCTTCCGGCATGAGCGAGGACATGTGCATGGATTCACCATCACTCGGGCCTACGGCGGGTTTTGCCATGGCCGCCAGCAGCGGCGAATCCCAAAAGGGCGACACTCCTCTGCTCGCGCAGGGCCCGCAAACGGCGCCCAGTGCCGCAGACATCACACGCCGCATCAACAGCAAGCGCCGGCGGGACGACGACCACGACCTGGTTAGTCTCAAGCGTCGGGCCGTCAGTCCCGGCATGAGCGTGCATAACTCGCCCATCATGCAGAGCCCCATGCAGCGCGACGTGGCGCCTTGGGGGTCGCGGCCCGGCAGCAACAGCGGCGAGCGCGGCGAGCGCGGCGGAAGCGGCGCGGCGAGCGAGTCGGGAAGTCTAGGCGGCACCCCCGGCAGCGGCGCTAACGTCAACAGCAACGCCAATGGCCGTTTGAACGGCAACAAGGGACGTGTTGGGTTCCAGGGCATGGTCGACACCCACGACGGCCTGATGCGTATGAGCATCGAGTGATTATCAGGTTTATTCAGGGCGCTCTTGGAGCATTGTCGGCGCAATCTGCATTCATTTTAGGCGTTTAGTAAGTGAGGGGGCAGCGATGGATATCCTTGGTTGAAAAGTACACTACGGACGGGGAATCTGGGCGGCGAATCGGCAGGTTATATGGGGGGAGAGAGGGAGAGAATAAGGAGAGACCAACCAGTATATCCATAAAAGCCTTTAGCCGGCGACACACATACGTGGAAAGAAGAAGAAAACCGCAACACACATAACACATGAAACGAAGTAGAGTCGTCATGAACAAAGGCATTGTACAGAGTGATTATACGAACATGGCGGTGACTATTGGCCGTGGTATCTTCTTGCCCTTCCCCAACTCCTGTATACGCCTGTGACTGCAGCTGCAATGCACCCAGAACCCTCTGCCGTCCCCAGAACCAAGACCGACACGGGGGCGGGGGAAGAAGCGCCCCCCCTCTCCCCTTGTGTAGCTCGGCCTAACCCGGTGGCGGAGGTATATAATGATCAACAATGGTAATAATAAATACCCTTAAAAAGACCCTCCCATCCGACACATGGTACACGTCTGGCTGGGAAACCAGAACCCCCTTTTCCTGCCTCTTGCCTCCTTAACCACCCCACGGTGGCGGGGGCAAGCTATTCGACGCCGACGCCCTCCTCGGGGACCCGCAGGCTGCCGAGCTTGTCGTCTAGCCAGCGGGCCAGATCCTCGTTGTGGCGGCGCAGGACCACGACGCCGGCCGTGTTGACGCTGCCGACGCTGGCGAGGCTCGTCGTCGTCTGCGCGCCGACGCTGAGGACGCTGTCGGCCTCGGAGGGGGAGGCGGGCACGAGGGCGGGGGTGGCGCCGCCGGAGCCGCCGTTGGGCTGGTGGTGCTGGTGGTGGTGATGGTGGTGCTGCGTGTGCAGGCCGTGGGCGGGCTCCGGGGCGTTCGGATCGATGGACTCGGCGAGGGGCCCGATGCAGACGAAGAGCAGGCCGCACTTTAGGCGGCGGATGACGACGACGCCGCCGGCGAGCTGGACGGTGATGGTCAGCGGTTTCCCCGTGCCCTCTGCCGCTGCTTTTTCTGCGGCGCCGCCGCGGCCGGCCTTCGCGCTGGTGGTGGTGGTGGTGGCGGCGGTGGTGTTGTCGTCGTTGTTATTGTTATTGTCGGCGGCCGAGTGCGGCGGCGGGGACGACGAGGAGTTTGGCAGCGCGTCGGGGATGTCGGGGGCGGTGGAGGCGTGCAGGGCGAAGAGGGAGGAGGCGACGGTGGCCTGCGTGCGCAGCAGGGAGACTGGCTCCGGGGAGGCGTGGGCGAGGAGGCGGCCGGACGGGGTCGCGAGGAGCGCCGTGTGCAGGTGGGCGTTGAGGTTGGCGGCGAGGAAGGCCGTGAGGCGTTTCGTCAGGAGGAGGGGGGGCGTCGGCTGAGAGAGCGACATTTTTTTTTCCAATTTTTTAATAGAAAAAAATCTTCGTTGTTGGCTGGTTGTGTCAGACGTGAGGGTGATCGCGATCGTCGTGATGGTGTGGTGTGAGGGTTGGGAGGTGGGGGTTAGGCCGTTGGGGGTCAAGCCTATGGGACGGTTATCGGGTCGCTTTCCAATGGCTTCTTCTTCTTCTGCTTGTTCTTTTTTTTTGTCCTTTTTCTGGTGAAGAGATCAAGACAGGCGCCGTGAAGGCCACGACTAATCGACGGTGTTCGCAATTGGATCTCGGGCTCGAGGCCGGCCTGGGAATGCGGGTGTGGCGGGCAAAAGGTACGGAGAGAGGTTTGGTGAGACCCACAGCCCATGGAATCGAGAGAGCTGTACGGAGTATTCGTACGCTGAGGAGCCTCACGGTCCGCGAGCCCGGGTGGGGCGATCTTGGCCGTCAAACGTTTCGAGGGTACGTACCGCGACTGATGCACCACGCACTGATGGTGGGGGGCCGGGCGTCACGTCCCAACTCTCGTCACCCTTTGTTTCTTTTATCTAGTTCCAGTCGCACTGATGCGGATAGACTGTTATTGTGTCTCTACCTCAGGTAGTCTTGCTCTACCTATTACCGTCGTGTAATGGATGGGATGAACAGTCATAGACTGAGCGCGGACTAGCTAAGCTTTATTGCCTGGGCGCAAACGGCGATTGGAGAACTAGGTATGTAACGGCGCTGCGGGATATCGGCACCAATGTGTGTACTGTACATCCACATCATGGGAAACAGACGGACAGACCAACGCCAACAGAACCAGACAGACCACCAGTGCAGGCCGAATCGACAACTCATCCATCCATCTCCTCAGCCTTTCCAACGGTAGCAGCATTATTCAACACCAGGAACCGGTACCCGAGGTCATCCTCGACGTCCACGTACTCCTGTCCGTCCTCCGTCTCGCTCCGCCAGCGCCGGTACAGCACCTCAATCTCGGCCGCCAGCCCCTGGGTGCCGACGGCCGGCGCCTCGAGGTCGTAGTTGAGCAGCATCCGCGCGGCGAGGACGAGGTACGAGGAGTAGCGCGTGCGGTGCAACGTCTCGTCCATGTGGACGTCCGTCTCGGCGGTGCAGGGCGTGGGACAGTGGCACCCGCGGAAGGCCTCGTGCTCGCACTCGCGGCCCGAGTGTTCTCCGTTGTATACGCAGTTGACTTTGGCGCACCGCCGGATGTGGATGCATCTGCAGGCTCCGCACCCGTCGAGGCTGGGGAGGGGGCGGCCGGTCATCATGCGGAAGAGGACGGCACCTAGGGCCCAGTGCTCGTCGCTGAGCGTGTATAGCCGTTTGCCCTGCGGTTTAGGTTAGTTGCCGCGAACCCGCGCAGTGGGTTTCGAGGACTCACATTTCTCCCGGTACCGAGGTACTCCCTCCACTGCTTGGTCATATCCGCCAGGCCCATATGCTCCTTCTTGGGTGCGATCGGGAACCCGATGCTGTGAGGCAGGGGCTTCTCGCCGTCCGGTGCTCCGTCCCGCCGCGCGGGCACGCCCGATATGAAGGCGTTGCCAAACTTGCCCAGCTTGCACACGCCGTACGTCTCCCTGCCGCGCGGGTGCTGGAAGAAGACGGCCTTGGCGCTGATGTCCCGGTGCAGGATGGGCATCCACTCGGCGTCCGTCTTCTTCCAGCTCCGCTCGCCGCTGGCCCAGGTCACCTCCTGGCGGTACCCGTCGTGGAGCCAGACGAGAGCGCGCATGATTGACACGAGGACGTGCCAACACAGAGACTCGGGCAGGAAGCAGCCGGGGTCGGCGTCGGCTTCGGGGTTCGCGAGGAGGTTCTCGAGCGTGCCGGCGTCACAGATATCCCAGACGAGGTAGTCCTCGGTGGCGTCGACGCGCGGGTGGACGGGCTCCTGGCGGAGATAGCCGGCAAGGGAGATGATGTTCTCGTGATTGAGGATGTGGGAGACGTTGCGGCCGAGGTTGCAGTCGTAGAGGAGGTCCATGAGACCCTTGACTTGGCGCTGCCTCTTTGTCGTGAAGCTCATCGAGTACTTGCCCGCCTCGTAGTACTCGTCAAAGTCGTCCACTTTGCGCGCGATGAACTCCTCGCCGTCGGCATAGCTGGGGTTCTGGGCGACCCGCCGCGCCAGCCAGATCTCGTCCTGGACTCTCTTGACGAGTTGGAAAGACGGCTGGGGATGATCCGGGTCCTCCATTTTTTGGTGATCACGACTAGATAGCGGCAGACTGTTGTCAAGAAGAAGTGCAGACGACGTAGATGCGGTTGACGGCCAGGCATCGCGACAGGGAACCTAAGCAACAGGATGTTGTCATCTTTGTAGGCCTCCTTTGCAGAGCATTGTGTCCTGCTGGGAAGCGAAGCGTCTTCATGAATGTAGCCCCTTCGCGGTCAAGACAAAGAATGGCCTCGCTGCCATTGTCCCTCTTTTTGATTCAACGGTTGCCGCCTTGGCAAGCAAAGGTAAAGAAAAAAACGGTCGCCGCATGCGCCTCGCCTCTTCGGCATTCAATTCCCACGGCCGTCAGGATACAAAAGAGCAGCCAATGATAATCACTGCAGGACTCTCCAGGTGTCCTGGACGTCGGAGCGGTCATATCTTCTTACTTGGTCAGGTTCGCCAGACGTCCAGTAACCAACATGGCGATGCTCTCTCGACCCAAGCTACCGCTCCCTGTAGTTTCATTCCTGGAGCACTGTCGCAGGCTTGGCCAAACATTAGGAAACATTTCAAGCACCGGCGCTGAGGCGTCAGCCGCTTCGCAGACATGGCCTTTGGGGTTCACGCAAGCACAGCCTCTTTCTTGAACCCACCGTAGCCACCATATCACGGACACGCCTTTATCGGCGTGTTGCATCAAGATTGGGATAGAGACAAAGATAGCCGATTGCCCGGGGTAATCCACGTGCACCTCGCAAGCACCTCTAACGAGAGCCACCCCCTCCCGCTGAGCAAATTGGCCATGGAAGCGAAATGGTGCGACTTCCAGATGTGGGAGGCGGTCAAGATTACCCCTGGGCGTTTTTTTCCCATGGTACCCATATTCTACCGGGCTGGCCAAGAGCTGCCGTCTGATCCGAAAGTGTTTTTTGGCGTTTCCCTTGCAAGGCGTTTGCGGAAGCTGGTTGGTCGGGCTGTGCTTGGAAAGGACTCTAAGAGTGACGCAAGGAGGGCTACTGTCAATCATGGCTCTTCTGTACTGAAAACGACCCTGGCTGCGATCGGCTGAACCGTCGTCGAGTGATATAAATGGATTAAGTAACAATGCGAGAATAGAGAGAGAGTGTGTGCACTGATCAAGTCGGAGGTTGAGGACAATACCTACTACGTAGGGCCCTGTCAAGGTCCAGGGGAGCCGTCTCCGGCTTAATCGACGACTCGACATCATGCGTGCTGGGGTTCGAACAAGGGCTGCGCGTTTCACTGAGACGGTTCCGGGCGAAGCTGAAAAGCGTTGAGACGGGATGACCGCAGCCGAGGATAGAGACAACAACAGAGCAGCAGCGAATCGCAACTGGAGTGCTGTTTCTCTCTCAATGGGAACGGGACTGGGATGCTTGCTTGCTTGGTCGTCAGCCACGTCGAGTTTTTGGTCGAGGAGGCCTCGTAGCGCGGCCTCAGACCAATCGCCGGCGCTACTTTAGCCTCACGAAGCTGACATTGCAGATCGCGCGGGGAGAGTGGCCAACAATTAGCCCAGGCTCCTTTTAGGCGGGAGGGCCGAGGCCACGCGAACAGAATAAACACGTTTCCAGCACCTCGAGAGGTGCAGGACTTGGGTCAATGGTTGGATGTGTAAGACGGGCGCGTCCGAGCCGCGGGGGTGTTTTTTCTTTTCTTTTCTTTTTTGTACGTTTTGGACAGAGGCGAAGAGGCGGGAGGCCGCGAACCCGCAGGCCCATATGTTCAGCCTCGAACCAGCGCCTGTACCTAGCCAGACACAGCCACGACTGGCAGACGGTTACAGTTTCTGGGAGGATTATTGGGGATAAATTGATGAACGAAAGGGACGGATGGAGCGGATACACTGTGGGGAAGGGGAGATATCTACCAGGTAGGAACCTCAGTGCCTACCTAGGTACGGATAGATTAGGTAGGTAAACCCCCCCTACGTGCCTATTCCCTGTAGGTATGTACTGCGTACAAAGTACATACATGGTATGATGCTGTATTATCTTGACAATCCAATGAGAGCCGTCACATGGTACGGGAAAATGGGCCTTCAAACACTCCTGTTCGCGCGCTAATCCCAACCGGGACAGCTAGTCATAGGGTACCTGCGTTAATGTGGTACACTACGGAGTAGACGCCGTTGCTCCACATTCTTCCAGACGGTCGAAACTGCCAAAACCGTCGTGCCAGCGGCCGCGACAACCCTAGGTGGTATCTGTCTGTGTCTGCGACCGGCTGGGGATGAAAATTAATCGAACACATAGCATGGATACAGAGTAGTAGTTGTTCCAAAATAACCCTGTTTCCCTTTGTCTTAGCACCGTCTCCTATGCTTGTCCCCCCCCCCCCACCTGCAGATCCCTCTTCAAGACTCGAGGGTCCCGCTGACCTTCCTCCTGTCTTGCTCTCACTCGCCCTTTCTCATACACACGCACGCACACACACGCAACATTCCTCCCGAACTTGGGCGAAAGCAGTCTCATGGCCTACCTGGATAGAGCCCAAGACTAGACTCGACTCGACCTCCCTCGATCGTGCGAGAAATCCACGTCTGTCGTTCCTTCTTTTCTTGAACCCCGTCGACTCTTATTTGACAACTCGGACTCGGACTCGCGCGTTTGTTTCCCTCTCCTTCCACCGAACCACATCGGCATCACCTCTTTCCTTTTTTCGACATCCTGAGACTCAGCCTTGCAGCCCGCAGTGGCCGATCAAACGCGGATAATTGCCCAACCAGAAATTCCTCCCTCCCCCTTAACCCGCAATCCCACCACGACACCGCTCGCTTTCCATCCCCTCCCCTCCCAGGCTCCCCCTTCTCGACTGTCAACCGCAATCCGGCCAAGTCCGTACCTACGACTGGTTTATTGTTGATCAACCAACCCGGCTCGGCCTTGCCACCGCTGTCGTCAAGTCATCGCGCAGTCGTTACCATTACCCATTTGGATCTTCTGACCCATCCGAAGCCGCCCCGTCGCTCGGTCATGCTAGCTTAACAGTCCCGCGGTCCGACCTCTGTTTGTGTCGCACAATCCAAGCCCTCCGCACCCTTGACCCACATTCCATCAATTCGCCCTCTCGTTCGTCTTCTTCTTTCCTCAACAACCCCCGTCGTCCCGTCCCTTCGGTATCGACCATTTTCTTCAACATCATCAAGAAGAGAAACACTGTCGATTACTTCGCGGGCGAGTAACGACGTGTGTTGACGGCAGGTCCGAGTTGCGCTATCACACACTCCTTCATCACTTCGGTCCTAGTAGGCTGCCAATAGCCTCTTCTCCTTTTCTTCCTTCTTCTTCTCTTCTTCTTCTTCGTCGTCTGTATTTTTCAACTTGACCCGGATCGACCCCATCGATATCCTTCGATCCCTTTGGACTATCAATCGTCCGTCTTCACCGACACCCCGACCTTCAAGATGGGATGCCTCAGCCACCGTAGGAAGGTCGCCGAGCAGCGTGCCGAACAGAAATGGGACTACATTGTAAGCTGACTTCGCCGGCGCAACGACACCGCACCGTGACGCTAACAATCTGTAGAACCTCAACGACTTCACTTCGCGCGGCTGTCTCACCCCCTTCGCCTACTTTTACCTCTGGCTCATGTTGGTCATTTCAATGGCCGTCTACGGCGTCGACATGTTTACTGCCGTCAACCTGCTGGCCTTCGACCGTTGGTCTTCCGAGATCGACCCCGCCATCGATTTCAAAATCTCAAAATGGATCTTCTCCATCTCCATCATCGCATCCTTCATCAACATTGCTTTTGAGCAATTCAGGGCCATGCGCGTCATGAAGCGCGGGAATGTAGCTGAATGCTACCTCGACAACATTGCTGTCCGTCTCGAGAGTACACGGATGGGCAAGGGCCAGGGCTGGAAGCGCTTCTTGGTCTTTGCCGAGCTCACCAAGAGCAAGAAGGGAGCCGAGTATATCGCCCTCTTCACCTACTTCAGCTTCCAATGTAAGTCGCACCCTCGTCGTTGTTGCACGATATCTACTGACGTATCTCAGCTTGGATCCGTGTTTTCGTCTGTTCTGGCCCCCGTCAAGTCGTCAATGCCTTGACGCTCAAGTCGGTCTACGATGCCAAGCTTGCAGTTCATGAAGCATCCGTCGAGGGATCCCTGCTGGGCTTCTTTGATAAGATCAGGACGCTCGCCACCGAGGACTATCAGCAGGCCCTCATCCTGTCCGGCATGCTCTTCACCCTCGTCATCTGGGTCTTCTCCGTCCTCTATCTCATATTGGCCGTCCTCTTCTACGTCTTCTTCCTGTTCCACTGGATCCCCAAGGCCGACGGCGGCCTCTCGGGTTACTGTGAGCGCAAGGTCACTAAAGCCCTCATGAAGATCGTGACCGCCAAGGTCAACAAGGCCCTGGCGAAACAGGAAGAAACCAAGCGGAAACTTGAACTCAAGGCGGCCAAGAAGAATGGCGAGAAGCTGCCTCTGGAACGCCAGGCTACTCTGCCCACGCTTCCCAACGTGGGAGACCCGGATAAGCTTGCCGAGATGCCCATGTATGGCCGCAACGACACTTTCGCGACGCTCCCCGCCTACGAGTCTCGACCCGGTACTCCTGGTAGTATCGAGCTCAACTCGATGGACCAGAAGCGTCCCTTGCCTTCGAGAATGGGTACCACAGCCTCCAACGCCAGTTATTCCTCTCGTGCGCCGTTGGTCGCTGGTGCGGCCGACTTTGGCTACCAGCGATCTGCCTCGCCCGTTCCATCGCTCCCGCCGATGGATTTGAATAACTACCCGCCCGCTCGGCCTGGTACATCCAACTCTCAACGGAGCTTCCGGCCTCAAATGTCGCATATGCATACCAACTCACAAGGCTCATTACGAGGGGGCTTCTCCGAGAGCCCCGCTGCATACTCCCGAGACGCTTTGCCCCCTTTCCCTCCTCCTGCCAGGTCTGCCACTGGCCAGACGATGGACGGCTACGGCCTGCAAAGGCAGAACACCTACCAGACTGACCGGTCCACGCCGGCACCTAGGGGCACCTATGACGACTACTCGAGCCAGCCTAACGGCCGAGCCAGCCCCGCACCTTCGGTCTACTCGACTCGTACCGGCGCTCCCCCGCCGCGTGGTCCTGGCCCGCTCAACAACGCGCCCCTCCAAGCGTACCAGCCATACGCTCCGATGCGAAGCGCGACCGGCCCCGTTCCTCCCCGAGGCCCGCCGAATGCACCTGTGCGGAACATGACGGCGCCTGTGCCTCCTCGTCCGCAGGAAGACTACATCGCCCGTCCGGGCACGTCGCAAAGCCAAAGACCCGCCCCGCGCGGTCAGGGCTATGGCTACAACAACGATATTGAATCCCAAAGAAACCAGCGTTACTAGGCATATCGGACTGGGGCTCGGGGCTCATAGATCATCGTCGGGCTCGGGCCGGCCGCTTTCTTTTTCATAATGTCTCTTTACGATTCAAGGGGGCGTCATGCAGCGTGAAGGGAAAACGCGCATTGCTACCAAAGGCTTCCCACCATTACTTCTCCACCCATGCCTTGAGCCTCGTACTTGAAGGTTTGGATTCAAGTATCTGGCCATGCATCGGGCTGTCCCATCTTTTTACGACCATCCATTCGATACCCCTCCGAGTTTTTTCACTTCTCATTCGTCATGTACTATAAAGGGGAATAAGGGTCTACTGTCTACAGAAGTGCTCTAAGGGCCGCTAGGGGAAATCCAGAACCATTGTACTACTAGCTACTAAAGTAATACAGCTTCACCCTCTGACGAACAATCCGAAGTTGGCTCTCTTTCTATCCGTGATGGTATCTGCATTGCGCATCGTCTTTATTATAATCCCCGCGGTTTCCATGGCCCCCTTGCTGCATCGGGAGATTTTTAGAGTTTGGACCCACCCGCCTGATGAACCCTGTCAGCTCGGGAATGCCAGCTGCCAGCAGTACTGCCAGCATCGGCATCTTAACTGTCAGTTACTCCGCATCACGACATGTCGCGCCCTTCGTTGCTGATTTGTCACTCACATATCAATATAGTAAAGTAAGCCTTGGAGTTCAAACCCCGAGATTTTGCTAACAAGAATCCTCGAACAATCTACTGGCAATAGCCGCTGCTGATAAATAGGATATCGCTCACCTGAGAAGCCGAGTGAATATATGGTCAAAGATGCGCAACCCCTGCATATGAATTACACCACCTTGCTAGCAACTCTATTCGCATCACACATCCTCCCACCAGACGCTCTGTTCATCCCAGCGCCCAAAATGCCAGCACGGACAATTGAATTCCACCCGGGTGAGGTCGCCCTCCACGACCTCCTCAAAATACCAAGCCGATCTAACCCTACCGCCGCCGGCCTCCCGCCGTCATACGGCGCCCGCATCGCCGCATCGCCGCTCGTGGCCCTCGGCACACTCGACACGAAAGGCCGGCCGTGGACAACGCTCTGGGGCGGCGAGAGGGGCGCTGTGGCACGACCAATCGCGGAGGACGTGCTGGGCGTCCGGGGCCTGGTCGATGTCACTGACGACCCTGTCCTCTCCGCGCTCTGGGGCTTGAGCGGAGAAGGGAAAGGCTTGAAGGAGGGAGTCGTGCAGCCCGGACTAGAAGCGGACGGGGGAAAGCTTATATCGGGATTGGGGTTTGACCTGATGACGCGGGACCGGGTGAAGTTCGCGGGTCGGATGGTTGCCGGGGCCGTGGAGGGTGGGGAGGTACAGATGGCGGTCCAGGTGGAAGAGAGTTTGGGAAACTGCCCAAAGTATGTGAACAAAAAGGATGTCACCGCCAGAGGCTCGATCGAGAAGGGTAGGGTCGAGAGGGGATTGCCGCTGGGCGAGGGGGCGCTCGAGCTCGTCAGACGGGCGGATATGATGTTCCTGACCAGCGCGCACGATGCGAGTATGGACACGAACCATCGTGGAGGATCGAGGGGCTTCGTGAGGGTTGTAAGCAACGACGAGGGTGGGGTGGAAATCATCTATCCCGAATGTGAGTTTTTCTCCTGACTATCCGGAGGCTAACATAGGCGGTAAACCCCCCGGATACATGAACCTCCTTCATTTTCGCAACCTAAATAAAGAAGGAGTCCTAACTGGTGGTTACAGATTCTGGCAATAGGTTATATCAGACGCTAGGCAACCTTAAGCTGAACCCCTTGGTCGGTATCGCGATCCCAGACTTTGAGACGTCTGACGTCCTCTACGTGAGTGTCACTTCCTTTCGACGCCATCCCGGCTTTTTCTACAAAACCAGAAGAAGAAGAAGAAAAGAGCACGCCCAAGCCAGGAACAAAAGGCTAACTATGTTTTAGCTCACAGGGTCGGCGTTGATCCTCGTCGGGCAGGACGCCGCCGCCTATCTCCCACACACGAAGCTCGCTGTCAAGATTACGGTGTCGGCGGCCGTCTTCGTCGAGACCGGGCTGCCGTTTGCCGGCACGCCCCTGGAAGCGTCGCCATACAACCCTCCCGTACGGCGGTTGCTCAGCGAGCAGCATCACTCGCTGTCATCCGAATCACAAGCCGAAAGGAAGGCAACCTTGGTCAGTCGTGAGGCGATCACGCCGACGATGGCGCGCTTCGTCTTCCGGCTGGAGCCCGGTGCGAAGTGGGAGGCCGGTCAGTACGTCACCCTCGACTTCTCCGAGGAGCTGGACGCGGGCTACAGCCACATGCGCGACGACGAGCCCCAGAGCCTGAACGACGATTACGTGAGGACGTTCACCGTCTCTAGCCCGCCGGGAAACGGAGAAGAGTTTGAGATCACGGCGAGACGGAAGGGGCTTGTCACGGGTATGCTGTGGAGGTGGAACGTGAAGGTCCCGCTCGAGGTCCCCGTGCTGGGTTTCGGCGGTGAAGAGGCGTTCAGGTTGGGACGATGGGAAGGGGACGGAGTGGAGGAGGTGTTTGTGGCGGCGGGCGTCGGGATCACGCCCGTGCTCGCGCAGGCTAGTGGTGTGCTAGCGGCGGGGAGCAGGCTGAAGGTGCTCTGGAGCGTTAGAGCCCAGGATTTGAAGCTGGTGAAGGAGGTATGTGGGAGGGTGGATGGGTTAGGTGGTGTGTTGAAGGTGTTCGTTACGGGCCTAGGTGGGGGGGCAGAGGAAGAGGAGGAGGAGGAGGAGGCTATCAAGGAGATTGTGGGCCTCGGGGTTACGGCCGAGCGACGGAGGATACGGGAGGAAGACGTGAAGGAAGGAGCTGGAAAGAAGAAGTTCTTTCTGTGCACGGGGCCGGAGATGGCGCGCGTCCTGGAGGGGTGGCTGGAGGGGGAGGAGGTTGTCGGGGAGATTTTCTTATTTTGAGGCAGCACGACTACCTAGTGTCAGTCGGTGAGGTTGGGGCCGAAGATTCGCAATAAACACCACGTGGTCGGCATAGAGTCGAATTGCCTGGTGAACATTTCTGGCCGTGGTCAAGGGGGAGGGGAGGGGATTCATTCAATGCGCAGGTTAAACACCAAAGTCATTTAGATGCGTGTGTTCTTTGATTGGATGATATATCTGTACCTACGTACGAGTCGGTCTGGGAAGACAAAGCTTGGGATGTTGGGTGATGTAAGATCACGATGGAGAGTTGGGTGGTCAACTAGCTTTCTGCCTCATCGTACGATGCAGTGTGCGTGTGTAGTAGTGTAGGTAGGTAGTAGACTCGTTACAGAACATAATGGCTCATTTAAAGAGTCGATCTGAGACACCATGCCAAGAGGTTTCATCGAACCCCCGACGGGGGATTCGGGTAGTTACTGTCTTCCGCCGCCCAGAGATCGGTTAAATTTAAGTCGTACAAACAAAGCCTTTCCCTCCTGAAGCTTTGTGTAACTAAAAAAAAGAGACCGATGATGGCAGGTACTTTCGCGTCGGGTGCGTTTACCACCGTGGGGTGAAGTACAAGTACATCCGTCTCCACCCAGCCATCGGCACCTGCCGGCAGCTGGGCGTCACCATCACGATCTTCCCCACATAAGCCGCGATACCACATGATTTCTCGATCATCACTACTTCGTACACCAACCCCCACGACGTTCCAGGCCTGGTACCGAGAGTCTTCATCGACGGCCTAGCCCAATCTCGCAGCAAGACCGCCTCGTTCTCTCGTTGCGAGAGAGAGAGAAAGCGGCTGTTTGTCAAGCTGGCTCACCCCCCCCCCCCCCCCCTTTCGAACACCAAAAGCCGACGGCCGACCGCAAAGCAATACAGCCGGCCCTACGAGGTAAGTCAGCATTCGATTGAAATGCCGTCGTCAGACGTTCATCTATCGCGGCTGGTTCGCTGAGTGAATGGGGCGAATGGGGCCATTCTGCGTCAGCAAACATGGGAAGCTCTCACCGATTGACCGATCATACAAGCTTGGTCTCTGCGCAGCTCGACATTTAATCGAGGTGGATCGATCCATGGATGGGTGTGAGGCATGCGGACTCTGATCGAAGACGTGCATGGGAATGGGCATTTCCATTCGTGATGAGTGATCCAGCACCATGCATGGGGATATCGATCGGGCTGGAACTGAGGTCGTCGTCGGATCGAACCAGTCTGCAAGAACCCCCCAAACACGGTCGGATCGATGGACTCGGCAGAGCACAGGACTCACAACTGTCGCGTAGCAAAAGCTCTGGCGGCTGCCTCGCATCGTCAGGTCCTCGTCGCGCGCGGCTTCTCTTCCGCCGCGAGTATGCTTCTGCGGCTCCATCACCCCCCTGCTACGGCTGACGATGCCTGTTGGACCGATCAAGCGAAACCAAACAAGGCATATCTCGAAGACCGGGCTTGGGCTAATCATCCCCTAACCGATGCAAGGACGGTTTGCATACTTACAGCAGCCACTGGCCAGCCCCGCCCCCCAAATTCGGACCATGCATTTGGATAAGGACCCAGACTTATGGGATAAAGAAGAAAAAGAAAAAAAAAACGAACACGAACAATGTGACAGATCTCGATTGCGCGCTGACAGGGCGCTTGTCAGCAAGCGCCGATGCGTACGGATACACACTGCCGATTTGAACGCAAGGGCAATGAATGGGCTTACATTGTCCGTACCTACTTGCAAATGCATCGGCCCCGCACCCATCGTCCTGCCATCGACGACGTCCCCGGGCCCCTTCTGAAGGAAATGTGCCGCCCAGAGAGGCTCTTCCTTGGAGGAATGACGACGGAATGGGACCTGAGATGTTGGGGCTGAAGCTGGAATGCCTGACCCGCAAAAGGGAATGTAAGCTCCACGGATCATGGGGATCATGAATACCGGTACTACCACGTATGCACCCAGCATGAAGCCCGCCAGACAGGTACAATAGGATTCTCCGGCGACAAACGGTCGATTGCCGTCCCGATGCTGGTGGCCGTCTCCACCACGAACATGGGCAAAATCAGCCCATTTTTTGTGCACCCAGACTGCGCGTCCAATCAGGCTCGGGAAGGTTGCAGGGTGATGATGCATCACAGCTACGTACTCCGTACTCTGTACCGGTACACGACGCACCTAGTAGACTGCGAAGTCAGAGCAGGGGTCCGAGGACGGTGTGGGAATCGAGGAAAGCCGTTACTGTTGCGTATGGCGATCGCTATGATGGCCTGATCAAACGCGAATCTGACCATCGAATTCTATGTACGATGCACTTCGTCGACGCAGCATTCACACACCCCTTTCCGCCCGCGTCATGTCACGCCCCACACGCCCAGCACTTCGGAGCATCGCACCGCTCGCCGCAACTCGCCACAATTTGAATTGGACGACCTAAAGATGGAGCCCACGAACCTATCCGAGGACCTTATGCTGACAGTGGGCGAACAACCCCTTGTCGGATTACCTATCGAGCTTGTGTCTGACCCCGCCTGAACCGCACAGCACTTGGCTGGGTCTTCTGGCCTACCTATTTCGAACGTACTCCGTACAGTGTACACTACGGACAAGGTGACGATCCATTGCCGTCATGGCTTACCCATCCGGCAGAGCCTTCGTTCTTCTGCTGCTCCCTTCACCGATGTGGATAGGGCGCCCCCCTTCTTTGCAGCCCTTTCAGGCATGAAAGCGGAACCTCTGCGAACCGAGAATATGGACCTGAACCTGTTGCTCCCATTTGCCATGAGTCCATGACTACCTACCGGTACCTCTGGACAGAGAGAGACTGACTGAATCAAATGGTTCAATGGTGTAATACCCCTCCCTACACGACCGGACCGAAAACCCCCTTCTCGGATTGGATGGAGAAAGAGTCCCCTCCCTTGTACCGATCGATCTTGTAGTCCATGCTTGCTTGCTTGCTTGCCTCGCCGGACCACTTCGGCAAGGACCCTTCGTCTCGAGATTCTATCCACACGCCCCTTGTCCCGATCACCGTGTTCCACGCATCAACTCGCGATCAAGACCAACGGTATCCCACGATCGCTGACAACGGTAGCCTTAATCCCCACTAGCCGTCACCACCCACCATGGTTCCCCAAGTACCGTAGTCAGTCGTGTTTTGCTTAGCAAGTCCACGTGTATAGTTTTCAATCTGTTTTCAATCAAGTAGCTAGCCGCCCTTCCATCACTTCGCCTTGTCCCATCCTACATCTGCTCAATGACCTGTCATCTTTTCTAAACTTTTGATCCCCTCCATCCATCATCAAATCCTCTCGACCTGCCGTTGACCTCCTGTCCAGCCTGCCAGCCTGCCAGCATACGAATAGCCGCATGATGCAAAGTGCCTAATCGCATCCTCCTATTACCTCTTTCGGGCCCCGCTCCTATCTATTTTCCAAAACCAATCAACCGACCCCCCGGCCTGCCATTCTGCTTCCGTCCACTGCTCCGTCGCTTTATAATCGCACTTGGGCTCGCTGTCAGCCTTTCACCATGTCTACACAAGAGCTTCGATACCAGACGTCTTGCGTCCAAACCGAGAGGACGGACCGTGTTCTATCATTCCGGACTCAGTACCGGAAACCCTCGACGATGAATCCATGGGAGTCGTGTGCGCTTGAGGTGAGTACCGAGTAACATGGACCCCGCGTCTGCCAAACTGGCAACTGACTTGCCGCTCAGTATCAATTCTCCAACAACGAAAATGAGCAAGGTTCTCAGGGAAACGCTGCGTCTTGGCGACGACCCCAAGCCGCCGCCGATCCTGTCATGTACCCCGGGCTGTACTGTCCCTCGGGCTTCGACATGATGAGCATTCTTGTAAGCCCAGTAAAACACCCCATCAGCAACCCCCCAAACTAACAACACACTCAGCTACGCGTCGCGGGCCGCCCCAACCCTAAGGTCGAACTTGGCGCCATCGACTGCTCCGTCGCCCTGCTGCTCTGCGACCTCCAGCAACCCGACACTCCGATCGTGTACGCCTCTGAACACTTCAGCATCCTCACCGGCTACACGAACAGAGAGATCCTCGGCAAGAACTGCCGCTTCCTCCAGGCGCCCGGCGGCAAGGTCAGCAAGAAGTCGGCCCGCAAGCACGTCGACAAGGAAACCGTCAAGAGCATGCGCAAGGCCGTCGAGATGAACGACGAGGTCCAGCTCGAAGTCCTCAACTTCAGGAAGGACGGCACCCCTTTCGTCAACCTCCTCACCATGATCCCCGTCCGCTGGGACTCCCAAGATTTCCGCTACTCCGTCGGCTTCCAGGTGGAGCGGGAGAACTGATTAAAAAATTCAAAAAAGGAAAAAAAAAAAAAAAAAAAGTGAACGGGCTTTTGATCGGTTTCTCCTTCGGAATCGATCTGGTGCTCGTCCACAACGTTCAAGCACTTGTTTTCCTTTACAAGGCAACAAGTATGTCGCGGCTTTCTACGAGCGAGGCATCTGCTATCAGGCATTTACGATACCCATGGTACACACATACGAAATTAGAGCTCAGGCAAGTCCTAACTCTCAACAAAAACGACGTTTGGATTTTTATTTTTATTTTTTTATTTAATGTATGGCGAGGTTTCCTATCTACGGCGTTTACCAAGAGCAGTTTCCAAAGCATAACATCATCATCAGCAAGAATAAGAAGGGGAGTTGGCCGTGTGGGGATACGGAGTCACTTATAGGTGTACAGGAAGATTCTGGTCGTTTTCTTTTCTTTCTTCCCCCCCCCCCTTCCCCACCTCGCTGGAGGTATTCCCCGCGTGGGTGGCAAGCATTGTTTTGTTTACTATCTCAAACGGACGGAAGAGGCTCGAAGCATCTGCGATGGCGTTGACAGTCAGGCACCGGCCTTTGACTGGAGTTTTTTCTGGGACTTTTCTACCATGTACAGCACATGATATTGGATCATGACGAAATAGGTTAGCACAGATAGGCCATCGGCGAATCAAAAGTCACTGGCGTTTCCTTTTAGGACAAACAAACCCTTTTCCTAATTGGTCCAACGTTGCCTTGGGACGCATGGTCCTGAAGAATGATCTTACTGCAGTGATTATGACGTTACACATGGCGTCCATTAACATCAGGCCACCATCGCCATAACTGTGACGGAAAGTAAACCTGGTATAAAAAAAAAACCATTTACGGAGGAGTTTATTTCCCCGTTCGAATGAGAGCACGTACTACCCGACGAATTCCGCCAGTTCGCGGGCGTTATACACGTCATGCTGCTTGTGTGACAACTACACCTATTTCGCATCCGCGTTAGGAAAACAAAATGAATACATGGAGGGGGGTTAGCCGCAACAACCCGCGCTCGTGGCCGTAGGCACCGTAGTCCCGCATGCCTTTTCCCCTATTCGTCCTCCATCTCCCCCCTTCTGCCATTTCCGGCCGCACCCTGCTGCGCAAGAGCTCAGTGGCCAAAAGGCGTCCGACGCGATTGGCGCCGCAGTACGGACGTCCGGATTTCCCACACCCCGTCCCGCACCGGAAACGGGGACTCGAGTTACCTAAGCCTGCATGCAGGGCGGTCTGTCTTGGGACTGGAATAAAAGGCATCGACCCAAGCACCGGCCGCGACGTGATCCAGAGAGAAAGGAAGGAAAACCGGACAAGAGTGACCACAGAAGGGATAAAGACGACTAAAAAAAACGAAACCTCTACGGCTACGGAAAAGAAAGAGAAAAGAAAAAGAAAGTCGCGCAAACATGCCTCTCCGCGGACCCGTGCCGGTGAAGCTGTACAAGAAGGAGGACAGCGAGAAGATCAGCGTCGGGCCGATGACCATCTACATCTTCGAGGACGGGAGCAACACGGACAACCGGATCGGGTGCATGACGCTCGAGCTGCCGCCGGCCACGTCCGGGCCCCCGATGCACTGGCACCGGTTCCACGACGAGTGCTTCTTCGTGACCAAGGGTGGGCTTTTACCCTCCCCCGCGATTGTACCACGAAGCCTGAGATCTGGTAATCGACCTCGGGAGAAGGGGAGCGGACGTACTGACGGACTTGACGAATCAGGAACGGTACGCTTCAAGACACCCGACGGGGATGTCGACGCCCAGGAGGGCCAGCTCATGGTCGTTCCCCCGCGGGCAATCCACACCTTCGCCAACCCGTCCGAGACCGAGCCTGCCGAGTTCTTCATGACCTCCACCCCAGGTGCGTCACGCGACAGCCACAGACATGTCCCCCCAAAGATTAGACTGCGGACGGGGACCCTTGCACAAGTAGGTGAATAATCTTCAAGCGGCGCAAGATTCCACGGTTTTCTTGTGGCTTTCACGAAGGCTTGCGTGTCTTGAATCGGCGGCGAAACGGTTCAGTGCGTGTTTGCATATTTGACGCCCTCGACGCAGGGATACGTAATACGCTGAAGTTGTTGATGCCGGGAAAGTAGAGCTCGAACTATTGTTGCTTTGCCCAATTCAAATTAAATCTCTTTCTTGCCCAAAGCGGGACATGGAGCCGTGCTTTGCAACACGGTGCACAGGGTAGACTATGCCGGCTTGGGCAAGAACTCTCTGGTTGAGCTGTGTGCAACCGTAAAGGCCAGATAGAAATCCTCAGCTTCCACGCGGACTCACCGTCAGTAAAATCGTCGTGGTTCATGACTCCAGCCTCGTAGCATATGTAGCGAGTCTGTGTAGGTGACTCTGCACAGTCCGGTGGAGATGAAATCCGGCATGCACCGCAGCTTGTGATTGCAGGAGACGGTTATCAATTAGGTCCAGGCGTGATGGTCGTCTCAGCATAAACATGTGTGGGTACTATAAGCACATGAAGTTCGCATAAATCATTCTTCGTAACGTGTAACACAGATGAGATCGTTAAAACCCAGTGCCTGACAAATCCAACTCCTTTGGGATGCACGGCCCTCATGGATAGTAGCAACCGTGGAGCTAACAATGCGGCGTATCTCATCCGTGTCACACATCCGCATTGCGCAGCTTGACGGGCCAGCATGAAAGCCGCAATAAGGGCAGTAACGAAGGTTCCGGATCCCTTACCCCACTCCCTATCCAAACCCTTGGGGCCGGGCCCGCCGATTTTTTTTGGCCCCCCCCCCCGGGGGGGTCAGGGCCACCCAAAAAATTTTCCCCCCCCCCCCCCCCCCCCCCCGCGTGCTAACTCGAGGAAACTAGGGTACTACATGGACTGTGAGTTGGGGAAACAAAAATAACCCCTCCTTTCCCTCCCCCCAATAGCCGCAGACAGGCTTGTCATCCCAAAGATGGGGTTGGGGGGGGGGTGTTGACCGTTGGAGAAAGCTAACGCATGATAGACTTCCGCACGATGAGCAAGACCGTCGCCGAGGGGAAGAAGCTATCTCGGGACGAGGTCCAGCACCTGATGGCGCTGTTCGGAACCTTCCCTCCGGACGTCGAGTCGGAGCCGTGAAGGCTGGACCGCCGCGCGGGGTGGGCGTTACGTGGGGGAGGCAGGCCTGTCATCCCTGTTCCCGTCCCTTTACGCACGGAAGTTTTCGAGGGAGCGTTGGCAGCCATGTTTGGAAAGGGAGGGGAGAGGGGAGGGGGGAGGACTTGGTGTGGACCCCCGATCGAGGGCACAATAGTTTATTTCTTCAATCGAAGGGATCTCCGTCTACTACCCGCGTCCCCGGCCTGCGTCTCCGCCGTGTCGTCTTTCGCAGCTATCTTCTTGCTTCTTGACGGGGGTTTTTTGGCTTTCTGTGCGGCCCTGGGTCCCCTCTGTTTCCGGTTTGACGGAGCCCCGGGAGGTTCGGGAGACGACTCCCCCGCCTTATCCTCGCCCTCTTGCTTGATCTCCGAGCCGGGCTTTGCCTGCGCGGGACCCCTGCCACCGCGTGCCTTCTTGGTCGGCTTCTCGTCTTCGCTTTCGCGCGCCTGCGCTTGCCTCTTGCCGACCCCCTTCTTCTTCAAAATAACCTTGGGCTGCGCCTCCTCGTCCCCGCTGAGGGGCTCCTCCTTGGCCGAGGGCACGATCTGCCCCGTCTTCTTCTGCCTCGCTGGCGCGTAGCAGCTCGTGCGCCCGCCGACGGTGACGAAGGCGATCTTGTCGCCGTTCGGCAGCGCCGACGCCGCGCCCTTGCTCCCCTTGCCCCAGCGGTAGTTGAACAGCCAGTCGGCAGGGAACTCGTCCGAGTCGCCGAGCTTGTCGACGGCCGTCTGGCACACGTACCGCACCGCCTCGTACAGCCGAGCGACCTCGGCCACGTCGAAGCTGTCGCAGTACTGCTCCGGGTGCAGCCTCGCCTGGTAGAGCACCTCGTCGGCGACCCAATTGCCGATGCCGCTGATGTGGGACTGGTCCAGCAGCAGCGCCTTGACGGGGACATGGCGCGTGCGCATCTTGCCGGCGAGGTAGGCCTCGGTGAAGACGTCAACGTCGACGACCGGGTCCGGCCCGTTCTCCTTCAGCGGCGAGTGCTTGCGGATGTCGGCGCCGGGGCAGTCCACGAGGCGGATGCGGCCGAAGCGGCGGGGGTCGGTGAAGGCGGCCGCGACGGGGGGGTTGTCGTCCGTCTCGAGCTGGAACTTCCAGTACTTCGGCGGCCAGACGTCGGCCTCGCCGGCCTTCATCTTCTTGTAGTAGTTTGTGTAGGCCGTCTTGTCGCCCTTGATGTGGATCCATCCTGTGAGGTGTCAGACCCGTAGCGGGGCGGTTGGAACGGGTTGGTGCTCATACCCGTCATGCCCAAGTGCATCACTGCGTGAGGGGGTTTATCAAAGGTTATCCTGTAGAAACCATGAGCATCCGACAGTCGTCCTACGCGAAACCGAGACGTACCAAAAGTATTTCCCCTGACTGCCTACAGACACGACCTTCCGGCCTTTCAGAGCCTTCTCGAACGCCGGGCCGCTGGTTCCGACCTTCCCAAAGACATTGGCATCATCAGGGGCAGAGACTTTGGCGATCTTCTTACCCAGGAGGTGGTGGCGCAGGAAGTGGACGCACCGGGCGACTATGAGAGCATGAGTTGTCTGTCTGATTGAGGCACATGCCAGTCGTACCTTCGGCAATTTCAGGCATTATGTCTACGATTGTGAAGCGACGCGACTCACCCGCCGTGAAACCGTTCTGCTCGGTGGTATGACGAGATGGAGACGAGCGGATCCATGACGCAGACAAACGGGACGCGTCGAGGTCTCGCAGTCCCATCCGCGTTCCGAGCCGCGAGTGCACGTGACCAGGTCCCCGAACTGTCCATTTTAGTGGGTCGTGGCCGACCGCGCGCGCCGAATTTTTCCCAGCCGGCGTCACCCCCACTCGAGGCTCAATTTTTCCTTCACCTTTAAAAATCTTTCCTGGCAAGCTTCCTCGTTCACACGATCACTTCTTCCACCAACCAACGCCGCGAAAAAACGCGGCGGCGGCAGGGAGAGCTACGTGGCCTCGCATGATCCGGTAAGTCTGCAGCGCGCGCCTATTTCTCTAATTTCTTCTGCTATACCCTCCCCAATCCTTGGTGATGACACGCAAACACCGCAAACTAGAGTCTTTGACCTAAATGGAATGAAACCTCTGTTTTACACGTCAGTCTGATAGGACACGACAAACATACCTTTTCGTTGTTGGACCTCGCGCTTCTCTTGAGCAAAAGTCGCTAACTCAAGCAACCCAGGTTTTATATGCAGATCCTTCTGACGCCGCGCTTCATATGGCCACGTTCCCGCCTTGAGATGGCTTGACAAAAGGTACGATGCGCCCGCAGACGCTGCCTTACACTGCTCCCGCCCCCTTTCCCACCACCGAGAACCTGATGATCATTTTTTCGTACAATGTACGGTTGGAATTACCGGCTGAAACTTGCTGTTGAAAAAAACTGGCTGTTTCTGACTGTTCTCGTTACCACCCATTTCCGTGTGCTGTGTGTACTCGTGGGATCACCATAACTAACATGGAATCCAATAGCCATCTAATACCTGATCGACAAGGTACATACCAACTCCCATCTTCTCCCTTCATCACTACATGATGAAACGGCACTGGGCTCCGAGAGTACCCATAAGGGACTCAGCCATGAGCAGACAAGCCGTTTTGTGGCAGGCCTAGAAAACCTCGCCCACTGATTCCTAGCCTAAAACTCAACTTGTCGGGACACATCTTGCTGTGCAGGAGGCTGACTTGCCCGCAACAGTGTCGAGATGGGAACTTTGCTATAAATATGGCTTCTGCTGCCAGTGCAGCTATTCGACGCAACCGCCTTCCACCTGGTCCAGTCTTGGTAGGTCTACATTTTTTTTTCTTGCACTCCCCCCACTGCCTACCTGATGAGTACATTAGATGACGAGTCTGATTTGGATCTTCCAATGCGGATAACCCTTTTTTATACCATTCATGCAACGACTGAACTTGGCAATCATACCCATTTTCTGAAAGACGATGATGCATGAACATCGCTAACCATTTCCAGATCACAGTTGTTCAAACGACAGACTCTCGGGGGGGGCTTTATGGTTCAAGTGGTAAGCGCAGACTCTTCCTCCTTCACCATCCCCAGCCTACCCACGGCTCCGTTCTTATGATGAACGATAAACCAAAGACAAGCATATGTCAGAGCCTAACGGCGAAGCTGAGACACGTTGACTACCAGTCATTCTGATCAAACGACCTCACAACTGCATTTTTCTTGGGACCATTGGAGACGTGCAGGTGGCTAATCTGACCTCCAGACCCATGTTGGATCCCATATTATTCCATCTTTCACCAGCAAATCATGCGCGAACAGGTAAGCTGCTTTTCTTCCTCATCCTCATCTACATACACCATCCCTCCCCCGCGTCTACATGATGATCATGAAATTTTCACGACGGTCTCCATAGCCATATGCTTTGATGATAATGCCTTTGACAAGGCCTCCGTACTGATATGACGCTTCATACACTGTTTTCTTTTCAAGTCGTGTCTTGCAAACAGTGGCTAACTGAAGTTGCTAGGCTCTCGTATTCATATGCAATGTCGAATGATGTTGGCGCAGCAATGGTAAGTCTAGGACTTCTGAATTACATAGATGTTCAAATACAATGGCTTGTTTAAGAGCTCTATTTTGTTATCGACATTACAGACATGTGACTTAGTTTTTCTAAACTACTTGTGCGTGATCGCGGCTTTCAGTATACTAGAGATATCAGACTCCAAACCATGGCGTGCCTTGCTGCTGCCTTATCGACCACATAATCACGCAACCCCGCCATTATCGACGCCAGCTTCAAACGAAGGCTCTTCTCTTCGTCTGACTCGATCCGGATTTTCATCTAGATCATCGTCCATATTTTGTCTAGACTTCCGTCAGGCTTGCATCCAGAGTTTTATCCGAATTTCCATATAGGCAATAAATCTGCATGATGCGGATGCTTGGGAGGGGTCGGACCTAGATACCTCTGATCTCCAAGATGGCAGAAGCATTCGGCCTCGCGGTCAACATTGCCACCATTGTTGAACTATCAACGAAAATTGCAAAAGTATGCCTTCAGTATTCCAAAGAGGTCAAGAACGCGAAGGAAGAGATAGACCGGGTCGAAAAGGAGACCCTCAACCTGAAAACCGTCGCTGAGAGTGCCTCGGAGCTGCTCGAGGGCCCCCATGGCGCCACGCTGAAAACGTCCCAGACGTTGGTCGGTGCCGCCCAGGCAGCTGCGTCACGGCTCAAGGCCCTCGATGCTGAGCTTCGCCCTTCCGACACTCGCAAGGCAATGCGCCGGTTCGGCGTCCGGGCCTCCAAGTGGCCTTTCCAGAGCAGAGATGTCGAAAAGACGGTGCGGGACATTGAGAGATACACGCAGATGATCTCGATGGGGCTACAAATTGACCAGACGTACGTTACAAAACCCATTTGCTATACCGCTGTCAGGTACCATAGGCTAATCAGCTAGTGGCACAGAACGATTCTACTCAGCCTCGACCAGAAATTCGTGCTCGACAAACTACCAACCGCCCCCCGAGGCCTCATTTGATTCCCACGCTGAAAAGCATAACCCGACTTGCCTACCAAATACCAGGGTAGAACTCCTGAAGGAGCTGGATCGATGGACCAACGACCCCAGCGCAGAGGCCGTCTTTTGGCTCAATGGTATGGCAGGGACGGGGAAATCAACAATCTCTCGCACTATCGCTCAGTCCTTGGCCGAAAAAGACCAATTAGGCGCTAGCTTCTTCTTCAAGAGGGGCGATGGTGATCGAGGTCACGCATCCAAATGCTTCACGACGATAGCCTCACAGCTAGTGAGTCGTCTGCCAATGCTGGCTCTTCATGTGAAGGGCGCGATCGATGCCGATCCAGCAATACACACCAAATTTTTTGCGAGAGCAGTTCAAAAGACTTATCTTCGAACCTCTTGAAAAAGTTCAAGGAGCTTATAAGGGTGCTTCTGTTGTTATTGTTGTTGATGCTCTAGACGAGTGTGAGCAAGACAATGATATCAAACTCATCATCAACTTGTTCTCCTCCGGAAAGGCTCTCAAGTCTCCACGACTCAAGGTTCTCCTCACTAGCAGGCCGGAACTGCCTATTCGACTAGGGTTCAGTGCAGTACAAGGTACATATAACAACCTGGTTCTTCATGAGATACCTGCCCCGATTATTGAACACGACATATCAGCCTTTCTGGAGTACGAACTGGCGCGTATTAGAGATGAGTACAACAGCTCTGTTTCAGAAGAAGACGACTATCTCCAGTCTGGCCTGATAAATCCAACTTTCAAACCCTAGTGAAAATGGCAATTCCGCTCTTTTGGCGCAGCTATTGAATATTTCTCAAAATAGCGTCGAAGACAGGCTCGACATGCTTCACTCCGTCCTAGACGTTCCCGAAAATTCTGCTGCTCCTGTACGATTGCTTCATCTGTCCTTTCGCGATTTCTTAGTAGATCCCCACTACCGAGACAGCAACCCATTTTGGATAGACGAAAGGGAGGTCCATCGCCAAACGGCGACACATTGCCTCCGTGTCATGGGCAAGCATCTCAGAGAGGACATCCTGAACTTGAAAAAGCCGGGTACTCCCCGGTCCTTGGTGGGCTCTTTGGACATTGATGCTTGCCTGTCATCGGAAACCAAGTATGCGTGTCTTTACTGGACACATCATGCAGCGCAGGCGAACTCTGGGGCAGACCTTCTTGAAACCGTCTACGATTTCCTCTGCCGCCATTTTCTACACTGGTTTGAAGTGCTGGCCTGGCTTGGAAAGGCCTATGAGATTGTCGCCATGCTTCGGGCAATTCAGTCCGCTGCCGCAGTAAGTGCACATAGACAGACCCGCTGAGTACATGATGGCTGACCAAGGAATAATAACAGCACTTGGACAGCGGCGCACTTCAAAAAGTTTTTGGGTGATGCGCAAAAGTTCGTCCGCTCAAACGTCCACATGGTCAGCACCGCACCTCTTAAACTTTATTCATCTGCACGCATCTTCACACCCCAAAGAAGCATAGTGCGTCGGACTTTCGCAGAGACTATGCCCTCCTGGATTTCCCTCCACCCAGAACCAGAACTAGACTGGGATCAGTGCCTGCAAAAGCTTGAGTGCCACAGCGATAAGGTAGAGTCAGTTGCTTTCTCCCACGACTCGGCCCTCATAGTGTCAGCATCCCGTGACAGAACAGCCCGAGTCTGGCGTACAGATACAGGTGGGTGTATCCAGCAACTTGTCCATAGTAATATCGTTCGGTCAGTTGCTTTCTCCCAGAACTCGGCCTATATAGTATCAGCATCTAGAGACAGAAGAATCTGTATATGGCGCACGGATACAGGCGAGTGCATTCAGGAGTTCAAAGACCATTACAGAGCCGCGGTTTCAGCTGGCTTTTCCCATGACCCAGCCCTTATAGCGTCAACATCAGGGGATGGGACAATCAGGATCTGGAACACCAAAGAAGAAAAAAAATCATACTATAAAAAGAGAGGAAAACAGCGGTGGTTTCGATTGGGTTATCCTCTCACATGACTCTGATTTGATAGCATCGTTATCGGACAACAGGCTCCTGACCTGGCACACTGTTACAGGCGACTGTATCCGAGAGTTTGAAGGCGGCAACAACGAACATTACAGTACAGTCGTTTTCTCGCACAACTCAGCCCTTATAGCATCGGAAGATCATGGTACAGCCCGAGTCTGGTGCGCTAGGACAGGCAATTGTATCAACGAATTCAGAGCCGACGGCCATCGCTTCAGAGCGGTCGCCTTCTCACACAACTCAGCCCTTATAGCGGCATCATCAAATAGCGATACAGTCTACATCTGGCGTACTGATACAGGCGAGTGTACACAAGTGCTGGAGAACAAAACTGAAACGACTCAATTCGTCACTTTCTCACACGATTCATCACTGGTCCTGGCATCAACCGACGATGGCAAAGATGCTCAGATCTGGCGTACTGATACAGGCAAGAGTATTCAAAAGCTAGAAAGGTGCACAGTGAGCTGGGCCAGATCTGCTGTCTTCTCGCACGACTCGGCCTTTGTAGTGTCGGCATCGTCCAATGAACTCAGGGTATGGAAGATCAATACAGGCGGCTGCGCTCGAGTAGTCCCTACAAAAGGGTGGGATATGCAGCTTTTGTCTTCCGAGCCTGGCAACTTGCCATTCGGGCCAGGCAAATTGCCATCCGAACTCAGCAGCACCTGCATCGTCACCAATATCGGCGCCATAGCCTTTGCCAAGAGTGCTACAACCTTCAGCACTATTGGTATTGGCGTCAGTCGAGATCGTTGCTGGATCACTTGGAACGGCCAGAACCTATTGTGGCTGCCGGTTGAATTCCGCTCAGAAAAGACAGCTGTCCGAGGGTCGACTGTTGTGATCGGATGTGACTCTAGACTCATCGTTTTCCGGTTTAACGAGGCCGCTCTTCGACTGATATACGGCTAGACCTTTGGGTTGGGGGTCCGGGAAGTTTGTACGCATGTAAATAGAGAGATTGTGATTATTTTCCTCCCTTCCTTCATCCGTTGTTCTGTCTGTTTTCTGATCCCTTCTGTCCTCTATCCTTTCTTCCGTTCTTCCTCCGTCGTGTAGATTCCTGGAATACGACTCAATCCAGATGTGGCTTTCGAGACGTAATGCTACCAATTCATTACAAAACACGGAGCCAGAAACAAGACTCAAGGGGCGCAAAATCGTTGCCATTATAGCTATCATTAAGGGGTATCATTAAAGTATTCAGCCAACACGTCCCGCACATATATGCAGTGCCCCGTTTTCAAGTTTTTGTCCGCATCCGAATCCCAAAGAACGCCCAATCACTGGATGCACCTAGACCCCATCCAAAGGCTCCTCCGCCATACCATGTACAAAATTCTCTCCCGAACTTGGTTTCCTTACAGACCCCCGACGCCTACGCACACCGCGCCGGCAATCATGGCGACCAAGGCCGCAAAGGAGTCCCTCGGGTTGCTGACGGCACCGGCGCTCTTGGGCGTCGCCGTGGCGGTGAACAGCCCCGTCAGCACCGTCGACGATGACGAGGCAGCCGGCTGCGTCGACGTCGGGGCCTGCGTGGCCAGGGGCCAGTCGCTCGAGTCGCTGTACAGCACGCCGTTGATGACGGTGCCCTCGCCGCGCGCAATCATGCTGACCTGCTCGCCGGTGCAGGAGCCCTGCATGTACCGCAGCCAGCACGTCGGTTCCGGCGAGCTCGGCAGCTTGTCCGTATGCGTCGCGTACGCGTCGCCCGAGGTGTTGAAGCTCGACAGGTCCACTCGGTCGCCGGTCGAGACGGAGGTGCCCATGATGACGCGCGCAAAGACCTGGAACGCGGTTTCCGGCTGGTAGGCGGGCACCGAGTGGCCGGCCTGGTAGATGCGGCTGAAGGACAGGTTCCCGAACTGGCGGACGACGCCGCCAATGTACGAGTCGTTGACGATGATGGGGGCGTAGCCGGCGGCGCTGAAGCCGCGGCCGTAGACGGGGCCGGCCTGCCAGGCGATGGTGGTGGAGGCGGCCTCGCCGCCGAGCCAGTTGCAGATGTAGTCGCGGTCGCCATAGATGAGGGCGACGCGGATGCCGCGCTCGAGAAGGCCGGCCAGTTTCGGCATCAAGGGCCCTCTCATGTGGTCGCCGGTCGTCTCGAAGGCCGAGAGGACCGCCTGGCTCGTCATGGTGAAGTTGATGGTGGATCCGATGGACTGTTGGAAGGCCGCCGTGTTGAGGTACTCGAGGTAAGTGTTTGGCGGGAACGAGTCCGGGGTCTTGTGCGCCATGTCGTACCAGCTACGGCCGGAGTCGGCATAGGGTAACACGGCGTCATTGTTGCAGGTGGTGTAGGCCTGGGAGCATAGGCTGTTCACCATGGCCACGCCGCCGGTGTTGTTGGCGTCGAAGACGGACTCGGCGGTACGGCACTGCCGAATCAGGTCAAAGCAGCCGCCCGACTTATATAAAGTGCCGTTGACCAAGCTCGCGCGGACGTCGTTGATGGCCCTGAACCCGTACGTGTTGTTGCTGGCCATGACAGGGTAGAACTCGGCCTGAATCTGGTCGTCGATGCAGCCGTTGATGATGCCCAGAGAAGTAAGGTGGATCTCGAGCGTGTTGTTGGCGGACAAGGAGCCGTTTTGGCGCTTTTCGTTCTGCGTCTCCCAGACATCGGAGAAGACGGGGCCATACTTGCCTCCGTAGCTCTCGGCGAAGAGGTTGATGCCGAGGGAGCTGTTGTCGGGAGGATTGTACTGGGGAAAGGCGCCCAAGAAGCCCTGAAGCATGTGCCATATGGCGATTGCGGCCGTGGCGGTGGTGTTTGTGGTGTTGTTGACGTTCAGGGAGCTGAAGGTTCCGTTGAGGAAGGTGGCGGGCGGCTGGCCGTTGGGGACTGGCTGGGGCGGGCTCGACTGGTTTGCATTGAAGAGGTTCATGGAGCCATTGGTGGCAATGTCGTAGGAAAAGCCGACTTGGTTAGGCTGCAGAGGGTCAGCTTGAGATTAGGCAAGGGCTCGGGGAGCGGCTCAGGGCGTACGTACCTGGTCGATGAATAACATGTTGGTAGCGCGGTCCCAGCCCCATTCCCTCGCGACGGTCTCGTACTGATCCAGGCCCTTCTCGACAACCTCACAAGGACCGACTTCGGTGAACAGGCCGAACAGCGAGCTCACACCCGGGCCGCCATTGAGCCAGATGGTCATGGCCTCGGTGGGCTCGCGCGCACCGATGAACCAGAAGAACATGTTGGTCGGGAAGGGGCCGGGCACGGTGACCCATCCTGTGTATTGCTGCTGAGAGTCGTATGCGGTCTTGCAGGCGCCGTCGGGGATCTTGTACCGAATGGTGACATTGCCATCGACTGGCGACGTAATGGTGGTCAGATTTACCTCGGCGGAGGGGAACTGGGCGGCTGCGAAGGTAGAGAGCAGGCCGGCTCCGGCGAGGACAGCGTGAGAGAGGCGCATGGTGAGATGACCTGCATCGTGACCTGGGCGCATCCTCTGTCGTCGGGGTCGGACGACGGGGCTCGAGTTGTGGTGGCTGCTGTCCCGTCGTCGCCGAGGTCCGATTCAGACGCCCACGTTATGGTGCGGATGTGCGGACTGGACTCCGAATGAGATTGTTGAAGACTAATGAAGGAATGACGCCGAACAGATGAGGAAGAGGGTGTGTGGAATGGAGGAGCGACAAAGCTGCCGGGACGGGAACGGGGGGCGGCAGAGGAATGTTAATGTTTTGAAGGTTCGCAGTGTTCCCGCTGGGGTAGCGGCTTGGCAGACGAGCCCCCTGCATCCTGGTGCTAATTTTACAGCAAGTTTCCCCAGTTGAACAGGGCGGCACAAGCCTGTCGAGACGCACGCGGCCCGCTGAGTGTTTGCGTCGACGGGATCGTCTTACAGGTGCCGGGATCCGAGGGGGGGGGGGGGGGGGGGGCACTCACTCAGTGGTCACAGGTCACTGACCTAGGTGGGTAGGTAGGTACCTGTAGATAGGTAGGTAGGTTCCCGTACAGGTATGTACACCAACTGACTATGCGGATAGATAGTAGGTGGTCAGCATCGCAGCCGGCTGCCAAATTCCGGCATCAACAACCTCGGGACTTGATTTGGATATGCCGCTTTACCCGCAGCGATCCCGGAGACGAGACGGGACGAGAAGAAGCTGTTCGTCCCATCCCGTCGCGTGACTGACAAACAAGCCCCGGCTGAGTATTACCGGACGGACGGACGACCAATGTTGTTGCTCAAAATGGGCCGAACCTTACCGAGTATGGGTAATCAATTGTCGGGATCTGTAGCAAGTCCCAGCCAGATTGGCACGGAATGCGTTTGCCATTCGGGAAGCACAATATACCTTCCTTACAGCTGCTGATACAACAGGCCTCCGGCTCTGTTTAACACCAAAACGGCCAAGGCCATCGCCAATGACTTCCCAAAATTGCCAGGATCCGGTGCGGCTGAAGGTCGCCATCCAGGGGGTGCTGAGTTCCCATGGCTGCCGCAACTTTTCATGCTTTTCTTCGAACCCAACTTTCAACCATTGACCTTGTTCTGGAACTCCCATTGGCCTCCAAGACGCTTATTACTGTCTCTGGCCCAGTCCAAGTCCCGCGGTTCACACCCACAATGGCCGACTCCGGCTCCGGCTCCGGCTCCGGCACTTCCGCATCCGCCTCGGACGTCATCACCTACATCGGCGTTCCTCTCGCCGTCCTCGGCGTCCTCCCCATCCTCTACAACACCGTCGTCACCCTCGCCGCCCGCTCCCGCATCCGCCGCATGCTCCGCCATGCCCGCCTGACCGCCCTGACCCGCTCCGACATCGTCAACCGCGTCATCGAGGTCGACCTGCCGCGCTACGCCATCACCCCCTGGGACCGCTTCGACCACCGCGAACAGTACTGGTCCCTCTCCCGCCACCCCTCCTCCATCCCCGGCGGGTCGTGGACCGTCTTCAACTGGCGGACCAACACCATCGGCCTCAAGACTCAGAGGGTCGAGTACGCCGACCAGCTGTGCCTGCCCCAGGCCGATATCAACTTCGAGGACCTGGTCTCGTACCTTCTGGACCTCGGTGCCGTCCCCGATGCTCACGGGTGGAGATTGCTCAGAACCACCGGGTTATGGACCCCCGTCGGCTGCACTCTGATGCACAGCCCGGACGGCCAGCACAAGGCCCTTGCCATTGCGCCTCTGAACGACTCCGACGGCCACCTCTCGTTATCTGTAACCTGGTCCTCCCACTGGACCACGAGAAGCCATCGGTCTCTACCGCCTTATTGGCTCCGCCTTCCTCCGCCTCCCGAGGTCCCTCCGACCAATCCCGAACCCGAACCGGCCGGGGACGCCAAAGAGCCATCCTCCCGGGCATCCTCTCTCTCCAGCATATCCCGCGCCGTCGACGCCGTCGCCAAATCCCCAATCGCCTGCAAGCTCTCCTCCCACGGCCTCATCGCCGCCCACTCCGAGGTCGAGGGCCGCCCCGCCACGCCCCTGCACATCGACCACGTCCGCGTCCGGCCGGGCCTGTCCGCCGGCGTGTGGTTCGCGAGCGCCGCCACGGCCTACGGCACCTCGAGCACCACCGTCCTCTGGAGCTACACCATTCCCGACGACGTCCTGCGCTTCGCCCGGGCTTCCTCCGTGCCCTGCGGCGTGCTCGAGCTCCTGGGTCTCGTTGACGCCTCCCAGACCCCTGAGTGGGCGAGCTCGCACGACGACATGCGGGACAACCTCGACCTCGTGAGCCGGCGCATGCGCGAGCAGCGCAACGCCATGGCCGCCGAGTCGAGGATGAGCCCCAAGGACAAGGAGCAGGCCGTCCGTGACCGCATGCGGAAGGAGGCAGAGCAACGCCTAGATGACCGTAGGTCCCCCCCAATCCCCTTTCCACCACCGCCTCCCAACTCTGACACCTCGACATCTCCATGACTCACTCTTACTCTGACGCCGCCGCAGTCAAGGACAAGATGCGCCTCGACGTCCAGCGCCGCGACCTCCGCACCCACGAGGCCATCCAGTCGCCCAAATGGGACGCCGCCCTCGTGGCCTCCCACGCCCTCCCCTGGCTCCGGCAGGGCGGCCACCTCGCCCCCGAGACCGCCGCCGACCCCCGCGCCGCTGCCGCCGCCCTGCTGCACCGCATGCTCCGCGACGGCGCCTTCGCCGCCCAGACCCGCCGCCGTGCTCGACGCCTGGAAGGCCTGGGCCGACAACGGCGGGATGCGCAAGGCCGACCTCGACGCGCTCCGCGAGGCGCCCGCGCCCTTTGCGCTCGCGAGCCTGCTCGTCGCCGTCATTCGGGATGCGGGCACCGCGGCCGAGGGCGGGCCGAGCGTGGATTTGCAGGAGTGCCTGGGCATGTGGCGACAGGTGAGGTTAGGTTAGTAGGGGGGTTGTATGTGTATTAGTCCGTGACACCCGTTGGTTTTGCTTAATGATGTATGGCAAGGAATGCTCTGCACCTTTTTACGCTGTATGGATACGGAGGCTTCACAACGGTCAGATATAAGATGAAGATAAAAATAAGTTTGAATTCCACTGGTGGCCGTGCAGTCCCGATTCCTATAATTTCAAACTAGTCGCGACTACCAGTCCAGCCGTCCCATCTATGATCGATAACCCCCCCCATTGTTGCATGTCCTAATCCTTGTTATCCCAACGAATCCAATCCAATTCCCAACTCCGTCGCTCTAAAATGCAAACCATCACTCCCGCGATCCCATTATAGCGGCATGAGCCAGCCCGTGCTACAGCTCGTCATCCTGTTCCGAATCAAATATTATGTCCTCCTCGTCCTCCCGGCCCTCTGGCAACAAACTCTCGGGCAGCATCTGGCTCTTGGACAGCAACTGAGACGAGTCCAGCTGGAACGTGCCGGACGCTAAGCGAATCGGACTATCATCGTCGTCGTCCACGAAGATGGGCAGACTCGAGTTCGCGTGTGTGGGCCGTGGCACCGACTTGGACGGCGACTGCGACGGGCTCGACGCCTGACTGGCCGTCGTTGCCTGCGAAAGCCGCACCGCGCGGCGGGGTGTTGGTTTGGACGGCCGGCTGAAGGGCGTCGGCGGCAAGGCCGGCTTGGTGAGGTGGAGCTCCGTACCGAACTTGCGCCGACTTTTAGTCGGTGTCTGGCTGGATGGGACCAGCAAGTCGGCGTCCGATGAGGGGTGTTGGGTCGAGTGCTCGATATCGCTCCGGATCTGCTCAGCCAGTTCTTGTGACATCGTGGGATCCTGCGAAGGCACACCTCCAGCAGCCGGCAACGATCCACCCCTACCGGTTTCAGGCTCGGCCTCATCCTCCTCGTCTTCGTCGTCTCCAAAAACGGAGCATCGCAGGTTGGCCATCAAATGCCCAACGACGGCCGGCGGTACGTATGTGTACTTTTGTGGCGGTCCATGCAGGTAGTCCCGATCCATCATGTACTGGAGAGGCATCGGATCGTTCAGCTCGTAGAGTTTGTACAGATGATACGCAAACTTGGAGCCTTTCTTCTGATTAAACTCGGCGTTGCCAATGCCGTCTTCATCGATCTCGCCCGGCGACTTTGCGTCACTGAAGCATGCCATGTATTTCAGCTCTGCCACCGGTTGAGTGATGTAGAGCCACATGCGCGAGACGGTGTGCGGGATCTTGTAGTTGCGGAACTCATGATTCTTCCTCCCGGAAACAATCTCCTTCATGTGTTCCGGGTGTATGGAGATGAAGACGTCGGTGCGATCGCCCTGGGGGCCCATGCCGTTGATAACATCTCGAGGAAGTCGCTGACTCTCCAATGCTTGGGTGTGAGGCGTCTTTGGCGTCTCAACAAGGCCCCGTCCCTTGGCCTTGGGCGTTTTCTGGCTTTGCGTGGGTGTTTGGCAAATAGACTCGTCATTTGTCTCCCCGCTTGCTTCATCAATACTCGAGTCACTGTTGCGGGTAGGGTCAGGAGAAGATGTAATGACCTCGACGGTCTCCCTGCGATCTGACGCGTTCGAATCCAGGCGCCCTAGCCCGGGGAACACGAACGGCTTGGACAAAACCACCGTAGCTTCTTCTTCGTCCTCCTCGTCGACAGAAGGGGCGACATTCTCCTTATCAGAGTCGCCGTCATCTGCAGGGGATGCCTCCTTGGAAGCCTGCTTCTCTTCCGACGAAGCAAGCAGCTGATCCATCTGGAGCTGGGTTTCTTCGCCGACAGCGTCGTATCCTTCAGCCTCTTCGTCCAGGATTTCAAGATCTCCGGATTCATCCTCAGAGTCGGCAATCTCGCGTAAAGGTGACCTCGGGGGTCGGCGGGGTGACGGGCTGACGTCGCGTCCTTCCTGTTCTTCGCTGTCCGTCTCTTCCTCTTCCGCCGCCTCCTCCGTCGGAGGCTGGCTGGCCGTGGGATGCGGCGTGATAAAACGAACATTCTTGGCGGGCTGCAGTGGCACTTTGGTAGGTGAGGTGAACTGCTGACTTGAACCCTGGCTGCCTGTCGTCGCGTAGGAATCCTGAACTGTAAGAGTTCGTGGACGTTTGACAGATCCGGTAAGCTTCGGCAGCGGGGACATTGTGTTCGTTGACTTGTCTTTCAAGGGAGACCTCCTCGGCGCCGGGCTATACCTAGCCAACATGGGAGTGAGCGGGCTGCCTTGCGACGATGGAATCTCGAGAACGATGCGCTTGTTTGTTGGTGTTTGTGGAACAACGGATGGCGTCCTGCTTGGGGCCTTCTTGCCGGACAATAGGTTCTCCTTATCGTTGGCCGACGGAAGCACTGGTGGGCCGTTCTCTGTCTCATCATCCGATGACTGGAATTGCCATACATCTTCCTCTTCTTCCTCGGCTGGGGATTTCTCTGAAGATCTCCGCGTCATCTGCGTCAAGGTCTGCGTGTGAAAGGAAGAGCTCGGTGTCGGTTCATCCCCCATGGTCTTTCTCCTCTTCTTCTTGGGCGCGGGGTTCTCTTCATCGTCGGATAGGTCTAAGCGCACGGGCGATGAGCGCGTGGTCTCGAACATCTGGGTCAAGGTCTTTTGCTGGTGATTGGGGATACGAGCGGTGGGTTTGCGGGCACTGTAGGTTCGCACTTCTGTTCGTCGATGCGGGAACTTTGCTTGCTTGGCCGGCTTGACGGACTTATAGACTCGGTCTGGAGGAGGGGCAGCGGTTACCCGTCCGCCGGAGCGGGTCTGTGGTGGCATGATGGACGGTTGGTGGAGTTGTCACTGGTGGGAGCTTTGCGTGTTGTGATGACTCCCAGATCATATGGATCGTCGATAATGAGCAATGGGTGAAACGTTGAACCTGCGCGCAGGATAGGGGCCAACTCAGGTGGTCGAGAGCATGCTGACTAGTCCTTGTGCGGTTCGAAGGGCGCGTCGCGTAGGAAGTGGGATCGATTTACGCGTGTAGCTGGCGTGTCGGGCGCAGTGACATCTGACATCACATGTATAAAACGGGGCGGCGGGGAAATGCATGTGAGTATTGGGGCGCCCGCTTAAGTAAATCCCAAGACGCCCGCACAATTTTTCGTTTCGTCGCTCCAATCACACACGCCTTTGGGTGTGACAGAGTTCGCTGACAACACTACGGCACATTGTGTGTTTCACGAATGAAGGAGACAGCCGCTTGCGGCCGAAGTCCATGAATGTATAAGTATTTCATGTCATTCCTCACGAAAGTGTTTATGCACAACATACTCTGAGTGGTTGAAGAATAGCAGTGGTTTGGAATTTGTTAGTGGGTTCCAACCTTCTGCTCTGACCCTGGTATCCAACTTGCAGTGTACACCCAATCCTCACGTCCAATGCTTGAATGCAATAAAGTCTTTCGTACACCGCGCCCAGCGTGTATGACTTCTTCCTCAGAATTTGTTACGCGACCGAGACTTTCTCTCGGCCGGTGTCATGGTGTGTATGATTCGCGACCGTGCGGCCAAATACAAGCCCACAGCCTGATGTGTATGTTGTTTGGTCGAGATAGAGCCAGCTCAAGATACTGCCTGACGATATTGGTCTTCGTCGGCATTTTACGAATCGAAATTTTGTTCAGTGAAATGTTTGTACAAGAGTCGTTCCGAGATTTGTGTGATTGTGTGAGGCCATCCAAGGCAAGCAAGCGCCTCTCAAAGCCTTTTCCTGGTAATACGTCGGATAAAGCGTCTCAGCTTGGACTTGGACTTCGTTGAAGAGTTGTTCGAAACTAATGAGACCGAAGATTGGGCGGAGATGGCCTCAAGGCGGTAGTATTCCTCGATGTAGTCATCGATGAAGTCCTCAAGAGTAACGTTGTCAACGGCGAGGTCAAGGACGTGGTTCTGGTAGTATTGGGTTTTGGCCTCGTATCTCAAGTTTGCCATCTTGTCTGCCGACAAAAGCTGGGAAGTTGAAACAGTGAATGCGGCCATCCTTTAGCGTGCGAGATAATCTGTTTTGACTCGTTGACCAGGCTAGACGAGGTTCCTTTTCTTCAAGAAAAGTCAAGTGAGTATAGTTGCCGTGACTGGAGTAGAAAGGAAGGATGGAATGGAGGGGGAGAAACAAGGATCTTCCGGGGGCTCAAGAAATACTTTTTAAATAGAATCGGTGGCAAGAGTCACGAGCAGTACCAAACCCAACGGTTGGTGAACCGTGGTTGGAGTTGAGGTTAGTATACGATGGCAAGTGGCCCGTCTCCGAAAATACGTCCCGGCCACACAACTCTCACAATATTTTGGGTTTATGGTTATGAGCAACCTGCAAAAGCCATAGTTAACCAGACTTTTGAAGCGTTTGGCACAACCGCCCAAGGAGCAGGCAGACAGTTCAGGCATGATGGTTGTACAGCAAAGAAGATTCTAGAGTCAGTTATATACACATCAGAACCTTCTGATTTATTTCTTGGGCTCCTCCTTCTTCTCCTCAGGCTTCGCCGTCGGCAGCTTGAAGGTGTCCGGGCGTCTGTCCGTGCCAGGTCCAACCTGCTCCCAGGCGCTGCTGCCGCCCTCGAAGTTGCGGAAAGCCTGGGTCAGCTCAAGAGGCTCGGTGACGATGCGCTTCTTCTCCTCGTCGTATCTGATCTCAGTGTAGCCGGTAAGGGGGAAGTCCTTTCGCAGGGGGTGACCCTCGAAACCGTAGTCGGTCATGATTCTGCGCAAATCGGGGTGGTCGGTGAAGAAGACACCGAAAAGGTCGTAGACCTCACGCTCGTACCAGTTGGCTCCGTCGAAAAGAGGAGTGACACTGGGGACAGGCGAGGCCTCATCGGCGTACGTCTTGACGCGAATGCGCGAGTTGTGGCGGACACTGAGGAGGTTGTAAATAACCTCGAAGCGCTGGTCCCGGGTCGGGTAGTCGACCGCAGTGATGTCGCTAATCTGAGTGAACTCGGCCGAGGTATTGTCTAGCGACTGTTAGAGGTGAATTGGGCTACGTCATGGACGATTGACACGTACACTTGAGGAACGTCATGATGGGAATAATTCCCGAGGGAGAGACGTAGATGGTGAGCTCGTCCTTCCAGACCGAGATCTGCTGGACGTACTTGGGCAAGCAGCCCATGATCCATGACCCGTACTTGTGCAAGTTTTCGGCCTTGGAGCCGTACTTGTCGGCTGGGTTGACGAGAGGGGCTTTGAGGGTGCCGACGTGCTGGCGAGGCGACTTCCTCATGTTTTCGGCATCCTTAGGAAGCCCGGTCGGGAAGCCGGCCAATTGAGGGATGGAGGTCGAGAAGCAGCGAATCTCGCTAGGGCGGCAGTTGCGCAAGCCCGCCAGAGCTCTACCACGATAGAGCTTGGTTGCCATCGTTGCCGTTGTTGCAGTGCTGGGGGGCTTGATGCCTCTGAGGAAGTGGTGATTGATGATGCTGTGCTTCTGTGATATGCTTGGGGGATGGAAAGAAGCTAGCCGGTTTAGGTTCACCCCCGGGGCCTTGCTTTTGCCTTCCTATGCTGCTTGAAATCTGGAAGGCTTAAGTTGCTCAATGCCCACTTGCGATTCCATATACCAAAATACTATCAAAGGTTCTGGTGTAGTTTAAAACCGTAATTCTATCTAGCCGCCACACGCCTAGAGCATTATCTTTCATATCATTTCAAAAGTACACGTATCTGCACATGTATTCCTTTCTCCTTCTCCGGGAATTCAGACAGACGGGGAGGGTCTCCCTAGACTCTGCTGACTTGCTCGATTCTTAGCCTATTGATTGGTTCGCATATCGGGATCTTGCGGAGATCACGTGGTACTATCTGTGGGCCTCTGTTTTCTTACCTAAGGTGCCAAACCTACAGACAACCCAGCTGGCAAAGGCTTTGGCTTCATTTGCGTATTGAACAACTTCCCTCTCCTTACCACCTCCACCCAGAAGCATACGAACAAACCTCGCACAGAACAGACTTACACCGCCCCAGATTGTCACCATGGCACCCCAAGATACTTTTATTGACGAGGAGGAAGACACCTGGTATGTCGCTTCTCTTCCTCTCATTTCGCGCCCATCGCAAAATTGCAAAGGCTTTTCCAGTATTGGGCATCTTGAACTGACTTGCCATTCCACAGTCCGCTATGTATCGAAGAGTTCGACCTGTCCGATCGGAATTTCCGACCTTGTCCATGCGGCTACCAGGTACGGCAACCCCCCGATCCGCCCGTCCTAGTCTCCGCCAGCCACCATGGATTTCTGACTGTTTCATAGGTGTGCCAGTTCTGCTTCAACAACATAAAGAACAACATGAACGGCCTGTGTCCCGCATGCAGAAGACCGTACGATGAAAAGACGATACAGTGGAAGGTTGTTACCACGGAAGAGTGCGTAACCTAATTAACCCCTTTGGGGCTGCCACGGTGACGCCACGCTGACAAAGTTTTAGGGTTGCCGAGTTTCGAGCAAATATCCAGAAGAACCAAAAGAAGCGAGCCCAAGACCAGAAGCAAAAAGAGGTTCAGAAGCGCGAGGTCGAGAAGGAGAGCCGCAAGAACCTCGTCGGCGTCCGGGTCGTTCAGAAGAACCTGGTCTATGTAACCGGTCTGACACCTACAGTGCGAGAGGACGAACTACTCAAGACGCTGCGCAAGCCCGAGTTTTTTGGCCAATACGGCAACATCCAGAAGATCTCGATTAGCAACCGGAAGACGTCGGACGGCCAAAACTCGCTCGGGATTTATGTGACTTTCGAGAAGAAGGAGGACGCCCAACGGTGCATTCAGGCTGTTAACGGTTCTCAGAACGGTGATCGCGTACTGAGAGCCCAACTGGGCACGACAAAGTACTGCTCGGCGTGGCTGCGGCACGAACAGTGCGCCAATAGGCAGTGTATGTTCCTGCATGAGTTGGGCGACGAGGAAGACAGCTACACTCGGCAGGACTTGTCTTCGATGAACAGCATCAGCTCTCAGCGGCCGCTGCCGGGTGGCTCCTCGTCCAACAGCGGCGGCGGACCGTCACGCGCTGCATCGCGGCAACAGAACACCACGCCCTCTGTGCCTCCGGCGTCGCAACCCATGGCGCGATCGTCGAGCAAAGAGGGATCCGAGAACGGTGGCGATGGCCCGGCTCTGCCAGCATCGGCCAACTGGGCGAGAAATCCTCAGCGTAGTCGCAGGGGAAGCCACGCCACTAGTGGCGCCGCCTCCAGCCCTGCAATTTCGACAGCTCTCCCCGCAACCGCTGAGGCAGTACCCGAGGCTATCGACGAGACGCCCTCGAGAAAAGAGTCCCCCGCACCTGCGACCGAGAGCAAGGCCTCCAAGTCCCCCACCACAGCTGACAGCAGAAAATCCAACTGTCTTCCGGAGAATCTCCTCAAGGGACTCCTCAAGGCCATGCAGGGTTGTCCTTTCAGATACCATGCGCCCGATACGAACCAGATCGAGACGATATACCCCCCCATGTTCGATCCCCACGGAGGCGAAAAGAGACGAGCTATGCGTGAGGAGGAAGAGGCACGCTTGGGCGTCGACCAGGAGCAGCAAAGCGATGCACAGGAAGCCTCGGAGGGCGAGCCAGAGACGGGAGGCAGCTTAGTACTCGGCGGTGAGCCTGAGGATCGGGATGCCGCTCGCGACGTCGCATTCGAGCAGCGTCGACCTGGAACCCAGCCGCCTATCCAGCGTGCCAACGGTGATGGTCTCTTCGGCCCTGCACTTGGCGCAGGGTTTGGCCAAGCGTCTGTGTCTGGCGGCTCCGTCGGCGGTAGCCGCTCGATGACGCCTCAGCAACAACTCTTCGTCCGGTCCCAGAGCGGCTTCGGTGATCATTTGCCTCCGGGCATCGCAGCTGCGCAGCCTTCGGCGGTTCAGCAACAAGGTGGCAGCCACAACAGACAAGGTTCGAGGTTCAGCTTCGCTAATGACAGCACGGGCACTTCAGCTTCAGTCAAGGTTGCCGCGAACCCGAGAATCATGGCGCAACAGACGGCCATGATGCCGTCAGCTTTCCACTCGCAGCCCGGCAGCCAGTATTATGCATCCTCCATGCCCGGACCTCCTCCGGGTCTCAAGTCGACAGGCACGCCACCCAACATGTTTGGACAAGGCCACTCGTTCGGTGGCAGCTTCGGTGCGGCCTCAAAGGATTCCGCCGAGCTTCTTCAGACGTTGATCCGCGGTCGGGGAGCCAATGGTCAGGGTCATGATGCTGGTAAGCGTGAGTACATGTTATCTTCTTTCTCTAATCAGTACCCATCCTCTACCTCCTCCACCCCAGCTCCTGCTTCGGGCCTCCTGGCGTCGCTCTACGGTAACCAGCCTGGAGCATTCCAAGACTTCGGTCCCAAGCAGAAGAAGAAGGGGAAGAAGCACAGACATGCTAACACTTCCTCCTCTGGGGGAGGTGGCTTAGTGGATCTTGCGGACCCGAGTATCCTGCAAGCAAGAATGCAACACCAGTCGCAGAGCAACGCCGGAGTCGGACAGGGACTGTTCGGTGGACAGAGCCAAGGTGGGTACAACCCGAACATGATGTACAACACGCGCTTCCCCGGCGCTGGCTGGTAGCTTTTTCAGAGAGACAGCGCGATAGACTAGGGGGTTGGTGTTGGTCGTTTACGGATTTTGTTTCACACACGCGCACACACATACACACACACACACACACACTTCATGTATCATGAGAAGCGAGGGCGTCGCGGCACATCACGGGCGGACGACGGCCCTTGGAAGGGGCCGAGAGCGCACCGCACACATCATGCATTGATTCAGCGAGCATCGCGGAAAATATCAGGGGCCGCTCAGGGGAGTGGCAAGGGTTGCATTTGGCGTCGCGCTTCACACGTTTTCTTATGGGCAAACAAGGACCGACACCTGCACGCGTCCCGGCACATTATACCTCTTTCTTCATTGGGACTCGCACGTCATGGATCATGGGTCACGTCAGTCAGGCAAGCCATCATCGTCTTCCGAATCGCCTTAATGTACGTTAACTCGCAGACCATCCTCCGGTTATGAGGATGGTGGGTGGCATAAGGAACAATATAGCATTTTGCTCACACCTATCGCTCGTTGTCCCCGCAAAACCATCAAGGAAGACGATGATGGCAGCCGTGAAGTGTTCCTGTAATCCGCACCCCTGTATATAAACGTTGTCTCTCGTGCTACCATACTCTGGCATCTCTTTCCTTCTTCTCTCTTGCATCGGTTATTCGACGGCGCTCTGGGGAACCCCTGGCTAACTGGTTCCCTAGATGACGAGTTACTCTCACTCGACGAGGCTGCCTTCTTCTCGGTCGATGCATTGGTGTCTGACGACCCTTTGCCGAGTCATGTTGGGACGATAGGGGGGCTAGCAAGATCAGCGGTCCCAACACCACCACCTGGTCTCGGACACCTTTCAAGAACGGCATCGCCGGCTCTGCGGCAAGCGCCTATTCCCGTAGTACCTGCTACTCCACTTACGCCTGCTGCCCCGAGGCCTGCGGTTCCGACCATGGCCAACATTGTTCGGACGTCGACCCCGGACCAGACCCCCCATAAAAAGGCTGCCGGGGCGGAGGCCAAGAAGAACATCAAGGCTTTGGCCGTCGAGAGTGGCCTGTCCAAAGACGTCGCGTCGCAAGCATCTCCGTCCAAGGGTAAGCCTCTGTTACACGAAGAAGATTTCCCTGCGTTGGATGCCGTCAAGGGGATTTCCACGCAGCCTGGCACACCGTCCAGGTCTGTCGTTGCAACACCAAAGATTGCTCCAGCCAGCATCAGGAAGCCCCAACAAGAGGCTCCAACTGGAGCTCCAACCCCGTTGACCGAGGCGCCCAAGCACACGCCCAAGGCTGCCGAGAAGAAACCTGTGCTGGGCGTCCTGAACATTGCCGCGGCCACCAAAGCGGCCCAGCCGAAGCAGCCAGAGGCAGGTACGGCGGAGCAGTCGGAATCGTCAGCATTCCCCGCCTTGCCAACTCCGACAACTGCTAGTGTCGCATCTCCCATTACAAGAGCTGCACCTAAGACTCTGCGTGTCGTCTCGACTCCCAAGGCGGAAGTACCACCGGCCCTGCATTCTGGCACCGCCTCCACTGCCGCCAGAGCCGTGTCTACTGCTCACGGTCGGCCCGGAACACCGGTGAGTGAGATCATCAGTGACAGTGCATCCATCGTATCGGCATCTGTTTCTGCATCCCGCACGAGTTCGCCTCCTCCCACCAGGATCGGGACAGCGCCCGTCCGCACTACGACGAAGAGCCAGCAGCGTAAACAACGTAAGGAGGCCCACAAGGAACAGTCGGCCACCATTGCTGTGGTGCCGAAAGTAGCGGAAGCCGAGGAGCAAGCGCCCATCATCGGTCGTAAGAAGAAACAGAAGAAGGAGAAGCCGGCCACCACACCCCCAGCAGTGCCTAAGAAAGCTGCCGAGCGCGCAGCGACGCCGCCTCCCCCGCCGAAGGAGCCCACTCCTCCTCCCAAGCCCGTCGTCGAGACAACGGTCGTTGATCTGCCACCTCCAAAGGGCAAAGCTGCCAAGAACGCCGCTAAGATGGCAAAGGCGGCCGAAGAGAAAGGTAAGAGCAAAGAGGCACCTGCGACGACTACGCCTTCGCCTCCAGCGCCGACTGCCGTCGCCGCGCCTGAAGAGTCGCAGGACATTGGAGACAACCCCAAGACCATCCCGGAAGTCGTCTTCCAGGACCTTGTCAGTGCCGGCGAGGCTCCTTCTCCGGACGCCCTTACGCTGCTCAAGCCGCTCGCCGAGCAGAACACCCGCATTGATCGAGCGCATGCCGCCGCGGCGCATGGCAACAGCCCGCCTCCGTCGACCGCAACTAAGAATATGATCTCGGAAGCAGACCACGCCGTTCTTATGACTGGCCAGCCGGTTCGTAAGGTGATTGACGGCCATCGCGTGCTCATCACGCCCAACGGTGACTGTGTCCGCAATCTCACCGAGGAGGAAGAAGATAAATACCTGGAGCTTCAGAAGCGTGTTGCCGTAGCCAGCGAGCAGCCCGACAGTTTTGTTGCACCCCGCCACCAAGCTCGCCCTGGTGGCTTCTCTCTCATCAAGGGACGGGCTGTGCCCAACGGGCCTCCGTCCTACTTCCCGCCATCCCCCAACGCACAGAAGATGTTCTCCGACGACCCGGTCAACAAGATCCAGCGCGAGGAGGCCATCAGCTACATTAACCAGTTTGTGCTGCCGCGGCTCAACCTCGGCAACACCAACTTGTTCCCGGGCAGCTGGAAGTCTGCGCCAGGTGCTAAGGATGCTCTCTCGGCGCGTGAGACCGCTGCTGCCAGCCTCAACTCGCTTGCTCCCTACATCTACGGCCATGACGCCGCCGCCGGAGCGGGCATATACTCGGCGGAGAGCGGCGGTTCGGGCAAGGACATCCCCGAAGACGAGACGCCCTTTGGCGGCCTGGACTCGCCGCACCAGCAGGGTAGCGAGGTCGCCGTCGCGAGCGCCTCGGCCTCTGCCGCGGCTGCCGCTGCTGCGCAGGCTCATGCCCAGGGCAGCAGCGCGCACCCCAAGCTCCCCGGCACGCCTCTTAATGCCATGTCGCTAATGAGCGTCGAGGACGCCGAGACGGCGCTGGGGCTGGCGCGCAAGGAGACGGAGAAGCTCGAGAAGGGTCTGAACCAGGCCATTAAGCGTAACCGGAGGCTGCTTCTCGGCGGCAGGTGACTAGCCGTGAGTCTAGTCGAGTTTGTCGAGAGGGCTATCGTGGCCGTGGCCATACAGACGCTGGTGTTGGGGGTTGGTGTGGTCGGCACCGTTGTGGATCTGCTGTGGGATGCTGGAGGGGTGCGCTGGTGATTTCCGTCATGTGTCTCGGGAAAGGCTTCGACTTGGTGTCGCGTCTGACCGTCATGATGGGTGGGGAGGGCATTGCATTGTTACAATACGGAGGGGACGTTCAGGATACTTGCTTCGGGGCGTTCGGAAAGGCTTTTCATAACATGCATAGGGAATAGGTTATGTGTGCTTCCGGTTTAAGGATATGCTGTACCACTACTGTACATGATTGTTATTTGTACTCCTTACGGCCGCCCACGGGACGGGACGGTTGGGTACATTCGAGGAGTGGGATGGATGGATGAAGCTTAATGACACTGATACCCCCTTTGCGACGATAACGAGCTTTCAAGTTTCCCCGCCCCCCCCCCCCCCCCCCCCCCCCCGGGTGTGAAGGTGCTGTATACTGGCATTGCTTGGGGCCACAAAAGATCTTTGTTTCTTTCCTCCATGCTATATCGTTCCTTTATACTCCATTCCCAGCAGCTACACTAACTGGATGCAGTACGTAACCTGCGTATGCTGTTGTATGCTAATGCGGAGTTTGTGCTTCTAATGCGCCTACTTCGATTCATGTGATCGGATATAGACAGATGTTGTTACATGTAGTATATAGCACATAGAAGAAGAAAAAAAGGGAAAGAGAAAAACGTAAAGAGATGAAGGCCCAAACAAGAAGGTAGCAAACGCTGCCGGGGTATCACTCGCGAGCCGTCTCCCGCACCTCGTCCCGCCCCTTCTCCTCGTCGGCCAGGTCGCGCTCCCTGTCCGCCGCGCTCTTCCCCTCCAGCTCCTCGCGCCGCACGACGTCGAGCTCGTCCCGCAGCTTGGCGATGAGCTTCGACAGGATCCACTCGCTCTCCTCCTGGCTCCCCATCAGCGGCGACTGCGGCCCGACCCAGGACCACTTGTCCTCAAGACACCACTTGCCTTCCCTGTCGTCGTCTGCGTCGCCGCTCTTCTTGCCCCGCTTCTTGCCGTGCCTGTGCGGGCGCGCCTTGCGGTGCGTCGCGGGGTTGGACTCGTCCTCGCCGATGAGCTTGAGGTACCATGCCCACTCGGCAAAGGTGTACCGCCGCGCGGGCTTCTCTTTAATGTGCTGCTGGACGACGGCGATCTCGGAGATGAGGAGGAAGTGGTAGTCCGCGCGGGAGGCTGGGAGGGGCGTGGTCGGGGAGCGGATGTGGGGAGAGGAGCGGCGGCGGCTGCGGCCGGGGGTGGCAGGCTCGCGCTGGTCGGGTTGTTTCTCGCGGTGTTCGAGGTCCGGCGACGATTGCTGGGTGCTGTGTGAGCGTTTGAGCCCGGGCGCGGACGGAGGCTGAGGCCTGCGGAGGGAGTACGCTTCCGTCCTGTCGGTTTCGCCGTCTGTTTCGAACGAGGTCTGGCGTCGACGGTGGGAATTAGAGAAGAAGCCTGCCGGGAGCCCGTTGTCCTCGTCCTCGTCCTCGTCCTCGGTCTGCGTCTCCTCGTCCTTCTCGGAGGGGCGGAAGAGAGTACCGCAGGAGAGGTGGTGGAGAAAGGACTTGAGGTCCCTGCGGAAGCCGAGCTCGCCGGGCAGGATGGTGATGTTGCCCAGCTCGAGGGTGGTGTCGCGGACGGCCTTGACGACGGTGTCGCCGGCGTTGGAGATCATGACGGTCATGGTGGGCAGGGCCAGCAGGGACCAGAAGACAAAGAAGGCCTTGCCGGCGTTGGAGATGGGGGTGCGGTCGCCGTAGCCGATGGTGGTGAGGGTGACGAAGGCGAAGTAGAAGCCGTCAAAGTACGACCAGTGCTGGTATGGCCGCTCGCACTCCTGGAAGATCTTGGCGCCGACGAGCCAGAGGATTAGCACGGAGGAGAGGGAGATGGACATGGCCATCCAGCGGCGGCGGACGGAGGCCTCGTACTGGATCTTGCGCATGAGGCTGAACTCTCTCTCACGGCGCTCCAGCTCGGCGCTGCGCGCCGAAGAAAGACCGGAGTCCTGATGGATGGGCTTGAGGACCTCGTCCTTGCCCTTGCGGGTCATCTTGCGGATGAGCTGGCGGCGCTTCTTCTCGACCATACGGGCATCGAGGCGGCGGCGGCCGCGCTCGAGGACGAGGCTTCGGATGGAGCCGATGACGAGACCGAGGCTGATGACGCCGACGAGGGCGTAGGGGATGAGCAGGGCGCGGCCGAGGTGGGTGGCGGCGGCGAAGTCGCCGAAGCCGACGGTGAAGAGAGTGACGTCGGCCCAGTAGACGGCGTCGAGGTAGGCCCAGCCCTCGATGGTGGAGAAGACGAGGGCACCGATGAGGAGGTAGAGGAGGAAGAGGATGGTCTGCAGCATGAGGGTGCGCTGGGCGAGGGAGAGCTGGAAGTCCTTGGAGTAGTGGCGGGTGTTGGCGCCGTAGACGGTGACGATCATGAGGGAGGCGGTGACGAAGTAGAGGATGGCGGCGAACATGCCGTAGTAGAAGGCCTGGGAGAGGATGTACTCGTCGGCGGACTTGAGGACGAGAGGCCCTGCGGCGGTGGCGTTGAGGGCGATGAGGCAGACGGCCGAGGCGTACCAGCCGGCGATGGTGATGGGCTGGGCGAGGGAGAAGCGCACGCGGCGGGCCATGTTGAGGAGGAGGAAGACATTGGAGATAAGGGCTATGATGAGCTGGATGGCATTGACGATGATGAGCCTGCGGGCGGAGCTGTCGTCAGTCTTGTCATACCGACCGACTGTCGCATCCTTTCCACATCACACTCTCTTACACCAGGGGAACTGGAACAAGACAGGAAGGAAAGACACCGAGGGGACGGACGGAGGAAGCGTACCATTTCGGGTCTTTGACGAAGGCGGCGGAGGTGATGTCGGTGCCGGGCGGGTAGTGCTGGCGCCAAGGCCGGACGAGGGCACATATGGAGAAGGCTGAGGCGACGGGGCCGAGGGTACCGGCGATCATGGGGAAGGCGGAGGAGGCGAACCACCAGCGGCTCGGGTAGAGGTGGGCGTCATCGTTGGCGAAGCGCTTGTCTGACCGGACCTTGGACTCCTCGAGCTGGCCGATTCGCTCCTCGATGGTGTCGCCCAGGTCGGCGTCGTTCATTGCGGCGGCTGGTCGGGGCGGCGGTAGTAGTAGTAGTAGTAGTAGTAGTAGTAGTAGTAGTAGTAGCGGGCCTGGGGTGAAGGCATTCCAAACTGCGGTTTCTCTGGCCGGGAGCGGCAGCGGCGGCAACGGCGGGGGAAATCGATGCTTGGCTAGGTAGTCAAAGTTTTAGTCTTTAACCACTTATTCTTTTCTTCCAAACTCTCACTCTAGCAGACCTTTATTAAATAATACAGCTTACTGGACGAATACATGCACGAAGAAGGTCCTGGTAACGGCGAAAAGGGGAAAGAGTTTGAAAGATTACCCGTCGTTAAAGGGGAAAAAAATGTCAACATGAACTCGCAAGGTCCAGGCCCGTGGTGGTCTTGGACTTGGAGAGCGTCGCTCTCCTGACCCCCTTGGCTGGGATGCCCCCGATCAGAGAGACAGAGGTACCTCGCGATGACGTCTGTCAGTGGTTCGAAGAGGGTGTGCAGCCCCGTGTCTTTGGCCTCGCTCAACTCACTCGCCCACTGGCCACTTGACGTTTTTTTTTTTTGTTTATGCCGCGACACCGGACGACGTTTTTAGCTCCACGCATTCCGAGGCGAAACAAAATGTGGCGTGGGGGTGGTGTGTCTGTCTGTTCAGTCCCTATGATCTCTGAGAGGCTTGAAGGCGCTGGAAACTAGTAGCGGAAATCAGGCCGTCTTTCGGGCGCCCCAAGCATCCGTATTTGTATGTGCGCGTCTATCGCGTTGAAACGGGGTCGACGCTGGCATTGCCCTTTTCATTAATTCATCTGTCCTACTACCGGTATGTATGTGTCCGCCATGGACCGCACGTCTCTCGAAGGATTGTAGTCGATCATCGGCCTGGTCAGGTTGCCCATGCATGCAGCAACGAGGGGGGGGCTCATGATCTTTCATGCAGCACGGCGAACACCCCTTGACCGTTGGCCCTAAGAGAAAGCAAGCGACGAGCACACACGGGGGGGGGGGGGCGCTGTTTGGCTCATTTGGCAGCCACGAGATGACACCCGTTTTTGTCGGCCATGGATGGGGGGACGAAGACTCGGGATCCTGGGCGGTGCGACGGTGCAGAGCTAGGTAGGTACCATAGCGTAGCTGGGGGTGGGATGTGGAGAGGACGCATTGGCTGTTGGTTGGTCCGAAGGATACGTACTGTATCCCCCCCAGCCCTGGGAAAGGCGCGGAAAAATCGTATCTCCGCAAGTGTTTACTTACTCATCTACGTCGTACAGGGTGGTTTCATGCAACAACAACTCATATGAGGAGTTGCGTGGTGAGTAAGACCCAGCTGAGCCATGCGAGGTGCGCAATATCTGCCTCCTGTTATCTCTTATTTTTAGACGATGAGAAGATGGCCGGGACCCAGGCTATCGTCTCGTCTCCACTCAGGCCGCATCTTCCAACGGCGATGCTTCTTCCATCATGACCCTTCGCCCGTTGTTGACTCTGTCGAGGTGGTTTGCGCCTCCTCAGGGAGCATCACAGTAGAGTACATATCCTTTGTATTCCCAACCGGCCGTACTTCCAAAGCTAACGCCTCTTCAGCCTGCATAATGTCGCCCGGCATGCCTCCTCAACCCCGCTGGTGCTGTACATCCCCCCCTTCTCACCAGCCCCGGGTACACGGCCGGTTGTACCACGGTTTCTTCACCCGTACCCTACCGCCGTCATCAGCTACAGGTGGTCCGCTACAGCCCCGACCCGGCAGCAATCCCCCGGCACTGTCGACCAAGAGCATGACTTCACCACGCCCTTGCAATGGCCGACGCCGCTGCACGACACGCTCGCCGGCTATACCTGGATCACCGAGAACCTCAGGCCCCTCCACAGCGCCCGCCGTGACGTGTACGTCTACAGCTCCCACGCCGGCGCTAGCATCGCCGCCTCCCTGGCCCTCACCGAGTCGCACAGCCATGAGCCCGTGGCCGTCCGCGGACTCGTCGCCTGGAACGGCATCTACAACTGGTCCATGTTCCTACCGGATCACAAGGTCAACAAGCCGGCCACCGCGCGCAGCAAGAAGCTCCCACCGCGGCCCGAGGAGGGTTCGCCGCTGCACATGTTGCAGATGAAGATGCCCGAGCTGTTCCGCGCGCCGGTGGACCTGCTGGACCCCTTTGCGAGCCCGAGCCTGTTCTTCCAGACGGCGGGCATGATGGCGCCGCCGACATTTACGCAGGCTGCTGCCGTGACCTCCTTCTTGGACAAGCTGTCTTCCGTGACGAGCGAGGTGAAGCCGTCAGACATACTGGGCCTCGCTGGCGGCGCGTCCCCAGCACCGAGACGGAGCGCGCTCATGTTCCCCCCGAGGAAGTCGACGCTGAAGCTGCCCTCGACACTGCTCCTCCACGACTCCCCGCCGACCGAACCAGCACCCCAGCGCAGGGGCAAAAAGACGGCATCTTCGCTGGCCAGGGAGCTAGCCTCGAGGACGGCGAGGCGGCGTCAGGTGGCCGGGCACACGTTCCAGGCCCAGACGACGGAGCTGGCGGGCCTGATGAGGCGGAGCCTGGAGAAGCTGGAGTTCAAGGCGCGGTTGGCGTGGGACGAGGACTTTGACGAGGCCGCCGAGGCCGAGAGGCGGGTCAGCGTCGTCGACGCCGGCGAGAACGAGGGCTTGGAGCTCGGCGAGCAGGGACAGGAGGCTGTGCGGGAGTGGCTGGAGGACAGGATACGATTGTGATACCCCCCTTTTGTATCGCTTTCTCTCCACTCTTCAACCTTTTCCCGAAGGGCATTGCTGAATGGATCCAAGTTCTGTTTCTTTTGGGTCTGCTCGCTTCGAGAGTTTCCCGGTGACGTATGAGATCGTCCCCGGCGAGGCAGCAGCTCGGCCCCACGACGACTCGGACCACTCACACGCCCTCGTCAAAGACCCGGTCACGTGGGATCGCGAGGTGAGGTCGCGGTTACCATGGAAATCACCACCTCACCTGCACCTTTTGTACACCACCCCCTCCCCCGCCCCCTTCGCTCCTTCCCGGCCCTTTATAAGGCAACGGTCCCCCATTCCTTCCAACCAGGACCAGCTAGACCATGTGTAACCCGGGGCACATGGTCTAGTTGGTGGAAGAGACAAAAGAAATATCACGATCGGGGTCTCTCTGGTTAACCCGCGTGACGCGCAAGTTCAACTCGAGTGGGTTGACCTTGGGCGTGTACTTTTTTTGCCCTTTCTACCCTCAATCCTGGTCTTTATGCTTCTGGTTAACTTTTGGAGACTATTTTAAGAACGGAAAACCTCTTATTTACTCTGTATATGTATAGAAAGTCGAGGATTGAGGAAGTCTTGTTCTACTTGTCGTTGCTTAACATATAGAGCTGCTGCATAAGGACAACAAGATGAAGGTCGCATCTTAGGCATAAACATTGGAGGCAATGAATGAGCTGAAAAAATCATCAAGACTGACTGGGCTTCTGTCTCATGCGAAAAGCGTCTTTGTTTGGGATGTTAGATCATTGCGTAGCCGAGTGACTAGATAAGCTGGATCACTCACTCTGGAGGAGTACATGTGGAATTTGAAAGGCATCAATTTCGGATCTCGTTCATCATGTTCATTGTAGGCAGTCTCCTTCCTCCATCAACCAGGGCAGCTCTGAGGAGAACGTCTCGTAGGCTTCCCTCCAAATTGCGTCTCCTGGACATTCCGCCCTGTCGTCAACACCGTATGCGAGCCCGTCTTCAATATCATTCAGCAGCAGAGAAGGACATTCCGAGAACCATCCGTCTTTGTTAAGATCTGTGTTGGAGTCGACACCTTTTTCGTCGTCCACCTTGAATTTCCCACCAGAGACGTCACATGGGACTCCTGATGCCTCGACCTCAGCTTTGTAGGTTTCTCCTGATGGCTCGTAGGCCCAACCATCGGCGAGTAGGCTCTTGACATCATATAGCCTCTGATCGGCCTCCTCCCAAGGCCGATGAGACTTGATCAGTCTTGCCACTGCATGATGACCCTCATCCTGAGCAAATCTGATCGCTCGGACGTATTGAAGACGGCCACCACCTATGGTCTTGACTCCAGAGTTGAGGAGTAACTGAACAACGTCCAGTTTACCATGCTCGGCGGCACCTTCTAACGCCGTTCGCCCCCCTGACCACGATCCCCAGGCATTAGGATCTGCCTGGAACTCCAACAATCTGCGTACCAGACCAAAATAACCCCCAATGGAAGCATATTGCAAAGCAGTGGCACCATAAGGGGCAGCAGGAGCGTTGATGTCGGCACCAAGATTCTTGAGTTTCTCCACTAGAGGTAGATTACCCTGTAGAGAAGCCTCCTGGACAGGCGTCATTGCAATCCCAGCGCCAAGATCTTCACTTGCAAGGTTGACATCGACACCTGATGCAAGTAGCCACTCAGTGGTATCGTAACGTCTCTCCCTGATCGAATCCGAGAGTGTTCTCGACGTCATCTCCACGCCAAAGCTCTTTAACATTTCGAGATTTTCAAGACTTGGACAGGATCTGAACTCGGGGGAGTACCGCACAGTCCGGTGGTACCCATATTGTCGCAGCAAGATGAGAAAGTCAAGTCCTTTGCTGTGAATGTTGACGTCGGCTACATTGAGGGCACTTTCCAACAGGTCTTCCTCCTCGTACTCCCCGGTGAGGATAGTCGGAATGTCATAGCGCCATAATATATACTCACGTCGCACATTATTCCCTCCATGTATAATACTGTCAGTGTTTATGCAACGCGCATTCCAACATTTCTCTGGTCGCAGCCCTGATTTTAGCATCAGTTCCACAATTTCGAGATCCCCAGACATTGCCGCCAGGTACATCGCTGTACCTAACCAGAGGTCTTCCGACTGTGATGTGACTGTAACATGACCCAAGAGAAATTTGAAAATGCTTCGATCTGACGTGAGTTGTGCGACAAATATGGCCGCCCAGAGTGGAGACGCAACAACAGTTTGTGAGCTGTCTTTGATGATCTGAGAGATCAAAGCCATGTCTTCTGTGAGAACCACAGCCTCCAGGACCGAGATTGTATCAGATATAGTTGAAGTCTCCTCGAAAGATGCTCCTTTGGTGAGGAGTTCGTCAACAACCACATCTCTTTGCAATGCAATTGCAATGGCCAGTTCGCTTCCGACCAACGTAGCTCCTGCCTTGAGGAGAGAAATCGCATTCTCGTCCCTGCGTCCAAGCAAAGCCGACTGGAGAGCAGTTCGCCCCATATTTGCAAAGTCGATGTCCTTCACCTCTGTCAAAAGTCTTGTAAATCTGGATCTTCAAGGACGGCAGTAGTTAATCTTAGCTCCATGCCACAGTACTTTCTGAAGAATGTCGGCATCGGATACACAGGCAGCGTAATGAAGGGGAGAACAAGAAGTGAATGGCGGTGGTGGATCAAGAGAGGCCCCCAGGCGAATGAGGCGTTGCAAAATCTTCGTATCTCTTGCATGAATAGCGGCCATTATGGGTGTAACACCCTTTGGGTTGGGGTGGTTGATATACGTGATGACATGTTCCCGGTCCTCTGAGAGTATATCCAGGACAATTCTACTATGAGCTGTGATGGCTGTCGTAAGTAATTGCGATCTTGACCCTGGGGTGCGAAGCCTTGTCCGAAAGAACTCCAAAACTTGTTCGGCGATTGGGCAAGCCTTGACAGAAGCAATCTCTCTAAGCAGTTCGCACGCCTTTGTATCTTCTTCCTGACAGAATACGAAGTTCGATAGTAGAGATGTCATTGATACCAACGTCTTGCCGAGGGCATTCCGGTATTCCCAAGCTGATTGTATCAGATCCAAATTGCTAATTGAGTGATTGGCATCCATTTCAACGAGAAGTTGAATCAAGGGGCGGTTGTTTGTAAAGATTGCATATTCGAATGCAGTTGCCGCCCTATATATTTGATACGGTTGGAGGATTCTAGCCAGGAGTTGATCGGCATCAATGCCCACCCGAATCAAAGACCGGAGAAGAGCAAGATTGGATCTTGAGATAGCTTCCTTGAACAGACGGTCCAGCGCCGATTGAATGCTAACTGGGAGATCAGTGTACTGCTGCGACATCAAAGCCGCCCAACCGTCGGTTTGCGGCAATACATCGAGCAACAATTTGACGACCTCATCATGCTTTACATGATAGGGATGACCCCTATCAAGGAAGTTATTGGACAAGAGAAACAACATCACCTGAAGAGCATCTGTGATGTTGCTGCCATGATTGGATGACAGGAGGAGGCTCTCGGCGCGGTATACATGGTCTTGTTGGAGCTGCTCGGGCATTATCAAGGAAAGCGCCTCAAATGTTGACTGGAGCCTGGCTGTATGATTGGCTTGAACTAGAGGACGTCGAGTTGCCAACATGAGAATCTCGTCCGCTGGAAGTTGGAAATGTTTGCTGACTCCGTCAGGCCCCAAAATGCTGAAGTCTTGAAGGCATTGGTTAGTATCCGAATGAACGTCATAAAGCTTGAACCCCAGAAGTCATCAGCAGTCCACGACGAAGCGTACCTTTGATCAAGCTTCTGGCTGTAACCAAGGAATTCCGTACATGTTGTCCAGTTCGGGAACATTCTGGGGAGACGGCGTCCGTATAATCAGCGATAGATCTGTTGGGGACGGTGGCGCAACGACTGTCCATAGTTGTTAGAACTCGGTAGTCCGCAAACTAGCAACAATGCCGCGAAGCCGCAACTAACCTCCAATGGTCTTCTCTAGAGCTGTCTCGTAGCAATGGCGAACCCTTGCCTTCTCAATTGTCGTATCTCGCAGTCTGACGCCTGAAAGATACACCCTGCTTTCTTTGCCTGCGGCGCGGCGGCTGCGTATATACGATGGTGTACGTATTTCCATTCCGAAGTGATCATCTTCTTGGTCATGCGCCATTGCGTCAGCTTCCACTGGAGCTGAGCTTTACTGTAGGGATGTTAGTATACTGGAAATGTCAGACAAGTACACAGATAACTGACCTCGGACGGAAGCCATAGGACACGCTGAGGATTGTCAAGAGGTCTTTCAGACTCTTGTCTTCGGTAAGGTACAGCTTCCTGATTTCCGGCTGGAACTTCTCCCATTCCTCGTCTTTGATATCACTCTTCTTGGCGCGAGGAGGCATGCTGGCGGCTACTGACGTGGTGTGTATCTCGAGAAGCGATGTGAAGCTCGGCTTATAGAAGGGCAGTTCAAGCCTTTGGTAATAGTTCTAGACCCGAAGTCTGAAAAGGGGAGGCGCCGGTGCAGGACTCTCATCCGATTGCGTTGAAGCGAGCACATTGGGGCTTTTGTATGTCCTTCGTGAGCCTGGAGGGACGGCTGTCATGATTGGTCCGTACCGAGATCCGATGTGCCAGCCTGCCTGTTGGTGTCGGTGACAGGGCACTTCGAAGCGGACGGCGTAGCCCAACGCAAATGATTGGTTGTTGCCGGAGTCTGGTTTCCTCGCATCGGCAGTGCTGACGTATCACGGTCGCAGCTGAAATGCACATTGATGCCGAGTATGCAGGCTGAGCTGGTCGCCTGGGGACCAGCTCAGTTGGTCGTCGGAAATGAGGCTGTGGGATGGAATCATGATACTGAAATGCCGCGATGCTGAAAGGGCTAAGCTAATGAGGCCGACGACTCAACAGGATTTGTATAAGAAAATCCCATTGCGTTAACCCACCTCGCCGAAATAAGGCGAGGGCAGCCCAACCTAAGGTAAAGCATGTTTGGCTTCATGCAGCATTCGAGCTCCCGAGCGACTGTGTCGCTACTTCCCGTCTTACTGGAAGCTCTTGTGAAAGTCCCCATGTGAAGCAAGGAGGCAAGTGAGTTGCTATTAATTGTCCCGGTCTCAAATAGAACAACTCCACCACAGCCCTTGCTCTCGAGTGTAGTTTATCACGGCCCGTCCAATCAGGAATTCCAACCTAGCTCCGCCCGTAGGAACCAATTTGATGGTCTGCCGGGAGCCACTTACACTGGATTGATTAACCTCTCCCCCCCTTCCTGGAAAAAAAACTTGTCGAAAAATCCAACTCGTCTCTCGACATCACTGGTAGTAGTTTTGGGTGGTCTCTCTCAAAGCGCATTTGTTTGACCCTCATTGAACCCGTCCCATGTGCCCAAATTACGGCGGTACGTACATGAAGCCCGGACTGGCCCCCAGAAATTCGCTTTCGACCCTGCGCCGCGCTACAGCGGTAGGCGAGCGTGCCCACTGGCAGGCAGATTGTTCCCTTGCCATTCGTGCACCTACGCAACATAGGTCGCTAACCTGCCCTCCCCGTCATGCAACAACTTCACATTTCCAGCCGATAATCGGCTTGGCAAGGCTCAATGGTCTAGAGGTATGATTCTCGCTTTGGGTGCGAGAGGTCCCGTGTTCGATCCACGGTTGAGCCCCAGCTTTTTTCTTTCTTTGTCTCTCTCGCTGTGACCTAACTGGAGTGTGATGGGTGAATGGATGTATGATTGTGTATAAGAGTTGTGCCGCGATCCGCATGCATGAGGTGGATACGAGGCTGCTGCGGCTGCCTCCCCATTCCGTTGGAGGTCATAGATCCGACGAAAGGACGGGAAGTTAGGTGAAGATCAACAGGCCAGTCGAGATGATTCGGTACCCGGTGATTGTCTACGGAGTACGGGTACCTTTCCCCCCAATCCCTTTTTCTTTTTCTTTTTCTGTCCTTTCCTTTCTTCTTTCGAGTGGTGTAAGCTTCCTCCTCCGCCCAGAACCAGCCTAGCGGCACGCGGGCTGGCTCGAAGGTGGTGTCGGACCCCTGGAGCCCCCTAGCTCCTTGTGGAAATGACGGCATTCCGTCAGATGTCGCGTCGGCGCCAGCGCGTGCTTCATTAGCACAACCTGCATTAGCACAACCTGCACGAGCCAACCCATCAGGGCAATCCTGGATTCTGCGGATGGGATGGGGCGAGAGAGATGACGGCCGGCCCCCGACCCTGCCAGCGCCGAGGTGACGGGCGATGATAGGAACGGATGGGACAAGGTTGGGGCGAAGAGATAGTTTAAAATGAAAAAAACTTGGCCGCATCTGCAGCAAGTAAGCAAAGAAAGCAAGCAAGCAGCCCCCCGAAAAGCAAGGTTTCAGCATCCCGCACTCTGGTCATCCCGTTCATCAAACTTTAGACTCGCATGAGGAGGGAGCTCTTTGCGATACGAGGAACGATGTGCGAAGCTCGGATGACGGAATGCTATGGAGTGCTACGGCAGAGCTCTCTTCTTCTCTGCCCCCCCCCCCCCCCCCCTGGTGGCCGCAGATGGCAAGCAATATTGTCATGTCACATAGTTCAGGCGATGGTAGCGGAGAGAGACAAAGTGACCGTATGCTTCAGCGGCTGGCCCCCATCTCTCTGGTTTTTAACGGATACGATGATGATGATGGGCAAGTTCCTTGGCCAGACGAGGTGCTACTGCAGTCGGCTGCAGAGTTGACGGCGGGGGTGGAGGAGGGGAGATACTCAGCGAGAGGGTGCTGAGCTCGGAAATGTACCCAACACCCGTTGGTCCGTGTTTCACTCACTCACTCGCTCGTTCGTTCATTCATCCATCCATTCATTCATTCATTCATTCATCTCATCCCTTGCCGTGGCGGCTGTGCAGCAGATGTCATCCCTAACCTGCCGCATACGACATGTACGGTGTACCTACCTGTATCCATAGATAGTGTATTTGATCCTAGTGGACCTACCTCCCCGTTGAGTGTCACTTGCCCCCTCCACCAGGCTTTTTCCAGGGCAGTAATACAGCCTTATTGGACCCGAGGTAGCAGCTCTCTTTACAATAGGTACCTGCCGCCTTGTGCAGATACGGTTGTAATATCCCGGTAGGATGGGGGCAGCGACAGACAGAAGGTGCAGCAGGAGCAGCTCTTTCCCTTGAAACCCACTCACTCAATCACTGTCGCTGCTTCCCTTCCTGGTGAATGATGTGCCACCGGCCTAGGCCAGGGCCATGCCATGCCATGCCCATGCCCATGCCCATGGCAGTCACGTTGTGCCACCTTATGCTGTGCTGAGACGACACCACCCCCTTCCCTGGGCGTCTATTTCTATCTCGAGACCCCAGCCAAGCATCGTCACCCGTGTCCTCTTCTCTTTTTGATTCCTCTTCTGTCACTTCGATTTCTCTGACCGACTGACTGACTGCTCTTGCGCTCGTTGCGACCAGTCCTCTACGGAAGGCCCATCTTTTCTCGCCATTAGTAGCTAGCTCTTAACGACAACCACCGCTTACGCTGTCGCACGACACTCTGACACTAACCACCCGCCTCTGAAAACTTACACCCGCGCAATCAGTCACCATGCCTGGAGTTCGTGAGTAACCGCCTTACCCCTGCCCTGTCCGTTGAGGCATCGCGACACAAATCGAACCTTCCACCGACGGAACCACATATGAACTCGCACGACCCCGACTCAGAATGCCGACAAATACTCACTAACACGCTCCTCCTTCCAAATAGCCATCGACGCTCTGGACAATCTCAAGTCCAAGTTCAAGGCCATCTTCAAGAAGAAGAAGGCCGACAAGAAAGCAGACGCCCCTAAGCCCGCCGAGTCCAAGCCCGCCGAGACTCCTGCCGCCACCACTACCCCGGCTACCGAGCCCACCAAGACCGACGCAGCTCCCGCCGCTGCCCCGGCCAGTATGTTCTCCCACCCGGAATTTCCTCACCTTCTCCATGAAGCGCCAACTAACAAACAAATCACAGCCGAACCTGCTGCTCCTGCCCCTGCTCCCGCTGCCGCTGCTGAGCCGGCCAAGGCCCCCGAGCCCGAAGCCAAGAAGGACGATGCCCCGGCCACTACCGAGCCCGCTAAGGCTCCCGAGCCTGGTACGTTGAGACAAACAGCCCAGCTGCTTTGAAATTGCATCAACTGACAATTCATTTCTTAGCTCCTGCCGCCCCCGTTGCTCCTGCAGTAGCCACCGAGGCCCCCAAGGCGCCTGAGCCTGCCAAGACCGAGACTCCCGCTACCGCTGCCCCGGCCGCTGCCCCTGCTGCCGCCCCTGCTGCCGCCCCCACCGAGGCCGCCAAGCCTGAAGAGGAGCCGGCCGAGGAGAAGAAGGAGGCCACCGCCGCTTAGACGGCGCTGCCGAGTGTCTACCATCTCGGCTTCCGAGAAAGTGTCCGAGGGCCGCAGCGGGTGAGCAGACTGAGTCGCAGACTACCTTGCCACCCATCAAGCTGCGGCAGCATATCACGGGGAGGGATGCACGCGAAAGGAAATTGCATGAGTTTCTTGCTTAGATTAGACCTTTTGGTCTAGTATGTTCATTTGCTTAATTGTCGGATACCCATTAGTCTAGTAGTTGAATCAAGCGTGCCTTGTTTACACTGTTCCCAAGGAGTGTAAGCCGCCTGTGCTTTTGAAAGAGCGTACCGTGACTAATCCGTACCAACACAGGTACCTGTATGTAGGCTGCTTTTCTTCTACTGCCAGATTCGCGTGAAGCCAGCAGTGAAAGCAAGACTGGGGAACGCCGGGTGCTTTTTTCTTCAGCGGGAGGCCCTCTGGCGCAACATCCCGGATCAGAACGCAGCAGCAGCTCCGGGCTGCTCGAGATCTTTTACTCAGCCACTACCCCCTTTTTTTGCGCCCCTCACAGATTGATGCTCGCGTTCGTCTCTCCTTAATGGAGCTCAAGCCCCCCCCCCCCCCCCTTCTTTTTGTTCATACAAAGACCGACACCAGCGGAGCCTACAAGTCGTCATCTCATCTCATGCTGCTAAAACCTGCTCACTTGGCCCACGGCGCCTTGGTCAACGTAATCTGCGCATCCCGCCTGCCGGCCCCGCTGCCTTGCCTGGCCTGCTGCGCGCTGGGGGGCATCGGCATCATGCCTGGGCCGGGTGGTGCCCGCGCCGCCGCCGCCGCATACAGCGCGGCGACCTTCTCGTGCACCTACTGCTCGGATGCCCGCCCCCCCCGGGGGTGGGGGAATGGGGCCCGGGGTAACGAGACTTATAATTGAGCGATCGCTCTACGTTCGGACAGTTAGTCACCCACCCCCTTCACACCAACCCAGATGCCTGATTTATCCAGGAGTTATGGATAATGGGTAAGCGTCGTGGTTGCGAACGTCTTCGATCGAGCGTTAGTTGACCCAACATGTTCTGACGGAGGCCCTATTCCGAATTCTCTATCACTCATTTACCCCAGCAAAGAGAGCGCCTGCTATCCTGCGTAGTTCAGTCCGACATGGAACCCGAGTAGATTCCGACGACATCATCTCAGGGAGTTTGATTGAATTATCATTATCCAATCCTTAGATAGCGGGATTCTTCTAGGGACGGTGAAGCGCCCTTGGGGTTTTTTACCATGCACTTTCATACCGAATGGGTAAGCCTGGGGAGACCTTAGCCAAGCGCGCCAGGGGGATCAGGAAGAACGCAGGGCGATCGTCTTCTAAAGTCAATACTATGGCTCCACTTGTTAGCGCATGGCTGAACACGGATGACAGTTGCGCAAGTCCGTAGCTGGGCGTTCCCCATGCAACGAGAACATGCAGAATGCCCCTACTTTCTCTTCAATATTTTATGCTGCTCATTCGCTCCTTTGCTAAATGTCGTTATAATCGCCCAATGCACTCCGCCACATCCTTTAGCGGGGGCGCGGTGGTCGCGGGGTAGTTGTACGAGGGCTGGTTCGCGGAGTGGACCGACTGCGAGACGGGGGCGGCGTCGGGGTCCTGGTCCCAGGCGAAGAGGGAGCCGAAGGTGAAGTGCTGGACGACGGGGAACTTTTGGAGCACCTCTGCGTTGAACATTTTAAGCATGCCCTGGGGGGGATGTCAGCACGCTTCCGTTCCTTGGTACGGCCCCCCCCACCACAGACCAGGATATAGAGAGACTCACCTTGTTGATCTTCCCCCACCCGTCCTTGACGCCCGACACGTCAAAGAGAATGGGGCTGTGCTCCCAAAAGGGGCCCTTCTTCACGTCGTTGATGAAGCCGACGGCGGAGAAGTACATGTTCTCGGACCGCTGGGCCTCGACGACGGCGGGCTTGACGATGTCGCCCGTCTTGGGGGCGCCGCGGACGGAGCCCTCGGTGGGCATGGGGTCGGCGTCCGAGGAGACGGGGCTCGTGAGCTGGGCGGAGCCGAAGATGTAGGGGAGGAAGGAGTGGTCATCGAGGCCCCAGACGCCGTGGGAGCCGGCGGGCTCGAGGGTGTAGGTGAGGATGAGGCGGCGGACGACGCGGAGGTAGGGTTCGATGACGCCGAGGACGATGGTGCGGTCGAGGGCGGCGGTGTCCGGCTCGCCGGGGGCGGGGGAGGTCGGAACGTCGTCGGCGAAGAAGGAGAGCTTGTAGAGGGAGCCGAGGAAGGCGAGGAAGGAGAGCTCGTGGCCGGTGCCGTAGTCGAGGCGCTGCGGGGAGCCGAAGGCGCCGAGGAGGTAGGAGAGGAGCTCGGATGAGGGAGGGTCGGAGACCGGGGCGGTGGGGAAGGCGAGGACGGAGTCGGGGAGGTGCTCGGCCAGCAGGGCGGGGGCGCGTTCGGCGAGGAGCTCGTGCCACTTGCGGAAGGAGACGTTGCCGAAGCGGCGGGGACCCGGGTCGGGGGGCGCGAGGTCGATGAGGGACTCGGCAGCCGCGAGGAGGTTCTGGAGGGCGGCGATGGAGGGCGGGAGGCGGGCCGCGGGCGGTAGCGAGGTCAGCGGGTAGGTCGTGGCGGGGCCGGCGCCGGCGCCGGGCGGGCGGCGCGGGCAAAGGGAGCGATTGAGCTGGAGGAGGAAGAGGAGGATGTCGCGGTAGGCCGTCGTCGTGAGGAAGGTCGAGAGGTCGGCACCGGTGTTGATGCGCTTGGTGGGGGTCTGGAAGCTGCGCGGGGCGCGGGGCAGGGGTTTGATGGAGGGGAAGGCGGGCTGCTGGGGCGTTTGGGACGGCGGCGGCGGCGGTGGTGTCGCCGTCGTCGACGATGCTGGATCCATGGTGTGTGTGCGTGTGTGTGTGCTTTGTTGTGTAGGCCGAGCGGTTGCTATACAAGAATAAGGCGGGATATTTTTTGGTAGGTAAGTAGCTGTAGGTGTGCCAGCTCAGACAGCTCCCGGCGGTCGTGCGGACAGAAAGCTGAGGCATGGAGGGGCAAGTGACGACACAGTGCCTTAGTCAGCGGGCCGGGCCGCGGGGCCATTCTCCTTCCCTCCCCCATTGATTGATTGATTGAAACAGGATGCATCTTCCTCCATTTGCTAGATTGTTCTTGAAGAATCTCGACCTTGGAAACGAGATCCCCAAATGACTCTCGGTCCTAGGCGGCTTTCTCTTGTTTGCATTGTAATCATGTAGTTAAGGGCCTGTCGCAGGGGACGAAGTGGAAAGGGAACCGCGTCTCGGAATGGGCTGTGATTATTGCACGTCTATGCTTAGCTTTTCCTATGTCCAAACCTCGGCCGTGTCTGAGCGCCGTTGACGGGACTCGCACCCTGATTCTATGGATTCTCCTTTTCTATATGTACTTTTCGGCCGAAACCCTCCGTCCGGAAGATCTAGAGAAGCCTAGGTACCTAGTAGAAACTTGAGATAGATGGAAACGAAAAGCCGCAATGACCTGTGTTTCGAAACAGCCATCTGTCATCCCGACGAGGCCGCGCGGCCCTTTGACGGCTGGCCTGCCCATCCGCACGTCTCCGAGTGCGAGCCGGGTCGCAAGTCTCTTTGCCCTGTGTTTCTCACGTTCTCGAACCGTTCATGGCGGGGTTTCTCTCTCCTCTGAAAGGAATGTCTATTTCAGCTTGTCGCTGATGAACTGCTTGATCTGGTCACCGTAGACACTTGGGTATTGCAGATGCGCGACAGGGTCGTTGCCGTTGCAGCAAAATGGATCGGCCTCGTCGCAAAACGACTTGATATTGTCCCCGTTTGGACATTGGAACCCCTGGGGTCGAGGTGCAAACTGGCTTGTGTGTCAACAACAGACCCGCAGTCTACCACTGGACGAACGTGAACTTACACCTTGTGTCTTGCAAGTTCCGACCTCGTAGGGGAGTCCCGCCACGTATCGAGGGTCGCCCATGAAGATGGCCACTTTGACCTGTCCCAAGGCCTCGTTGGAGATGAGCACGTCGGTCCCCTCGACGCCCTCAATGGTGTCTCCGCCGCCGCAGTACGCGTTGTCGATGATTTGGGCTCCCTGACACAAGTCAGCATTTGCATACAGTGCACACGGCCTGGCAACTCACCTGCGAAAATCCCAGCATGACAATCTTCGTCTGGGGGCATTTCTTGTTGAAGTCGTTGACAGCCGTAGCGACAGCCGCGGTCCCGTTCTTCACCGAGTCGGCGTAGCTCACGCCCGAGCAGTCAGCCGCCCCTCCGCAGGCAGGGTACACAATGGGCTCGTTCGTGGCCCCCTGGTTCGCTTTGGTGATATCGCCCACGATTCCAGCTGCGGCTCCGAACCCCGGCGGCGCCGTCGTCTCTCTCGCGCCAAATATGTGTACGGGCGGGCAGTCGTTGCCTTGTCGTCGGCGGAGCTGCTGAAGGGCATGAGGCGAGGCCAGTGCCTGGCCGAAAAGAAGTGCGATCCCCACGCTGAAAAGCATGCCGGGCAATAACCAGACTTCAAGGCGGGGCTGTTGGTAAATATTGGATTCGAAAACGAGTGAACATTAAACCAATCTCGCGGCTGGGCAAGAAACCTGGCATATGTACCTCTGGGAGACGAAGACATGCAACAAAGGGCTGGGGCACCGCCGAATAGCACACTACCACGCCGTGGGGGGGAAAGCCAATGCCTGGTGTATGGTCGAGATGACTGAATCTTACAAGCGGTCAGAAGAAATACACTCTTGCTTTCGAATACCACAGGGTTCATCTGCGGTATGGCGATCGAATCTTTATCCGGCAGGCCGCCTTCCGCCAGCAACTAAGGACGGCATTGCCCTTTTTCTTGGCGTCCTTGTCAAGACTAGCCAAGAAACCAGACGGGACGAAACGAAGACGGCCGCCGCAGACGCTTGGAGGGCATTTCTATGCTCCAGAGTGACGGCATGAAGCTCTGGCTCGGGGAAGCGAGGAAAGCGGATGGGACGTGTCGCAGCATTGGGATGAAAATAGCTATTCCGCATGATGCACGATCGGCACGAAGTTGCCAAGGCAGAAAGGAGCTACGGTATTAAAGACGGGACTGAACAACAAGTAAGAGGACGAAGAGGATACCAGCCCCCGGCAGGTGGTGTGAAACGGGAGTGGGGCTGGATCGCTGTTGTGTTGGAACATGTCGTTGTTTGACATGGACCTCCATGCTCGACATGCCTGTGTGCCTGAGCTGAATGATTTACCGGATAGGCTTTCCTGCCGATTGTGCGCATACCCAGTTTAGGTCTGATGGGTTTGTTGAAAGCGAGACTGTTACGATGCTGAATCCTATCGTCTAGGTACCTAGGCCGATATAACCTTGTTTGGACTTGGGTTAGGTTAGAGTCATTAGCACGTTGCGATGAGCTCCAATCTGACAGAGTCCGAATAGGGTCAAATGATGACCCTGGGTGATGTTGTGTTGCATCTGCAAGACTTCGGCCCAGGCTGGAAACCTGACCAGATGACTTCTAAATTGGCGAGATAGTGGCGGGCGTCGACTTGTTGGTTGTTCGACTGGATTGTCCCGTTTTCATGCTTGCTTCCGGTAAACCTTTCTGGCATAACGTAAATGGACAAAAATTCCCAATCCATGGTATTTGTCTTTTCGGATGCAAAGGCCGATAAGGTGCTTTGTGCATCTTTCCGCAACTCAGAACAAACGTCACGGTGAAGTTGTTTGTAGATTGTGACAGACGAATAGGCACTAAGCTTTCGCCAGTGGCAGCTGCATGCTGACTCAGCCTGGATGGTATGGGGCATCGGTCGGCCCCACCACAGCATCGGGCGCTAGCATGGCGGAGACCTGTGGCGTTTGCTGTCGCGCGCGCGAGAGCTTTGGAGTGGTTTCTCCGTCACTGGACCATCAGCTACGGTAACACAACAATGCGGCGCCAAACGCCTTGAACACCACAAAAGCAGCACTTGCAGCATGGTCTTGAAGTCTTCTCCAGCTATCAAGGTTATTTCGCCCTGCTGGCCTCATTACTTTGGATGTCGCCATGCCGACCTCTTCCAGACCATCTCCACAAACCAGCTTCGACGACGACCCTCCCGGGATCCGGCGTAGCAAGCGCCTGGGTCACGTCGAAATCGAAGATATACGGGACTTTGAAGCCTTGAGAACAAGGAAACGACGACGGACGCGTGAGGACCCCGACGAAGGAGATATCCGAGGTAGCGACGAAGTCGATCAAAACGAAGACGACGATGCCGCCACTTCCACACCTACTGCTGTACCGACGGCGCCCAGAGTAAGCTCGCTCAAGTTACCCGTCTTTCGCTCTAGGTACTCACAGAAATCCAACAGGCTACGGATAGACGCGATCGGCGACAAGTACGGACGAATCTCCGAGTTAACACACTTCGCAAGGCCGTAAACACCACACGGCTTATGGACAGTCGCAGTTCCGAGGTCGCCAAAGCCCCCCGAGCTCCCGATCACATAAGCAGGGACACCACAACGGCGAGTCTTGACAGTAACCTCAGTGAGGCGCGTCCTCCAAGATTCATCTCATTGACCAACAGCGAACATGCTGCCGAGACCGAGCCCGTCGGAGATGTTTACGAGTTCAGGGCCAGCTCGCCAAGGAAACCCAAATCACAGAAAGCTACACCCGCTAGACCCCGAAGCCGCAGGACATATACCCCGCAGGATTTCGAAACCGGCAACGGTCTTTTTGTTCAACAAGAGGCGGACGACGGAGATGAGAGCGACGAAAATGGGAATGAAGGGGATGGGAACGAAAGGGATGAGACCGACGGAGATGAGAATGACGGAGATGAGAACGAAGGGGATGAGAATGACGGAGATGAGAATGACGGAGATGAGAACGAAGGGGATGTGAACGGCCAAGATGAGACCGGCGCAGATGTGCACTTATACGACGACCCTACCATCGTAGGACTACCACCCTCGGCGCAAACAGAAGGCCAGGCCACCGAAGATGCCGTCCATGGGGCGGGGCCGCAATCGAGTGCAGCAACCGAGCAGCTCCAACGCCTTGTTGTCGATATGGGCTCGGCCACTCCCGAGCCCTCAGATGAAGCTGATGAAGGATATCCGGACGATGACCTCATATTCAATGAGCCTACGAGACAAGACCGAGTGGCCACAGCACCAATGAGGTCTTATTCCTTGAAGAGCATTACGGAGCTAATGGGTGGAAACGGCTGGACAAGATCTCGCCAAAAAGTCACGCCCATGACCAACAAAGACCGGCTCTCAAAACGGACACGTCCTCTATGGAAGGATCTTTGCCACCTTGGAGCATTTTGGGAGGGAATGCCACGGGCGCCCCTGTTCGACCAGCAATGCGACTACTTGCATTCGGGCCACGAAGATGCGACACGTGCGCGGCAGACCATCAGGAACGTGGACAGTCTCGTCAGCGTGCTAGCCCATAAAGCGAAGAAACCCAGCCGTGGAGAGGAATCACACATGCCGCCCCCACGGTTTGTGGTCGACCTTTATGAGAGCATCGTTCCACTTCTCGTCGACATACTCGGGATCGTGTTCCACAAGGGGGCAGAAACCGAGGGGTCGTGGTACACCGGGAGGTTCACCAAAATATCGTTGCAGATAATGCAGAGATTGGTCGCCTGGATCCATAGGCTGTACGAGGCAATGCAGGCGAGCCTAGCAAGAAGAAGGCTGATGGAGCAGTCGCTATCGAAAAGGACCAGCCGAGAAAAGTTGGGCGAGTATCTGCGAGGCTTCGAGTCTGAACTTGAACAAATATGGGAGAAGACAGATGAGATCATCGAGCGGCAACAGCTTTATGAGCAGAAGTTGCTGAAGCTGAAGGCCAGAAAGGAACGGGAGCAGCGCGAGTTGGAGGAAGCGAGACGACGGCAACGGGAGGTTTGCGATAGGCGCTTGCATGAGCGTCTGAGACGCGATGCCGTCCAACCGTCACAGATGGAGGCATATCCCTCGCAGTATCCCTCTCGGTCGGTGCACTCTTCGCAGCTGCAGTCTTCCCAGCGGACAAGTCGCGGGACACAACAAGCAGCGCCGGCCCGGATCGCGCCAAGGGACCGCGGAGAGACGGCCATCGTCGGACCCAGCAAACCGTGGCCCGAAGACGACGCTAAGAAGCTCTTGCAAATACTGACGACGAGGCCGTGGACGGAGATGGAGTCCCTGGTGTGGGAGTTCGAGCGTAGCGAGGAAGACGTCCAGGCCATGGTGGAGTTGCTGAAGCGGAGTGCCAGGACGTACGCCGCGTCCAAGGGCAAGACGGTTCCGGCGTTCGCCGCCAACTGAGAGAGCACAGGCGTGCCGCGTCGTCTGCGGTGCGTTTGTTATTGTTAGTTGCGAGGGTCGTTGTTTTCATGATACCCAAGCGTGTCTTTGCTGCAGAGTTCGGGATCGGTGTTCTATGGTATTGTTCGGGCACGGAGGTGCATAGACCTTGGTGCCTATGGGAAAGTTTGGGGAATCGGAAAGGAATTCATTGTCGATCATACCGTATATCATTACCCCGTCACCTGACGACCCGTGAACCCGAGCCTAACCAGCCTCCATCGGGTGAGAAGACTATTCAAGCTTCTCCTTCCAAGCGAAATACTGGTACGGGATGTAAATCGCGGCCACCGCCGCCAGAAACGCCGCCAGCCCGAAACCAGATGAATCGTCCGCCTTCAGCGCCAAATAAGCGCCCATGATTGCACCGATCAACACGATCACCGCCAGAATAGGGAACAGGAACTGGCCCCAGTTGAAGCACTCGTTGACCCGTATGCCCCATCCGATGACCGGCTTCCCGTAGACCCCCGCCTCGCGACGCAGGGGATACCGGAGCTTCTTCGGGAACGTCATGATCCAGTACTTGTCGCTGTGTCGGCCGGGCCGCGTGAGGTGCCACAGCGGGATGGACGCGAGCGCCACGTCGGCCATTGGCACCGGCTCGTATAGATAGTTCCCGACCTTCACCTCGGAGCACGGGGGGAACTCTCCGCACTTGAAGTGGTTCGGCACGATGGCCTCTCCAACCGGCACGAGTTGAACCTTTTTTTTTTTTCCGCCGAGTTAGCGGACGTGTCCTGTCTATGGGTGTCCAAGGACAACAGTAGAGAATAGTTACCCGGACGAAATCGCCAGTATTCATCTTGAACAAGCTGATATCAGACAACGATCGAAACAACCGGGAAATCCATTTCAGCCAGCTAGGCGTCCTTTGTTCAATAAAGTCTGATACGCTGCTCATCACAGTAGCGATTGATAAAGGAACAAGAAAGGACGTCTTCCAGGTTGCCCCCTCCCGTATCATTCGGTAATTTTTCCAGATTTCCCGGCAAAGGTACTGGTCATTTTCGAAAGAACTGCGCTCGATGTGAACCAATATCGGGAGGCTCTTCTGGTTGATGCACACCAGCAGGTACTGGAAACCCGACGGCTCTTCCTGCAGGGTTGGTTCCTCTGACCACGACGAGGTCGACGACGTCGAGGGCCGCGTTTCGGATGAAGAGCTCCCGAGCTCGGAGCTCTGTAGCGAAGTGGTAGACGGGCTTCTCCCGGACCGGAGATGCGCTGGGGGAGGCAGGGAGAGGCCTCTCGGAGCGTCTGTTGTCGAGTCTTGGGCGGCGGCGGCAAAGCTAGCCAGCCCATCTCTGGCCAGCCGCTCGCGAAACCGTCCTACTCCGCCTGGACTTAGCTCCCTGACATCTAGAAACATGTTATCTCCACATTCCTGTAGAAAACGCCAGCCCAGGTTTCTTACGGAGCAGGGGGGGGGGGGGGGGGGGGGGGCAGCCACTTACACAGATGTACCTGACTCTCTGATTGCCAGGCTTCGGGGGAGAACAAAGGTCAAAAATCCAAGCCGACAACCTCGCTCCCCAACGCAAGACCTTTGGTCGTTCAAGCGACTTAGCAACCTCCACCAGCGACGTCTCCTCTACTCGCTCGCGGCCGGGGTCGAGAAAGTTTTGAAACTCGGCTTTGAACCGAGCCAGTGGCACGCCAGAGACGAAGAAGCTCCTGGTCTCCTCGAGATCGACGAGGGCGCTGATGCTGTGGTGGTCCTCCTCCTCATCCATGGAGCTTTCGTCATCGGAATCCGGTGCGGTCTCCATGGCGTCTGCAGGGAGGCCCTTCGAAGTGGTTTCGACGTTGTTGAGGTAGCGCTCCAGCGTCAGGTCTCGCTCTTCGTCCTGGGGCAATGCCGCGTGCGCTCTTTCCCGCTTCGTCTTGTCGTGCGACTGTAGCTGCTCCAGGACCCTCCTTGAGATGAGATGCCTGTGACTTCGCGGCCTGAGAAATTCGATAACTGCCCTCTGTTTCTGATTTGTAGTCTGTGAGCGCAGATACAGGTAGTATTTCTTGAGCAAGCGTCTGTGGTTCCCGAGGAACCGGTAATCTTCCAGGCGTTGGGCCGCGTCTAGATACAGGGGGGTCAAGTCCGGGTCCTCGGCCAACACTTCGGCCAGATAGCTGACCGCAGCTGTTGTGACGGCCCAATGGTCAGTTGCTGACCCGTCTTGGGATTGGATGTCTTCTGGTTCCGAAGCCAGGGACCTGATATCACCGGTATCGCCAGGGCGGTTGTCAGTGGTCTCCGTGTGGCGGTAGAAGTCCTTGATCTTCTGCTTGCGTACATCGGTGTCGCTTGTATGATTCGTTTCTTCTTCGAGCGATGATAGCTTCGTAGATGCGAGCTCCTCGCTGAATAGCCGACTGCCTCTACTAGAGCTGGCGTCACTTTCGGAATCGCTGGAAGTTATACGCCTCGGGTTTTCCAGTCTCGCCAACTTCGGGTTGAGTTGGCGATACAAGTGAACCCTCGGGCGGGTCAGAGGAAGCCGGAGCTTCGGGAACGGAAATGCCATGGTCTCTCTGTCGATCCGCACGGCTGGCGTCCAAGCGGTCAAGGAATTCTTCGATTGAGATCTTCTTTCCGAGCATATACCGAGCAGCCCAGGCGATTGCGAGTGGTTCATACTCAAGTCGGACACAGAGAGCCGCAATGTTTCCAAAATGAGCTTCGGTTCCGACCAGCTCTTGAACCAGCTGCTGCGCTTCACTCTCGCTCATCTTACCAACTTCAAGAATGGGCCCTCCTTGCGCAAGGCCCCACGCTGTCCGCTCATTCCTGGTTGTGAAGAGAACCGATCCATGACGATATTCGGGTATGTAATATCTTATTTCAGCTTGAGCCACTTGACGTTTATTGGTGATGCGTTTCCAAGGCTGTGATAAAAACGACACCGTGCGCTCAACATCGTCAATGACCATCAGCCACTGGACTCGATGCTCTTGCTCCAGCCAAGTCTTCACCACTAGCCGAGTGCGTCCAGAACAGGCTTGCGAATCAATATGAGCATAGAGGCAAAGAATGGTGATGACAATTGGAGCGCTCTGTTTGGGATACAAGGCTGCGCCTCTGCGAATATCAGGCAGGCATATCATGTGCAAAATTGATTGGTTCGTACACAAATCGTGCCTCTCACGAGTACTTCCTCCCTGACTGGCCATATAAAGGTGGTGTCATCATTCTTTCAGCTACATGTCAAAGATTCAACACCATATTGTCTGAAACGACGCATCTCATTATCGGACCCAACGATGGCAGCGACTGAACTGGATGAGGCTCTATCAAGTTTTCAACGAGCCTCAACCCAGAATCGAAAACAAGCAACTCTACTAGTGATTGAGCGACTTGAGTCCCAAGAGGCAGCAGTAAGCACTCAAGGAGGGGCAGGCTGCGCGCGGGCATCATAAGGTTGGTACTTGTCAGAGGATTATACGGCAAGCAACTGCCAACTGGACCCGAGCACCGAGGATTCACAGCTTCGGAAAGCTGGACGTTGCCTTTGTATGTAATAAGCTTTTTGACATGCTGTTATCGGCATATCGGGCATGCCAGTGCCATCAGACAGTGGCTTTCGCACCCCAGGCTAGTTGAAAATCCTAATCCGCCTAGACTTCTGCGCAGGGTTTCCGCTCGCATCGTCGACTTACTCGGCAATGATGACTCGAGCTCGGTGGTTCCTACAGCAGTTCAAAACCAACCGGGCCGTAATCCTATGTAATTGGAATGGCCTGCGGCAATGATCAAAGTCCCGATCGTCACATGACATGAAGGGACGCGGACAGGAGGGAATTGGCATTGCGGCGGCCTACGATGCATTTCCTCATTCATTCGAGGGCATCACAGAAGGCCATCACGATGCGACGCTGGCACGATGCCGAACGCCGGTCTTGGCGGGACGGCGAATCTTAACACGGCCTATAGGAGGGGCCGGAAACGGGCCCTGCAAAGGGACTTTGTGGAAGAGATAAATGGCCTGTGTTTGCATACCTACTCCTAGTGGCTTGTTTTTGTTTTATTTCCACGTGGCCCTCGACTGATCCTGGCACTGCACACCAAAGGTGGGTCAAAATGAGTGTGTATGATCTAAGTTGCTCTGTCCTATGGTCTGCCTGTCGTGGGCCCTTTTGGCCCTGAAGTACGTACTGAGTACGGTACGTACTGTACGTAGTGGCTATGGCAGATCCCGTCCGTGTCATGGACAGCAGCAAGAGTGATACGGTACGTAGAGGGGGGCGGCGCATAGCGGGCGGCGCACAGAGGCACGCGCGCGCGCGCGCTCTCTCTCCCTCCCTTACTACGTACTCTCGATGAGATCTGATGGCGAGCCCGTCTCTCGGCGTAGCTGTGCATCTGGGTCGAGGAAAAACGGCCGTGTCTTGGTGATGGAGAAAGCTCACGGAAAACAACTGCCGAGAATGCTTTGGCTTGGGGAGGTTATGACGCCACGTAGGTGACACTGGATCTGTTGGTTTTTTGGAGGGGTGGGCGAGGGACAAGGGTGTACGCTGGTCGTGGGACTTCGGCAGATGGATATGGGAAGGAATTTGGAACGGGGAGAGTAAGGGTCGGTCCCTGGACGGCCTTACTCTGTTGCTGACTTGGTTTCCGACGGAGAGACCAGTCGGCAGTTCCGGCTCAGGACGAAAGGAAGATCAGAAGGGCCTGACTCGACAGAATACGATTGCGCTTGACCGCAAAAGAGAGAGAGAGAGAGAGAGAGAGACAAGCCCGGCAGACTAGACGGCTGGCTTGGCTTAGTGATGCTGGATTCCCAGAGGCCTGGGTTTATCTGCTGGTTGCTATTGGAAGACGACGGGATTTGCCGAAATGGCCCAGAGTCCAGAGAGACTCGGGGTTTCTCAAGAGAGTCTATTGACTGGTGAGCGAGCCTTTTCAACCCGTTCTGAGAGCGTGGGCGAAGGTCAAACACAACTGCCGTGTCGCCCGCATGTCATAGCCAAGAACTCATGCCTGTTTCCAGTCTCCAGTTTCCAGCTTTCTATGGGGTTTCCCTGCCGATCAAGTACACACGGTAAATGCTGTGTATGTGTGTACTCCGTTTTTGTACTATACAGTACCTACATACGTACATACATACATACATACATACCTACACACATACATACTACCCCGATGGCGCGTCGATCCAAGGGTTGCATCTTCCCGACTCCCGTGGATTGTTCCGTGATGCTTGTTTCCTTTGCCCGAGGCTCATTGGCGTCGTGACACCAGCTTTTGCTCCTTTCGGCCAACAACGACCGGACCGCACTTGGGACGAAATGCATCTGCCGAAGATGATTACGGAGTATCCGTACACTACCGGTAGGTAATACCGTACGGATAGGTAGTTACGAGCGGGACGATAAATCGTCCCGCCTAACCGGAAGTATCCTACCCTGCCCAGCTCTCCCCACTTCCCAGCGCCATCCGGGGTCGGCATTGGCGATGGATGTGTCCATGTCTGTGCATGCAGCCGACATGAAGCGTTGTTCATTTCCCCTTCGGCAGGCAACTCGGCTGCTGTGCAAAGCTCTCCCCCTCGATCCATCCATCCAGCTCGCTCCGCAAGGGATGATGGCAAACCAGCCGATGCGTCCAGCTGCGTGTCTGGTGGATAACCGAGGTACTGTACGGATACGTTGCCAGGAGTTAGTATCCGTACCGAGTATCCGTATCCGTACACCGTAGACAAACCATCACACACATCACCCCCCTCGGCTCAGTCCCCGGAAACCTTCCCGACCCCCCTTCTCTCTTCCCCTCCCAAGGATTCTTCCCCATCCGTACCCCAACATCTCCTCACTCGCTCCCTATCTGGCCGAGTGACCTCCCAAAGTTCCCGAGTCTGTAGTCAAGGCGACCATTGGGGGGAATACCTGACCTGACCTGACCATTAGTGGGGCAAAAGTACCGTACACGCACTAAGCCAAGTAGGGTTGGTGGATAGGGTCGGCTAGGGTTCGGTTAGGGTTGGGGTTAGGATTTGAGTTAGGGATTGGTTCGGGTAATGGAATATGGTATTAATTCGGGCAGGCCCACACCCTGGTCATGTTATCAGCAATGGTCAGGTCAGGTCAGATACCCCCCACAATGGTCGCCTTACATGTACGGTAGTCTCAAAGTTCCCAGTGTCATTCTGCAAGCTTCTGAGTGGCCAGCCGCCCTCTCCCCCCGTCCCCTACGGTACCTGAGGCCATACCACCAAGGCGACTGTGGCATTCCATCCGCTCATCTTGTTGGAACCATGACGCACTGGGCACTGAGCACTGTGGTAACGGAATCTCTGTGCCTCTAGCGGCGATTGTGACAACTAAAACTAGTTAGTGTACGGATTCTTTTCCGGGCCCAGCTAAAGAACAAGTAGGTAGTAGCAAGCCATCCAACGTCTTGTCCAGGCTCGCGGGTTCTGGCAGTGACGATCCCGACATCCAGGACCATCACTCGTATTGCCACCATCCCAGCCTCTCCCGTGTGGCTGTTTTTTTAGCTATTTCTTTTTTTACTCTTCTTGCTTTCTACTTTACCCTTTCTTTCCTCCTTTCCTGTTTCCTGGCTCTACTTACCACGCAGCCTGCATAGTCATGGGGAAACCCCCCTCCCTCTTTCGAGATTACATATCTTCATCAGATTAACCTCCCATCCACCTATTCGGGGAGACATCCGCCAGACCAGGATTCCAGAAAGCCGCAGAAGCGCAGATACCCTTGCCTATGTATCCGAACTCTGTTTCCCGCCCGCACTCTTGTCTCATGTTGCACGAGGCCTGACACCCAACACTTGCACCCTTACCCTGGTCCGTGGCAGCCAGACACTAGACGGCTGCAAACCTTCTCTCCGCCAAGGGTTGAACACTCTCCGAACTTCCTTCTCTCCTGACCCCTACATACACACACACACACACACACACGCGCATGCACATACGATAACGCCTCTATCTGCCCAGTTCCCCGGAAGCTCGGAGAAGACGCTTGCACTGCTCCACCCGCCGGAGACACAGTCGTAGCAGCTGCACGTCGACCCGTACGGCATGCCCCCCTCGTACACCTCCCCGCCTCATACGTTCCCACCGATGCATCCCAAGATAGCAACTGGATAAATTGCGTTTCGGTACCTGGCCCGGAAGTTCCACCTGGCAGCTATCTGACAACACCTCTGCCCGCCCGCTTGTGGTTGTCCCCGTCCGTCTCCAGTCTTATACTAGACGGCCCCTCCCCCTTCTCCCTCAGAAGTTTCCTCTCCCGGCCGTTCGTTGCCTCTTTTTTTTTTTCCCTTTTTTTTTTCCGCCTGCAGAAGAAACAAACAAACAAACGTTTCGACCTTGTGACGCGGCGCGGCAAACCTGTCAAGATGCACGGCATTACGGAAACCCTGCTGGCCACGCTGGCCCAGCACTGGCTGTCGATAGTCCTGTCGCTGGTCGTGGCCTGGCTGGTCAAGAACCGATACCACAACGGGCTCAACAGATACCCCGGGCCCTTCCTGGCCTCGCTGACGGACTGGTGGCGCTTCTTCGACGTCAAGGGCTGCCGGCCCGAGGTTACGCACCGGAGACTGCACGAGAAGTACGGCGACATCGTCCGCCTCGGCCCCAACACGCTCTCCTTTGCCGACCCGGCCGCCCTCAAGACGATCTACGGCCTGAACAAGGGCTTCGTCAAGGTAAGCTTTTCTTCTCTCTCTCTCTCTCTCTCTCTCTCTCTCTCTCTCTCCCTCTTAAACAACACACCTCTTTTTTCTTTTCCATGCCGCCGTCTCGGCCGTGGAAAGGGGGCCGCCGAGCTTGCTGCTGACAACCTCCCCCCTCGCAGTCCGACTTTTACATTGTGCAGCAGTCCATCGCCAAGGGCTACAGGCTGGAGTCGCTCTTCAGCACGACCAACAATGAGTTCCACTCGCAGTTCCGCCGCTGCGTCAACTCGGCTTTCTCCATGTCGGCCCTGGTCCAGTACGAGCCCTTCGTCGACAACACCACCAAGCTGTTCCTGTCGCAGACGGAGAAGCTCTTCGCCGGCAACCCCGAGGGCTGCGACTTCACCACCTGGCTGCAGTTCTACGCCTTTGACGTAATCGGCGAGATCACCTACAGCAAGCGCCATGGCTTCGTCGAGAAGAACGAGGACATTGACGGCATCGTCGCCTACCTCGGCAAGCTGTTTCTCTACGTGGCACCAGTAAGTTTCCCCCCCCCCCCCCCCTCTTGGTGAGACGGTATAAGTCGAAGGGCGGAGTCGTTTGCCCTGGGGCACATATCCGTGACTAACATTAACCGCCTCCTTAGATCGGCCAGATCCCCTTCCTGGACCTCCTCCTCCTCAAGAACCCCATCTACCTGAAGCTCTCCCAGTGGGGCTTCATCGACGCCACCTTCCCCGTCGCCCGCTTCGCCCGGGACCGCATGGCCGAACGCCTCCCCGAGCTCGGCGGCGGCGGCGGCAAGGAACCCCTCCTCCCCGTGGCGTCGGGCAAGAAGCTCGCCCAGCAGCCCGACCTGCTCTCCAAGTTCCTCGCCGCGCGCGAGACGCGCCCCGAGTTCATGAGCGACATCCTCGTGCAGACCATGGCCGTGAGCATGGCCTTCGCCGGCTCCGAGACGACGGCCATCAGCCTCGCCGCCGTCTTCTACTACCTCCTGCGCACGCCCGCGGCGCTGGCCCGGCTGCGCCGCGAGCTCGACGACGTCGCCCGCGCCGGCGGCTTCAGCGATTCCGAGACGGGCCTCGTCACGTGGGCCGAGAGCCAGCGGCTCGAGTACCTCGACGCCTGCATCAAGGAGGCCTTCCGCATGCACCCGGCCGCCGGCCTGCCGCTGGAGCGCGTCGTGCCCGACCAGGGGGCCGAGATCGCCGGCACCTTTGTCAAGGGCGGCACCATCGTCGGCTGCAGCGCCTGGATCATCCACCGCCGGCCCGAGATCTGGGGCGCCGACGTCGACACCTACAGGCCCGAGCGCTGGCTGCCCGAGCCGGGCAAGGACCCGCTCGCCGAGGAGAGGCGCATCAAGGAGATGAACGGCCACATGTTCCAGTTCGGCATGGGCAGCCGCACCTGCATCGGGAAGAACATCAGCCTGTTGGAGATTTACAAGGTCGTGCCGAGTCTGCTGCGGAGGTTCGATGTGAGTGTTTTCTGCCCTTCCTTCCCATTCTTGTTCCCTGGCGTATACCCAAGAGGTGTGCGTGTGTACGTGTGTATATGCTGACCCGACACCTTGGCAGATCTCGTTCAAGGACCCCAGAGAGGAATGGAAGCTGGTCAACGCGTGGTTCGTCAAGCAGAACAACTTCAACGCAAGGTTCGAGCGGAGGGACATCATCAAGCCCGAGGCCGGCGAGAAGACGGCGTCGTGAGAGAGCGGTGTGGTGTGCGAAAAGTTGGACTGCTCTTATCCCACCTAGTCGGCCAAGCAAGCTGCCAAGCAAGCTGCCAAGCAGGCTGCCGTACAGGGTACTTTTTAGATTTTTTAGATACCAAGGCCAACAAAGTTACTATGCCGGGCCGATTGAGTCGCGTACGAACATACACTTGAGACCATCTTGGCATTCCAACCCCACTGTGTCAGATGCTGTATAGCTGTAGCCTAATACACGAGATACCGTTATGGATTAGCATCTCTATTAGGCCTTCTCCATATTCGGTCCCATCTTTGTAGCTCCATGAAAATACGACATATCGTTAGGGACTAGCATCTGTTCGGCCTTTTTCATACTTGGTCACATCTTGTGCAGCTCCACGAAAATACGAGATACCGTGTTGGGAATACCATCTCCACCTCTTCACATTCTACTCCAGGGAATATATGGCCAATGTAACTCGATTGCGGCTAGGCTTACTATTGCATGGTCTCGGCCGCACTATAATCCACTTGTCTAGTTACCTATTCCAGCTCACACAGTAACCACGAAAGGAAACACACAGTCTTCTCAACACGATGCTGAGAAGACGGGAACCATACACAAGAGAACGCCTTGCTTACAAAGTTATGCTCTTGTCAGAGACCTCACAGTGCCCGCCGGAGCTGTGTATGAAAGAATTGGAACTACTACCTAGTTAAGGCTGCGCAAGTGCTTATGTTTAAACGTCTAACCGAACCAAAAGTGGCCCGGTTAACATCGTGAGGTGGAGTCTACCAGAACGTTGCCCTGTAGGGCGGCAATTATACGAGATCGTGAACAAGGCTTCTGCTACCTTCCTATTGTAACCGTGAGCACAAGTGAGGGCGTCGTGGTTGGCAATGAGAAGAAAGAATGGTATAAATACCAGTCGTCCTTGTCTCCTGCGGCTTCATCAAACATATCTCATCATCACCCACAACCTTGCTCACAATCTTTCTACGCCATCTCCTACACTAGATTAGATCACCTCATCGCCACCACCCAGCAGGCCAGTTTCCCGAGTCTCCTCATAAACACCTCGCAAGAAAGCCTTCAGAATGCAGCCTACAACCCACCTCTTCCTCGCCCTGCTCGGCCTTCCTCTGGCGGTCAGCGCCGCCGCCGTGCCAGCAGTCCCGAGCCCCCCTCACGGTCCCAACGGCGAGACCGCCGTGACCAATTGGCTGCCCAAGCCCGACGGCATCGACGACGCGCCGCACCCAGACGAGGTCGTCAACCCGAGCGTCGATTTCGGCGGCGCCAGCCTCGAGAAGCGGGAGCAGTGCGCCATCCGGATCAGATGGGAGAGCAACTGGGACGAGTTCGGCCGGCGGTACCGCGTCAACGCTCAAGCCATACCCGACCCCGCGAGCAGCAACGCGTGGAACTCGTGGAGGATGGCCGAGGACTGGGCCCTCAGGTGCCGCTCCATGCCCCACACGAACTGGCCCAACAATCCTGCCGCCTGGCAGGACGCCAACGACCCGGCCAGGGCTACGTGCGACGTCTCCTTCGTCCACGGCTCGACCGGCTATGATCAGTACAAGTGGTGGCATCAAGGGACTGTCGACTCCTGGGCAAGGGCTTACCCTGGTTGCATCGTCGATATGCAGATCTAAGCGCTCCAACCGGAGAGAGAAGTTGAAAAGCGCCATCTCGGTCCCTCGCCGTGTAACGCATCGTCTAGAAGTGTTTCAAGAGGACTGGGTGTACAGGGCTGGTGTCTTTCTGGAGAAGCCAAGCCATTAGCAAATTGTTTATTTCGACAGTTGTAAATATTGAATGTTTGATTTGGAAGTATCCGTATTTTGTTCCTTCTTTTAAGGATACGGTCGCTCTAAACCCCCATAAGCGGTCTAGTATAGCGACGCCTCAATCTCTGATCATAACGCTTACAACCGACTATAAATTGGGGTTGTTGACTTGCAGTATTTGAGTGAATTGACCGTGAGTGTTCGTAAGCACCCTCCGTCAGCCATAAGTGGCTAGCTCGAAACTGTAGTTATTCCTGGAGGATTATGAACACTTGTCTAGGTATTATATGAGTTACATTCCGACGTTCCAGGTCTAAGACAATAATAAATTTGTACAGGTACCCACGCATGCTACGTGAAACTGTCTTTTCAGTGTATACTCTACTGTAGATGCGGTTTGGAGGATGTACATACAGTACCAGGTCAGAAGTATGTTTACAACAAAAAGGACTATCTATGCCTTAGCCACCCGCTGTAGCTTTTGATTGGCTGTCCTTATTGCTGTAAACAGACTTTTGACCTCTGTCCCTATTTCAGGCTAACAGCAACAGGCAAGGCGGTTGCCAGAAAGAGAGCTAGCGTACTAGCAGAAACCAGGCTCGGATGTCAACAGAATCACTTCATCGGTCAACCTAGGTAAAAGTAAAGGAGGGGTTTTGCTTGGTGTGTACGGTATTTAGGAACAGGTCACACTGCCTAGGCTAGAATATATCGAGAACCTACCAAGTGTCCAACCCTATCCGCGACGCTTCACGGATTCTGAATCCCCCCCCTGTTATATTAGCCTTTTCGAACCAACCCCCCCAGGGTCCAACAGTAGGGAAAACGGGGCTCCTCAACCTGCCTTGCCTTGATCTCTGCGTTTCACTTTGCCTTGCCCAGTTTCTCGAAAGAAGGGGGGAAAAACCCCCGAGTCGGAGCCGCCAAGCCGAGCTCAAGCTTGACAAGCTTGGACGGTGTATTTCCCCTCGGGAGATATAGGCCGAGTTGACCCATTACCTCGATGCCTCCCTTCCCGTCTCCGTCGTATATCGGCTTCCGTCCGTCCCCGTGTCCCCCACTTCTCGTGATACCCGGACACCTTCGGTGGCGATGGTGCTCTCTGCTTCATACCCATGTATCATCCCCCGCACCCACCGGACCGACATGTAGCCCGCATCGTGTCGTCCGCCATCGTCTCCCATCGCAGGCAGCTCTGGCCGACCACCGCCGATGTAGGCTTCACTTCTATATGTATACTTACCCTGATACCTAGTTACATGTTTGACTTTCAGAACAGCCGTCGAGGCAGTCGTGCAAGCATAGGGGAAAAAGGGGGTATCGTCCATTGCTACCTCGGCCCGTCATAACACGCCACCGCACGCGTTCCTCTTGTAATTACACAACGGCGTCCTCCCGACGCAACGCGCCTCTCTCTCTCTTACACACACACACACACGCACACAAACACACACAGTACGGCTCTTCCTCCTCTCTGTCCAGCTGTCTTCACCCCATCCTGCTCTTCAACAACCAACTTGCTATCAGTTCGCAAAACGAGTACTCGTTCCTCCGTCTTTCACCCTCCTCCATGCCAGCGCCAGTACTAGGTACCGTCTGACAATGGTGAACCCCCCCGCGCTGTGTATATTAAAACAATAAACCTACACCCGGCCGTCCGGGTGAGGAGAAGTGGCCATAAACAAGCCCTGCGCTGGGTGCGTTGCGAGGCCGTGGCGAGCCCGCTGGCCCAACCAGAAACCAACCGTGCTCCTTTTGTCTTCTTCCTCCCTTCCCTTTCAAGCGCGCGCATGATGCCTTCGCTTAGTTGTTGAGCTGCGGCGACTGCTGAAAGTCCGTAATGGACTCCAGCATGGCCAGATTCTTCTCCTGCATGTCGCGGTCCATGTTATGGATCTGGTTCGCGTTGACTCTAGCTCGTTGCAGCTGTCACACTGGTTAGCCTCCCGTCACCCGTGCACATATAAGGGAGCATCAAGCAGGGCCTTCCCACCACAGCTAGTGCCTCGGAGGAATGGTCTTCTTCCTCACCTTCCGCGGGCTTGTCCGCTGCGTCCTCCGCCTCGCCGTCGCCGTCTGCGAATCTGCTGGCTGCGAGCCCCTTGGGCTTAGCGAGCGCTGCATTGGCCTGTTTCCGTGTCAGCCTCGCCCTCCGTGCGTGCCACATGCTGTCTCGTTTTGTCCTACCTTGGCTTCCGCAATCTCGGCGTCCTTGACTTTGAGTTGCGCCTGGAACTCTTCCACGCCCTTCTCCTTATCGGCCAGCGTCTTCTTCAGACCCTCAATCTGCTCCTCCAGCGCCTTCCGCTTGGCCTGCTCCTCCTCCACGATCTTGGTCATCGTGTCGTTGAGCTCCTGGTAGTCGGCCTTGTGCGTCTTGAGCTGCTTGTCGGCCTCGAGCTTCGACGCCTCGAGTTCCTTCTGCGCGAGCAGCAGGTCCTCCTTGACGTCCTCCACCTCCTGCTTGGCGGCCGCAAGGCTCTTTTGGACGATGCTGAGCTCCTCCTCGAGCCCCTTCTTAACGTTGGTGAGCTGCTCCCGGAGGCTGTCCGCCTCCGACGTGTCGGGCGTCTTGTTCTTGACGGCGTCGAGGGCCGCCTCGGCCTCGGCACGAGCCATCTTCTCTGTCGATATCATGGCGCCGAGCTCGCCGCACTCCTCCTCGAGCTTAGCCTTCTCGGCCTCGACCTTGGCGACCGAGTCCTTGGCAGCCTTGAGCGCGGCCTCGAGCTCGGCCGCACCGGACCGGCTCTTGGACTTCTCGGCTTCCGCCTGGGCGACCGACTGCTTGGCGGCCTGGAGCGCGGCCTCGAGCTCCGAGTAGTCGGCAGAGATCTTGTCCACCTCCTGGGCAAGCGTCTTGCTCCTAGCCTCGTACTCGCTCGTCAGCTCCTCCACCACCTTGGAGTGGGCCTTGTTGATCTGGTCGAGCTCGGCCCGCGCGCCCGAGGAGCTCTGCTGCTTCAGCGCCTCCAGCTGCTCCGCGTGCATCGAGATGAGCTTGTCGATCTCGTCCGAGTGGCTTTCGTCGAGCTTCCTCTTGGCCTCGGCGAGCGCCGCGGCGCTCTCCGTCTCCGTCTCGCGGATGCGCGCCAGCGCCTCGTCGAGCTGGAGCTTGAGGGTTGCGAGCTCTTCCGAGTGGGTGCTCTCGCCAGCCTGCTTGAGGGAGGCCAGCTCGGCCTGATGCGACTCGAGCAGCTTCGCCTTGACCTCCTCGAGCTCGGCCTGGTGGGAGGCGACGAGCTTCTCCTTGGCCTCCGCAAGCTCGGCCGCGTGCTCGGCCCGCAGCTTCTCGGTCAGGGAAGCGAGCTGCTCCTCGTGGGCGGCCAGCAGCTTCTCCTTGTCGCCGGAGCTCTCGGCCAGGGCCTTCTCTCTTGCGCTCGTGATCTCCGCGAGCAGCTTCTCCTTCTCGCCAGAGGTCTCGGCCTGAAGGGCCTCGATGACCTCGGTGTGGGAGGTCTTGAGAGCCTCAATCTCCTTGGCCAGGCTCGCCTCGCTGTCGCTCTTCAGAATTTCGAGCTGCTTGGCGTGGCTGTCTTTCAGGCTCTGGAGCTCGGCGACCTGGGCGTCCTTGTCGGCCGAAGCGCCGCTCTTGGCGCCCTCGAGCTCCTCAGCGTGGCTGGCGCGGATGGCGTCCAGGGCCTTCTGATGTTCGGCCTCCTTGGCCTCGAGGGCGGCGACGGCGGCAGCGAGCTCGGCCTTGGCCGTCTCGAGGGCCTTGGTGTTGCCTTCGGCGGCGTCGGCGTGGCTCTTGGCGAGGTCGCCGTGCTGAGCCTCGAGCTCGCCGTGCTTGGTGGTGAGCTCGGTGTGCTTCGACTCGAGGTCGGCGAGTTTGGCGGTGAGCTCGCTGTGCGTCGTCTTCAGCTCGCCGTGCTCCGTCTCGAGCTCGGTGTGCTTGGCCTCGAGGTCCTGGAACTTTCGCTTGAAGAAGGCGTCTCCCTTGAGCGACTCAATCTCCTCCTCGTAGTCCTGGGACACCTGCTTGAGCTCGGCGTCGTGCTTCTTGACCTGGGCCGAGTGCTCCGTCTTGGCCTTCTCGAGGGCCTCATCCTTGGCGGCCATCTCCTCCTTGATGCTGTCAATCTGCTTCTGGAACTCGACCGCCTCCTCCCGGGCCTTGGCGACGTCGGCTTCGGCGGCGGCGAGCTTGCTCTCTAGGTCAGCGACGTTGGCCTGCACTTCGGCGAGCTCGGCAGTCTTGGCGTCGAGTTCGGTCTTGGCCTGCTCGGCCGTCGTCTCGGCGGCCTCGAGCTTGCTCTTGAGCTCGGCGATCTCGCCCTCGACGGCGGCGAGCTTCGCCTCGTGCGCCTCGACCTCGGCGGTGACCTTGCTCTCGTGCGCGGCCTCAAGCTCCTTCTGCGAGGCAGTGAGGTCGTCAATCTTCTTCTGGAGCTCGGCGACGGCGTCCTCGTGGCTGGCCTTCATCTTGGCCAGGGCCTCCTCCTGGTCGGTCGTGGCGGACAGACCCTGGCTCAGCTCGTCGGCGTGCTTGGCCTCGAGCGCCTCAATGGCCGACTTGTGCTGCTCGGCCAGGGAGCTCTGCAGCTCCTCGAGCTTGCTGGCGTGCTCTTCCAAGGCCTTGTTGAGAGCAGACTCACTCTCCTTGAGTTTCTCCTCGTGCTCGGCCCGGAGGACCTCGAGGGACTGCTTCAACTCGGCGAGCTCGGCCTCTGCGGCCTCCTTGGCGGCGACGGCCTCTGCGTACTCGCTCTGCTGTTTCTCGTAGTCAGCATCGGTGGCCACAAGATGTTCATTGGCCTCATCCACCTGGTTCGCGAGCTCAGTGTGCTTAGCTTCCAACTCGGTAACCTGGTCCTGGTGGGCCTTTTTCATGTTGAGGACAGCGTTCCTCACCTGGACGGCATCCCTGTTCACCCCATCAGTGTACTGGGTGAGCTTGTCCTGCGACTGCTGGACCTGGGTCTTGAGCTCGTTCAGCTGCGACTCCTTGTCGGCGAGCTGGGTCTCCTTTTCGGCGAGCTGGACCTTGAGCTGTTCGACCTCCTTGCCGAGGGCCTCGGATGCGCCCGAGGAATCGGGGCGGGTCGAGGTGCGAGTTCGGGGGGCGGCGGCGGAGGTGGCAGTGGTCGAGGCGGTCGAGAGACGCTTCTTGGCCTCGGCGACGGGGCCAGTGCCGACGGTCGAGGAGCGAGAGCCGATGGAGGGACGGGGCGCGACCGAGTTCGGGGTGCGCGTCGAGGTCGATGAGGGCCTGCCAACGGTTGAGCCGGTGGCGGGTTTCCTCGCGGCGGCGGTGGCGGCGCCGAGGGTCGAGGTCCTCTTCTCCTTGGTAGGCGAGCCGGCGGCGCTGGGACTGCTACTGGGGGCAGCCGAGGTGCGGCGGGCGGTCCTCTTGCTCTCGTCCTCGGAAGCGGACACGCTGGGTCGCGAGCGGTGGGTGGTGCTGGAGGAGACGCTCGCGGGCTTGCGGACGGTGCTGGTCGAAGTAGCAGAGCCGCCGCCAGGGGGACGAGTAGGAGGCTTGGTCAGGCCGCCGGCGAGGCGGGTGGAGGTGGAGGAGGTGGTGCTCGTGGGCTTGCCAGTGCTCGTCGTGGAAGAAGTGGTGGGACGTCGGGCAGCGGCGGCGGAGCTCGAGGTTGGCTTCTTCAGGGAGGAAGCGGCCGAGGCGGTGGACTTTGCACTGGGGGAGCCCGAGGCGGCCTTGGGAGCTTCATCGTGCTGGACGACCTCGAAGCTGCCGGTGTCGGACATGGTGATTGGAGCTCCTGAGTCGGCGGGAAGGAGAGGCTGTGTCGTTGATTAGGTGGTTCTGCGCGGGCATGTCAAGGTCAGCCGGGGGCAGTTCGTAAGGGGGGGGGGAGGGGGGGATTGCGGGTAGCTGCAGGAATTGGGAAACACGAGAAGGATATGGGAGGGACGATCTGGTAGGAGTCACAGCATTCCTGGGGATCGAGCGAAGCTGGATTGAGTTCCCCAAGCGGGCAATTGGGTTGGGCGAGGGGCACCGAATTCGGGGAGGTGGTTTGTCTTATTTTCGTGGTAAACTCACCTCGCGACAAGTCGTACTTGACCCGATCTTGGTCTCCCTTTTTTCTTTCTTCCTTTTCCTTGCTTTTTTGTGTAAGGGGGAGGGGGATTTCCTCTTTGGAGAGCTTGGAGCTTCACAGCGGGGAAATCAACAAAACAATCAGATTGAGCAGATGAAGAAGCCCCGGTAATAATACAGGAGAGGCACGAATCGACGGGGGAATCGTCGTCGTATGTACAGGATTGGAGCTCTGATCAGTGGCAAAGGCAGCTGAACAGAGGCGGGAAGGGGAGAGAAAGAGTGAGAGGAAGCAATTGGGAACAGGGGAGAGAGAGGAAAAGATGTCGGCGTTGGAATAGAGGACGGGTGGAAAGGCACGGACGACACGACGGATGGAGGTGAGGTGTCTAATTAGGTAAGGTGGCAGGGTGGGTACCTACATGCACTACCTACTCTGTACCTAAACTACAGGTACTCTGTAGGCTGTATCCGTACGGATAGTAGACTAAGGTATCCATCCGTACGTGGTATTAAACACAAAACAAAAAAGTGGCTTCTAGATTGGCGTGGATGGAGATGGAGCATGGGGATGGACAGACACTCTTTTCCTTCTGTTCTGCTGCGACCCCCCAGTGCCCCTGTGCCCAGTGCCCCTGTGCCCAGGGTTGTTTCCAGACAGACCATGCTCAATGTCTTCTCTCCCGGACCCTTTCTTTTCGCCCCTCCCCCTTCTCAAATCATTGGGGGTTCATCAGGGTGACCTGTCATCACTTACTTAGATACCTACAGGTAGTGCAGTAGAGTGAGTACCTACCTAGGGATGCATTGGATTGGACGGCATTAGCACAGGCACTGCAACGCAGACAGGCGCATGAGTAGGTACGATGCACTACATAGTATGTAGGTAGGTACCGTACCTGGGCAGGTATCTCTATCTACACTACCGGTAGGTGTATCTGTACATACTCGGAAGACAGTGACAGTTGGGTTGGCATTGGGCGGCCCTTGCAGGCTTTCAGCAGGCAGGGAACAGCAAAGTACAGGGTACGCGCCACGCCGCATTCTGCACATATAAAAAAAATAAAGATAAAAACGGTAGCCGTGAGTCGCCGTCACCGGCCATCCAGGACATTGTCACACATTCCCTGTACTCTTCTCTTCTATTTCCTTTCTCTTCCTGTTCCTCTATTTGAACCACATATAGTCGGCAGACCTAGAAACAAGGGGAAACATATTCTAGGTACCCAAGTACTCTATACTACCTACCTGAGTAAAGCGCGGTGCCAGACAACAGGGCGCGGCTCTCGCTCCAGGGAGCTCAGGCGGTGGGTCGACCGCCTCGTCCGCGACCTGTCATTTGCTGCCATCTGTAGCCGGCCAATCAGATTTCGGATCATCCCATCCTCCGGGTACGTATATCCTCCAATGTGTACCGGTACACAGTACCTACCTACCTACTTACATGCCGCGATGTTTCCAAACATCTCTCTCTCTCTCTCTCTCTCTCTCTTTGTGCCGTGAAGCTCCTGTTCCATCGTCTTCATGCAACCACTCAACCGCCCATTTCGATTCGCCCAGAGTCACAGTCACAAGAAAGAAACCGACGGGGATCGCCATGGACCATCGCCCCTCCGACGCTGCTTCAAACCATGGACGTGGCAAAGCCCGTCCTCGGTACGACGGACTGGCGCCTTTAATTGCCTAACGAGAAGAGAGAGAGAGAGTGTGTGTGTGTGATCAGAACAGTGACTGACATAGGGCGCCACTCCGAAGCCGTCATCATCACTTCAACCCCTGAGCTACATGGCACATTAGACGACTGACTACCTAGTATCCGTACCTACCCAAGGGTAGCAATGACAACCGACCCCCCTGCCAATCCTCTCAGCTGTCAGCCCGGACTGTTGTCGATACGCCTTCTCAGCTTGCGGTTGTCGCCAATAGTCCGTCCTCTGCACGACTCATTTCGGCAACACGGGCGTGCAAAGGAAACAAGCGAAGAAGAAAAAAGAAAGAAAAAAAAAAGAGTCGGGAAAAGGGGGCCACGAGCGACCGGCCTCGCGGGTCACCCGCCCAAATTGACTCCGAAATTTGACCTCAGGTGGCCCGGAAGTATCACCGTCCACCCCCTGTCCCGTCTGTCTTTCTGTCTGTCGTATCCGTACCATAGTTCTGATTGTATTTCCTCCTTGGTCTCTCTATTACTCCGTACTCTCCATTGACCAAGCCATCGGATGGATACCGACCAATGGCTTCAGTCTCCCCCGACCCCTCCTCACCCCCCAGGCTCTTTTACTTTTATTCTAATTTCGTAACCTGCAACAGGATGCCGTAGGGGACAAATACTGAGCCGTCAGCACTCGTCTTCGACTCTGGCCTCTTACCACCCTCACCAATGTCTCTCCAACCGCGCTCTGTAAACGGAAATAGTATCCGTATGAAAAGGGAAGAAGAATAAGAAGAGGAAGAAAAAGAAAGGAAAAAAAAAGCCCCCAGCTCTCGCTCGCTGCCAACTGAACCACACCTGCTGCCCCCGGCTCTCTCCGCCAAACACCCGCCAGCATGTCTCGCATACCAAGTATCCGTAAAACAGAAAGAAAGAAAAACAAAATAGAACAAAATAATGAACCCCCCCACAGATGGATCCCTGCCCGTCACACACACACACACACGCTCGCACGCGAGGCGAATCCCACATGAACCCCTCCACCTCCCAAAAAGCGACGCCCAACCGTCCGTGATGCGCTGTCAGCCCACATGTCACCGCGCCCCTCCCCCGCCGGTGTTCATGTGGCACCCTGCCGTTGGCCCCAGACCCGGATCGGGTTTCTACCACCACTACCACCAGCGCCTTCTTTAGGTGGGCAGCGTAGCATACTTACGTTGCATACTTGTGTATCTATGTATGTACTATGTATGTATGTATGCCCTGGGCCCTTTCTTTGGCTTGTCGAATGACGTGCCGCCGGCCTACCTGAAGAGTTATGGCGCCCTGGTTTCTGGCGCCTAAAACCGTCAGCCCGATGATGATGAATGGACCAAATCACAGTATACGTACGTCGATGCATTGCCCCATGTCCACAATGGCACCTAGGTGGAACATCCCAGGCCAAGACGTGAAAACAAGCAGAATCCCTACACTTTATTTACTCCCAGCTATTATTACAAAATACTTGGTGGACAGAGCCATCCTACACGTGGACCACTTTAGTAGTCATCGTCCGAGTCCGTGTCCTCGTCGGGCACGAGAGCGCGGTATCTCCGGCTGGCGAGGTCCTCCTCGATGCCACCCTCGCTCTCCGGGTCCACGTATCCCTCTCCGCCGAACAGGCTCAGCGCAACGGGCAGGAAGATGAGCGCGTGCGTGCCCGCGAAGACGACAAGCGCCAGCCATACCCGGAAATAGTAAATCTCAAAGATCTTGGACCTCGTAAAGGCAAGCACGAAGACGCCCAGAAGCTTGGTGACCGTGATACCCGAGAAGACGGAGCTTCCCACGTTGACCAGTGCCGTCCAGGCGCGCGCGTCGCGTCCGCGGAAGCGGTTCTTGGCGCGCTCCATGACGGTGCGCGAGGGGAACATGAAGGCCCTCGCGATATGAGCGCAGAACTCCACGCCGATACCGACGCAGATGATGAGGTTGACGAGCGACACCGCGTTGAGCGAGACGCCAAACACGGCCATCGCCCCAATGATGTCCACGACAGTCATGCAGACCGTGACTGTGACAACCAAGGCCGTCATCAGAGATCCCAACAGGATCGACGCAATGACAAAGATGATTGCCACCGCCGACCCGAGGAGCGTGGCCGTCAGCGACACAATGCTGGCATATTGGTCGAAGAAGATGTAAAAGAGACTGTAGGGGAACACGTCGGCGCCCGTCGAGCGACTGATGTCGTCCGCGATTCTTCGCGCAGCCGACATGGCGTTGATGAAGTCCTCCTGGCTGCGCAGCGGCGTGTGCATCGTCCTGAAATGGCTGGCGGGGATTGTGTCCTCCTTTGTGTCAATAACCACAGCATTGCCATATGACGCTTGGCCGCCTAGCGGGCAGTCGTCATTCGTAGGCGCCTTGAGGAACTTTTCGAGGTAGTGGATGAACTCGCCATCCTGGGGCATGCCGGACAGGGTGATGTTCCAGGGTGGGTTACGGTCAGCAAAGCATGCCTTGCCGTTCTCCACGCAGCACGAGTCGCCCAGGTCAGGGTTGAGCCACAGGAAGTAGTCATCGATCCAGCTGGCAGCGGGCGAGGAGATGTACGAGACCTCAGGTCGCTTTCTCTCTCCCTCCAGGATGTTGGCGAGAGAGAACTGGTCGCACGTGGTGAACCTGGCGCAGATCTCGCGTTGGTTCTTGCGTGCGGTGGCGTTGAATCCCCTGGTGACAAAGTAGACGGGCGGCCCAGTCTCCATGTACTTGTAGAGATCGTTGAAGTAGGGGATGAGGTAGGACCCGTCGGGGATGGCAACACGCTGGTCCAGGCCGAGCTGGACTTCGGGGAGGAGCGCAAGGCCGGCGGCAAAGAAGCCGAGGAAGATGGCGATGATGATGGCCTTGGCCTTCTTTGCGAGAATGGCGGGGGCGTACGTCCTACGGATGAACTGCTGCAGCCAACTTTCCTCCGGCACTTCATAGAATCGGGCATTCGCGTTTCCGTTGCTGCCGCTGAGGTGGACCCGAGCAGCCTTGACTTGGAGACAGGGAATGCAGTCTGCCCGGTGGTCCTCGACACGGATCTGGTTCATGGCCAGGAAGGACACGAACAGCGTGATCTGGAGGATTGCGTTGATAAAGACGGCGCCCGCGGCGTAGGCGGCAAAGTTGCGCACCGCAGGCATACCAACAAAGGTTCCAAGAGCAAAGGCGACAGTTTCGGTCAGGGCCGACAGAAGGATGGACGGCCCCATGCGGCCCAGTGCCTTGGCAATCCGCTCCTCAACCATTTCGTCGGGATGGCTGATGTTGACTCGCTCAAACTCGTGGACAATCAAAAAGATGTTGTCAACACCGACGGCAAGGACGATGAAAGGAATGACCTCGGCGATGATGAGCGTAGCCTTGAGGCCAAACCAAGAGAAGAGACCGATAGAGGCGCTAATGGACATGAGAACAATCAAAATACCAACAACACCGAGGGAAAACTTGGACTGAACCAAGGCAACAGCTGGGTTCCTAATCATATCCCGGAACGACAGCGTAGTGGATCCAAGAGCCAGAGATGCGTAGATGAACATGATGATGTAGCTGATAATGACGATCTTGGCGTCAGTGTTGGTGGACTTGTTCAGCTCCTGCTCCAAACTGATCTCGGTGGAGAAGGACAGGCGGAGACCACGGTCTTGGGCCTCCCGCTGAGCCTCCAGAAGACGGTCCCGTAGTGCAATCTCCCAGTCAATGGCGTGCTCAACAGCAGGACTGCCTTCAGCTGCATTCTTAACGACCCAAGTGACGGTCATGGCTGTGGCGTTGACGGGGTCGTCCTTGTAACCGCCCAGGATCATGTTGGGCTCGATGGGCAGGCCAAATTCGGGGCGACACTCGACGGGCGACTTCGCGCACTGCCGAAGCTGGTTCTGCCAGTCGTTCTTGCCGACGAGCGAGGGTTCGTCACCGTAGTAGGCCGCAACGGACTGGACAACACAGGCGTTGCCAGTGGGCTTCAAGCAAATGTCATCAAGAGTGGCGCCGAACTTGGCGCTCTTCAGCTGCTTAACACTCTTCTCGACGTCCATCCACCAAAGCAGCGTGTCGTAGCTAAGAACAGGGGCGGGTTCCTTGGAGTGCTGGTCGTTAACCAGGAACGCCTTCTCGGCACGGTAAAAGGGACCGAACTGGTCATCGAAGAAGGCCTTTTCCTGCGCAGCAGCAGAGGTAGGGCTGACCCAGAGACGCGCAGGGTCCCGTTCAAGGTCGAACCTGACCCATCCAGCGCTGAGAATGATGACAAAGATGAGAGTAACGCCAATGGTAATTCCCTGGTAGCGTGCCGCTGCGTGTCCCAGCTTGCTGAAAGCCGCATCGCACCAGGTGTTGATCTTGTAGTACCGCTGAGGACGGTCAAACATGGCACCGTTCTGAACCAAGTCGCCCTCGTCCTCGTCGTCACTAGGCGACGCGTCTTGAAGCAGCCTGAGGCGCTCACTCTCTCTTCTGGCACGGCGTCTCCAGGCAATGTGCCCGATGACCCCAGCGACAGCAGCGAACAGCAGAACGCTATAGGTAAAGATGGCAGCAAATGAGAGGCAAGGCAGAACGCCAACGTGGCACTCGCCGGGCCTCGAGACCGCAGGGAGCTCTGGGCACACGGACGGGCAGTCGACGCATGCACAGCGGTAGTTGGGGTCCTCGTCGTTGCACCTCTTGGACTTCAGGTCGCGGGGCGCCATGCCGGGCTCGCTGTACTCGGTGGGAAAGTTAATTTGAAAGGGAGATCCAATAACCTTCTCGTCTCCCAAGAACTTGAGCAGCTGGGTGTAGTTCTTTGCGCCACCGCCAATGAAGTCTATGGCCCTCGAGTTGGAGGGTCCAAACTTGACCTCCTTACAGCTGTCAAAAAAGCCAGTGCCGTAATCCTTTGAGATCAACTGGTCCAGTTCCGTCACCATGGTCTTCTTGTTCTTCTCCTGAGTCTTTGTGATGTTCAAGAAAAGAGACTGGTCGGGGGAGCAGGTAAAGGTGCAGAATAAGTTGAAGAAGTTCTCCTTGCAAGCCGGGCAAGAGGAGATGATCTGCTTCGGGGTGCCAAGTTCGGAGGCGAGGGACTTGACCTGTAGAGAGGCACGTCAGTAAGCCAGCTCGCTTGCAGTGACTGTCGGGATGGCAATTACCTGCTCAGCATCGCAACAGACGGGACCGGATTTCCATTTCTCTCCGCAAAGATCGACGATTTCCTGGCGCAGCTTCTCGTCGGGTTCCTCGGCCAGGCCGTTGTCGGGGCATGGCAGTTGCTTGCCAAAGAAGCTCTTGGAGCCGCAGTGGCCGCGCATGGCGCATCGTCCGGCTTCATGCTTGGGCGTGAATGGCTCTGCTGTCGCACTGCTGCTCAGGCCTGCCAGCAGCAGGCCGCCAGCTCCGAGAAGCTTCCACAGCGTCATGGTGGGGTGTCGTTGCTGCCGCTCAGCGGCGATGTTGGGAGCTTTCGTCGGTGCTCAGCTGAAACGTCGAGGTATTGGAAGGCGGGTGATACAAAATAAACAAGCGGAGGAAAATGCCGTCGCGCAATGGCCAAGGATGGAAGGGAAACGACAGCGACGATGGGAGATGTAGGATGGAGGAAGGATGGCAGAGAGGAGGATGGAACGGTCGGATGTTGGAGGTCGGTTAAGGTGCGACACACGATACACCCTCACCAAGCTGCCTGAGAGGGAGCTCCGGTAACACTACCTCCGTAGGTAGGCACGTAGGTACATCCACACTATGACTAGCGACTGTGCGTGCCTGCGTGCCTGCGTCATTCAAGTGCAACAGCGTGTGTCAGTGTGGACTGCTGGCCGCCCCGGGTAGCGGTGGCTCCAGCGTCTGGCCTGTAGAAGTGGAGACTGCTCATTGCGCTGTCACTGCTACAGTAATCAATGGCGTCACGGCTCCAGTCACGTGGCTGTCCGCTATCATACCTGCCCAAAATGGAACAAGCTTGCTTTCCCTTATGTCTGACACGGTAGGAAATGTCACGTGCAAGTATGCGTATCCATTTTGGCTCAAGCACCTGGAAGGGCTTCGAACATAGTGATCATCATACTGCGGCGCTAGAAATCCCAGGGGTTCCTTCTTGAACGCATGCTTGAGATCGTTGAGGCGGTGATTACTCAAGACACTAAAGAGATGGGGAAAACACCCAGATTCCGTCAAAATGGCGAGAAGGCATTGCCAAGATGTGACATTGACTTACCAAACACAGTATTCAGAACCTGACACGGCCGCAGCCATTGGTACGGCTGCTACTTCAACGTCAATCTGAGTTATTCCCCATTTCTCGGTGAGCCAAGCGGATCTGTTAGATATTCGATAACTCCCAGGTGACTATGCGGCGGTGGTCTTCATCCAATACGGGAATAGTCTCCTACAACGAATCGCCATCACAGAGGCGACGGACATAACACTAGGGTTACCAAGGCTCCGCAAGCCCATTCATCCATTCTTCGAAGTTCGGCTCCACGCATAAACATATTGAGCTGCGTCTCACCAAGTTATACATCTGGCCCGGCTTGCCTTTGGGAATCAGTGCTGGCCTGATCCACAGAGAGTGCGGCCACCGATATCCTCCCCGAAGCGCCCTCATCGAAAATTCTTACCCCCCTTCCTCCCTTCCCCCCACCCCAGCACCTTTGGTCCGAAAGTGTACCACCCATACACCTCGACGCCCCCGAGGACGCAGAACCCGGCCATCAGCCAGAACCGCGCCCGCGGGCTTGTCGTGATGTGCCGGAGGCTGAAAACGGGAATCTCGACCGTGCCCTCGCCCGGCCTGTTGTTCTTCATGTCGCTGACGCTGTTGTTCTTTCCCGGCGCGGGGCCGGCACCCGTGGCCGCTCGGGACGGTGCTGTGGAGAACGCGGCGCGCGGGAGCGGGGCCGCAAATGTCCTGCTTGCGATGCCTGCTGTTGCGGCGGACATGGCCAGTTTGTTTCTTTTTTTTTTCTCCTTTTCGATGTTATTATAAACTTTCCTCGAGATGAAAGAAATCGGGAACTTTGCTTGTATTATGTAGAACAGTTCAGGGATACAGACGCCTCGATAATTGTTCATCTCGTCCGCTGACGGGCTTATCCTCGCTCCGTCGCTATACGACCCGAGCGTCTACTAAAGGACTGTACCTTATTCACCTTTGAACGGTATGATCAAGCGTGAACGTGACTTACCCCAGCCGACTTCACCCGGGACTGCGGAGACAGGCCTGTCAGCTCGGAGGAACTCCAGAAAGGTCTCGGGTACCCCAAATTGCCTGATTCGGCCAAGTGGAGAGATGTGGTGAATTGGATGGCTCGGATAGAAAGCGAGTCTCACACGGCGGCGCTTTGACATGTATTCTTACTCCCATATCTATCGTCCAGCTAGTTTAATTCCTATGCCACCATGCCGACACCAAACGCCCCTAGAACCTAAGCGAAATACAGTCTCATCAAGCAGTTATGACTTGTTAATCGTCAGTGGCTTAAATGGTTTCCTCAGCCGGTCTATCGGTGCAATGCCCCCTTCCTTCTTCAATACCGCAGGTCGCTTGAACCCTCCAAACCCGTTTGTCGTTGTCGTCGCGTGCAAACAACTAGCTGGCCGTTCTCGGACAGGCGGCGGCTCGTCCGCATCTTGGTTTTCTTTCTCGGGTGATGCTGGTCGAGGAGGGGAGCTCGAGAAGTTGGCATAGTGTTTCTTGAGCCCCATGGCGCCTTCAATCGCTGGTCTCGCAGGCTTGGGTGGCAGCTTGGTTGCTCCGAGCCTGTGTCCACTGAGGCTTGGCGCAATGGCCGGAGAAGGCTGTTGCACCTGGTGCAGATTCGGAAGTTCAGGCAGCTCTTGAAGGGCTGACCGCGACTGAGGAGCGAATGCACGGCTTGCTACTGGATCCGCAGCCACCGGAACGTCAGGCCTGTACCTTTTGACAAACCCCAGAAGACTCTGCTGGTCGGCTGGCCGCTTCGTCGTTCCCCTTCGAGGCCCAGTCGACTTTTGAGCGCCCGAGTCGCTGCGGCGGGCTGATGCTGCCATTTCGTTCGCGGCGGCAAGCATTTCCCGAGCTGCGCTCGCAGTAGTGAAACCAGGCAGTGTGAAGTCGGACGCACCATCCATTGTCGTGGATGCATGCCATGTCGACACTAGCTGAGAATCGGCCTCTTCTGATGCTGAGACCGCCTGTGGACGAGGACGCCGCTGCCATTGCCTGTTTCTACCACCAGCACCATCCTCGAAAGAGTCCTCTGGATCCTCGGGGTACAGGTTGTCCTCGGGCCGCTCCAGAACTGGCATTTCTTTGAAGACTTTGTCTTGCGACGGCACCTTGGACTCTCGTCGCAGTATGCGTCCGATTTCTTGTAAAATCCCGGGTTCAAAAGATGGACCGCGTTTTCTAAAGTACGGGTGAATCTCTGATGGAACAAACTTGGACAACTCGGTACGTTCGCCCCCGTTCCCTCCGTGCTGCGAACTGTACATCGGGCAGCTAAGATAGAGAAGCGACTGGGCCCGCGTCATGGCTACATAGAGGAGACGGCGTTCTTCGTCAAGGTCCTCTGACCTCATGTGTGGGATAGACCCATTATACACGGCAGGGACGAAGACAACCGGCCATTCCAGGCCCTTGGCCGCATGAATGGTCGAGATGGTCACCAGTGGCTTGTTGTCAGCATCGCCTTTTTGCTGGGCGTCCGACGCCAAGGAGACATTGGCCAAGAAGCGGCCAAGAGCGTCGCTCTCTTGCACCTGTTGGACTCCGTCGATCACCGGGAGACGATCTTCGTCCGCCGTTGTGCTTAGATCCCGCATAAAATCTCCCGCCAGACTGATAAACTCCTGCACATTGGCCCATCGTGTCTCGTGCTCGTCTGGGTAGTTCTCTTGGAGATATTTTTGGAAGTTTAGTTGCGAAAGCAGGTTTTCGATCAGATCAACCAAGTGATAATACGGACTCCCGGTGGGAGGTTCCTGGATCTTCTTCCTGAGTGCCGAAACTAACCTGAGCAGCTCTCCGCTGATCTTCTGCTCCATGGCTTTTTTGATGTTCGTCTTTGCTTGTCGTTCCCCTCGGCAATGCTTGTTCAGCATTGCCCAGACGCTCAGCTTGGAGCTTTCGGCTTCCTCGAGAAGAGACTTGATGGTCATGTCTCCAATGCCACGGCGAGGAACGTTGATGATTCGGGCCACTGCATCATTGTTGTCTGGTTGGTGGATGACGCGCAGGTAGTCAAGGATCACCTTGACCTCGGCGCGCTCGTAGAACTTGAACCCGCCGACCATTCGATATGCTATTCCAGATTTGCCAAGGGCTGATTCGATATGCCTGGAGAGGGATGCTGATCGCAGGAGAATTGCCACATCATCATGGGTAAGCATTTTACCCGCCATCAGCAGAATCCTCTTGATCTCAGACACGATCCATTCGGCTTCGACGGCGGAAGACTTGAGACGCCGCAAGACCGGCCGGGTGCCTTTGTTGTGTATTGGCAGCAGCAACTTCTGGTACCGTTTCTTGTCCTGTTGGATCACCTTCAAAGACACGTCCAAGATTGCCTGCGACGAGCGATAGTTTTCCTCGAGCGAAATTTCGTCCGTGTCTGGATAGTCTCTGAGAAGACGGTACAGATTTTTGATCTCGGCGGATCGCCAGCCATAAATACTTTGGTCAGGGTCTCCAACAATGGTGATTCTCTCCCTTGCCTGAGCGAACAGCCGCATGAGCTCGTACTGAATTCCGTTGGTGTCTTGGTACTCGTCGATAAGCACAGCCTGAACGTTGGCAACACAGGATGGGTGCTTACGCAGCAGCTCCACACACCGAGTCAACAAGTCGTCGTAGTCCAGCAGTTTGGAGTGCTCGAGGTGGATTTGATACTCGCGAAAGCATGTTTCCAGATCACGGCTTTGTGGGACCGCCTGGCCGTTCCGCTTCTGCGGAGTTTGATTGTCGCCCTTTGACTTTTTCTTGCTAATCCATGATCTTGCAACCGGAGGATCAACCGAAAGCTGTAATCGCTTGCATATCCTCTGGATGATGGATCTAGAATCCGCATCATCTGCGATGGCGAATTTCTCGTCTAACCCGATGCGTTTACCGTAAGCTGCAAGATAGCGACGCGCAATGCTGTGGAAGGTGCCGAGAACAATCTTTTTCCCACGGTCGTCCCCAAGGGCCTTGGTGATGCGTTCTTTCATCTCCCGCGCGGACTTCACCGTGAAGGTGGCGACAACAATGTCAGCGGGGGCATAGCCGACGTTGTCCAGGAGCCAGACGACACGAGAGGCCAAAGTGTGCGTCTTGCCACTTCCAGGACCGGCCAGGATGGCGACTGTAGACGCCTTGGACGTGACGGCCCGGCATTGTGCTGGGTTCAGGGTTGCCAGGATAGATTCGGCTGGGCCAGGGGCCGAGCTGGACGAGTTCATCGTCGAAGAGAGGTCATTGAGGAGGCAAGTAAGCAAACGATCATGAGCCACATGGACTCCCCTCGTCGTCAATGGCTGTCGCGTACTAAGGGCTGGCTGACGCGTTTGGAGGATGCAGGGTGACGGCGCCAGCAGCCATGTCAACATCGCGACTCCCGGCACGGTGTCACATGATCCTGTCATTTACAAATGCACGTGATAATGCACGTGAAAACCCACACGTGTTTGCCCAATTACGCACATGCCATCGAGATCATCTTGTCGGTCCCACCCTCAGTTCCCCCCCATCCTCAACGGTGATCCTGGGCACTGTACACCCACTTTGCCGCCGAGGGCGCGTAATGCCCTGGCACCCTTAGCTTTCGTCGCCGAATTTCGCTTTGCGGAGACTTCAAGACCACACATCTACGCAGTGCATACTCGCGCACGCTTGCCAGATTATTGGGAGAACCGGCATTTCTCGGCTTGCGGTAAAGTTCGCGGTGTCGGCCAGTCCACTTCTTTACCTCGCGCGCTCAGGGCTGCGTTATGTTACCTATCTTGGTCCACGACCGTGACTGACTTGCGTCCAGCGTTGCATCTTGCTGGATCCGGATACAGTCGTCGGCAGGTTGACAATCCGTTATCCTTTGGGCCAATACCTTACTCAGTAACCCAGGTAATCTGAATCACCTACAGGAGATCAGGAGGTTATCCCCGAGCCCTACGCTGAGACCATCAATCATGCCGCTGACTCGACGAACTGGAGGTTGTTTCCATCAATCGTCCCATCTCGTTGCTTCCATATCGCTACCGGCTGGTGGGAGAGGTGTGCAAGGTATGCCTGATTGGGGGGGGATACGGTTAGCATGGCACGGACAAAGTCTATCCGCATGTGCTTTGATGACTCGCAAAAAGCTCCTCTGCCTACCTACCCTCCAAAAACAAATCGCTGTCCGCCGCAAACCCCAAGGTTTCCCCTCTCTGCCACGCATAATGAGTTGAGCGATTGGAAGTCTATCTCAATGTTCCATCGATCGATTGGAGAGACGATGCTCTCAATCCTATCACCGTGACGAAGCTAACGACCATCACGCTCTAATGCTGCTCCCAATGTGAAGTCACACTCAGGCAGACATCCCATTCGATGACGGTCTGTAATGATACCACATGGAGTGGCGGGGGGGGGGGGGGGGGGTAAGGGGAGGGGATGGCCTGTGCGATGAGTCGCGTCTAATTGCAGGAGAGAGAGAGGCGCTTTGCGGTCAGAGAGACGGAAAGACTGGGAGGCCGAGAGACACGGTCCATGGGCCGACGCAGGGACAGGCCTCTTGTGACTTGATATGATCGCCCGTCTTCTTTCATCGGCGCAACGGTCAAGGACGAAGACAGGACGAGAGAGCGCGAAGACCACAAACGACAGGCCGAATAACGGCTGATCCGGAGAGCGGAGGGAGGAACCGCTCACCTTTTCACCACCTTTCCTCTCCCCCTATCCAAGACCGGAACACGGCGCTCCCGCCTCTCAATGGACGGGCCGTTTGTGGCCCTGACCGACATGCCATCGCCCTGTACTGACGAATTGAGTTGGCAAAGTCGATTCCGGTGTGGTACAGCGCGGGGTTTGGCCAGCTCAAATGTGATGGGGGCATCCAATCAAGACCCCGGTAAGCTGGCTGGGCGCTTAAACCCCCCTGGCCATCATCACGATCCGTCCAACCACACAGCTGGATGCCCTTGATGCTACCGCCTCCCCTCCTCTCGGTAGAAGACAACAATAGCCACGGGTCTTCATGGGCGCTTTCATTGTTGCTCGTCGCCATCGAGACCATCCTGCAAGTGTGACCGGTTTGCAGGATTCGTGCCTGGAGAGGGGGGGGTAGGCTCCAGCAAGTCAGAGTGCAGAGCACACGGTCAGCGCCAATCTCGCGCATTACCGAATCTCACCAGCCGCTATATACCCTTTGTGCGCCATATCCGTGCCTTTCCATGTAACTTCTCCATCATTATGTGTTTCGGACCCTCCACCAGGAGGTAAGATCATCAAAGCTGGGTTTGACTTTTAAAAGAGTTGCTGTGTCCACGCCAGCTAACCATGAAACCCTCCCAAGCTTTTATCAACCTTCGTCCTCGACTTCGACTTCGCTTCTTGTCCGTCACTTTCTTCCTTGCCTTGTTCATCTTCTGCAGCCCTACCACCGCGCGTGCAGCACCCTCTGTCCACGAGACTCGCAACAACAATCCTCTAAACATCAACAGGGATCTCACACCGTCGTCACCCGAAGACGGACCCCCAGCAGCATCTGCCGGTGCCCTCAGGGACCCCTCTTACCTTCCTTATCAGATCGGCGCCATCGTCGGCTCGTACGGAGTTTCCTTGGTGCTGGTTGCCGCTTTGTTACTCATACTGTCCAAGAGACGCCGCGAAGCCCTAGCGGCCGGCGACGAAGAGGTCGACTTCGAAGAGCCAAAGCCCCATCCCCCAAAGCTCACGCTAGAGGTGCCGAATTCCCCCCGGAGCATCCCGCGGAGCCCCGTTCGCAACTTTTCGTATCCCGGCGCGGACGAATACCAGACGCCGGAGTACCCGACTCCCCAGACACCTTACATCAACCCAACGCCCACTTCGACACTTCACGCGCCCGGAGTAGACTTTGCCGTCGACCAGACTGTGGTCGCAAAAGACAGGAAGATGGCGCAGACGCAACTCGAGGAGATGTACAAGTACGTGATGGAGCAGGAGGAGGCCAAGGCGGCGGGCATCAAGCTGGAAGGCTCGCCGGTGCTCCCCAACAGCCAATCACAGCTGCCCACGCCGACAAACGCCGGCTTCAGCAAGTCAACGCTCAGGAAGGAGAAGCACAAGCCGGGGAACCTGACCCTCGGCGAGGAAAAGGGCGAGAAGAAGCAGTCGAGGGCGTCGTCCATCTTCGCTGCGCTGCGCTCGCCCAAGAAGCAAAAGGAGGTGCGGGGCATCAGCATCTCATCGCCCATCATGACGCCCATGACGGGCACGTTCCCGCGCCAGGAGTCTCAGGAGCTGAGCGCCATCCCGCCGCGGCAGTACGCGCCGCCGCCGCCGCCGCCAGCTGTGCCGGGCAGCACGTCGGCGTACGGGGGCGCGCAGCAGCACCACGGCCAGATGTCCCCCGTCAGCCCGGAGCACTCGCCCGAGAGCACGCAGAGCATCGACGAGCGGATCGGCGGGCAGATACCCTCCGGTCACGCCCGGAACCACTCGGCGGCCCTGTCCGAGATGGAGCACCACTCGGCCGTATCGGAGAGGTCCACTGCCCCGCTCATCGGACTGCCGCAGTCCCCGAAGCCGGGCGCACGGTTCTCCCACACGCTCCCCGCGTCCCCGAAGCCCGGGTCGTCGTTCCAGATCCCCCCGGCTCCGAGTGCCGCGGGTGGATTCCGGTCCAAGGCCCCCTCGGCCGTCCGCACCGGAGGCAACCTGCCGCTGCGCGCGTACGAGCCCGCGATGAGCTCGCCCTCGCTAGTGCCGCAAACCACCAAGCAGACCGTCTTCACTCGCGCGGGCCCGCTATCGCCGTCCGGGGCGCGGACACCAGCAACTGGGATGGCGGTGCCGTACTCGCCCTACCAGCCCTTCACGCCTTGCGTGCCTATGACGCCGACACTAGTTACCAAGGCCGACCGGAAGAGGATGAAGAAGCTGGAGCCCAAAACGCCGACGTTGGAGATGGTCCGGAGTGAGAACGACATCTGGTAAAAGAAAAAGAAAAAAAAGGCAGAAAAAAATATAGCTTGGCCCAAGGCTGGCAAGGAAGGGGGGCTTAGAGAAAGGGAAATACCATATAGACCATGTGGAGGGGGGGATCAAGCGAGCAAAGCCCGCCTAGCGGGCGACCGTGGGTGTAATGTCGTGATGAAATTTTCAATTTTCTTTTTATTCCCCCTTTTTTTTTTTTTCTCTCTTTTTGGTCTGTTTTTCTCGAAGATGTTTTCCTCTTGATTTTCTGTTTTCTTTTTCGAAGCTTTCAAAAAAAAAAAAAAAAACCAAGAGTGCGCGGGCCGGCGGGCGCGGCTCCTTGACAATGTCACTGTCGACGTTTTGTTCCCTGCTTCAAGCGTACTTACGCCGATCGCATTGCGGCAGACACGAGGAATGAGGATGAGGATGAGGATGGCAATCTAGGAGAGGGAGCAGAAGAGAGCGCCGCGAGTCACGCTCCCTATCCACGAGAATGAGTGTGGGTGACGTGAACGCAGGGGATCCAAGGACCAGGAGGCGAGATGAGGGGGAAATCCGCGATGCTGCGACAATATCTGGACTACTAGGATCGACGACTGACGAAGTGGGATATTTTACATAGTAATACTCCGTAGGGGTTTTTCCATTCTGCGCGTCCTTCATCGCCCGCCGGCAATTCCAGGGCCTTTCCGTGACGCGGTGACATGCATGGATGGCCCCCCAAATGTCCCAGGATGGGGAGGAGTGCGTTTCAGAAGACCCGGAAGGGCTGGAGGTGAGGCATGTGACGGTATTGGCCGCATCCTTTCGTGTGTCGGGATGGGCTGGGAAGAGGAGGAGGAGCATGTGTTGATGGGCGGGCTGGCGGTGTTGCGGGTCGGTTGACTGTTCCCTTTGACGATAATAATCCTTCTCGCCCATTCAGATATGAATATAACCTCGCCGCTCTCTGTACGGACGACATGGTCAAAATCACGGACCTCGAGCGAATCAGTACGGATAGTGCAGACCCGTAATGCAGGGGACCTCTTTGCCGCTCCACGGCATCTTATGATGGACGCAGGCAGGGTCTCCTTGCACACCTAAACTAGATTGAGGTAGGTATACCGTAAGCACTCGGCAGGTTGAAGGTTAGCTAGTAGATAGGCTAACGGAAAGGGGTATCTCGGCCGCCGGGATGGGCATAGTGTGCTGGCTGGAACAGGGATCTAGAAGTAGTAAAAGCAGGGGCTCGTCCTTACATAAGCAGCAAGCTCATTGGTTAGGTAGGAGATAATTGGTGCGTAGTCTGACCGCCTTTCTAAGTAGGCTTAGTGCAGCTGATATACGCTAGCTACTTTAGGATGTCCACTAGCTACTACTAGCTAACCTTCAATCTGCCGAGTGCCTTCGGTACTGGTTTGTTGCTGCTGGGGGTGCCTGTGTTGGTGGGCTTTTCCACTCGTTATAGTTAGATCCAGACCATGGCAGCGGTCCTATACTGCCGACTTTGAGCGGAACTCATCTCGAAGGCCTGGAAAGGTTGAGAGAGGTGGCAAAAGTCGAAAAGCCGACAAGAGAGAGAGAGAAAGAGAGAGAGAGAACACAAGAGTCTTGGCCACTGGAAGACGGCAAGGTGCCGGGGCTGGGACTCGTTAGGTGTTACAGAGGCACGGTCGATCGGACAGTCACAAGCATGCGCGGGGGGGTTCAGATTCACACGTTTTTTTGCTTGGCCCGCTGTCAGCGTGGCGGGTTTGATGTCGCACACAGCGCCAATTATGAGACAGACACTTACTGAGGCGTTGGATAAGAGAGGAGGAGGGGGGAAAGCGAAGGGACATGGAAGCGAAGAGGGAGATTAGGTAGAGAAAGACGGCCGGATCCAGCGAGACACGAAGGCCGACCCATGACGACGGAAGCCCGTAGGCAGCTGAGGCAGGCATCGGCAGATGTCAGCTGGCATTGTGGCAGGTGGTTTTGGGCAAGACAGGGCGGCGATATTTCGATGGGAACGGGGCGGACAGCCGAGGGTCACAGCTGCCAGTCTGCTTGCGGCTGGCGTTTGTGGGTTGTATCATTTTTATCATATTTTAGGATGACCGACCCGACGCCGCGGCAAGGCGCCGGTGGAAAACCAATGCCCTTTTTGGACGTTTTGGGACACGTTGGAAGAACAGAAAACCGGGAACACGGAAATTCGGGCAAAAAGAAACAACGACCGCCACGGCCTGTTGGGGGGGCGGGGCATCTTGTCTCTCTCTCTCTCTCTCTCTCTCTCTCTCTCTCTCTCTCTCTCTCTCTCTCTCTCTCTCTCTCTCTCTCTCTCTCTCTTTCTCTCTTGCTTTCATTCTTTCATTCTTTTTCCAAGTTGAGGAAGGAGTGTTTCCTTGGAAGGAATTGATTTGTGGGAAACCATGGTTCACAATATCCACAAGGCTCCTTCCTTTCGCCGTCTCGCTTATTATGGCCTATTGCTGTTTACTTGTATCTATACCTACGATGTAGGTTGGTATCCGTAGGTACTTAGTTTAGGTATGTGTGCCGCACTATTTGGCCGCGCGCGCTTTCTCTGTCGGGCATACCTTGTTTTTCTCTCCTTTCTCCTACCCTTCTAATTTTTCACCTCAGCGTTTCCTTGGCTTCTACCGGAACTGTCTATTCTTTGCGATGTACACTATACTACGCTGGTGGGTCTCTGCGCCGCGACCCATGGGTAGAAAAAATGGTGGATGCTACATAGTACACCCTAAGTGCTGCTTAGCGAAAATGAGAGTGGGTAGGGTAGGGACTACCTAGCGGGAATGCTCCCCGGGGCTGGCTCCGTCTCCAGCGCACCGCCTAGCGGACGCTGAACGGACGCCCTAAGTAAGAAACATAGGCATCCATGTTGAGATGCTTTTATGCAAGGGAGGGTGCATCGATACAATGCATGGAAGAGCGCAGGCACACACTACCGGTACCTACCTGTCGACAGGCATAGGCGGGGCATAAAGAGACTGAGACGGACAGACTCCTTAACCTACTACTACTGTACGGATAGAGTACGAGCACCTGTCTCTACGAATAGTGGCCGAGGATAGGCAGCCGGCGGGCGGGTAGACGGACGGGACAGACACGGGTGGGGACGAGGGAAGACTAAACAGAAGCATCGTCTCATATTGTTTAGCTTGCCGATGTACGTACCTGCCTGACACACGTGGTCCACATGGCATCCGAGCCTACCTCACACCCACAGCCCTTGACCCTTCCCATCCTGGACTCGACGAAGATGCTTTGGGAGGAAAGGACGAGGCCGAGTAGGTAGGGAAGTACATGGTACGCTTCGGTAATCTGCACTGGAAAGAAGGTGCTTTATGTATCCGTACACGTACCTACATACGAAAAAGATACGGATACCTAACTTGGAGGGAAAGAAAGAAAGAAGGGAAAGGGGGGTACAATGAGGCAAGGACGGATCAGGGATGAGCAGGGACGGGCAGGGACGCAGGTGGTGGTCTGGGCTCTTGCTGGTCTCTGGGCTCATATCAGGCGTAGTTTCCAGATAATCGTACGATGGGCACCCCGTTTCCTTCCTTCTCTGCTCTCTCGACTCTCCTCTTCCCTTCCTCTCCCACTCCATTCGCGTCTCTCCCCGAATCTACTACCATTTCTTCCTTGGTCCCCGACTACTCCTCTTTCCCCCTGCACTGCACTGTACTGCACCATTGTACTGTACTGCACTGTACCGACTGTACTCTATTGCTCTCGCCTCACGCTGCTCTCCTTCTTCTTCGGGCAAATCCTGTTGTCTGTCTGTTTGACCGAGTGACAAAGCTCCGTACTCTGTGTCGCGACAGTGGAGTGTGCGTGTCGATTCTTTCCCACACACACACACAACACCTCCCCCCACCACCACCCACCGCCCAACCAACCACTGCATCTCTTGCACACTTACCAAGCAAGCTGCACTACCAACCATACCCATCCCTCCCCTTCCCCATCCCTCCCTTTCCTCCCCCTTCCCTTCCGAACTTGGTGTACCTACCGCAACCCCCGCTCCACGCACATCGATCATCTCTGCACTCAACCCAACCCAATTAACCCCAGCACAACTGCAACTGTGTGTGAGTGGGAGGTCAACTGCGTGAAGAACAATCGCTGCAGGGAACCGCAGGAAGAGTAGGAAGGCAGGGGAGAAGAAAAAAAAAAGAAAAAAGAAAGCCAGCGTCATACGACTCGAGCTTCCCGCCTGGGTCTTTCCGCCTGACCGCGTCTCAGCTGACACAACCGCTCTTCGCATCCATCCCCCCAAATCTGCCCATCCCAATCTCTGCCGACAGTCGTACGACTGACAACACGATTCCCCTCCCTTTGCAGAGTTCGGATCGCTCCCGTTTACACCCCGAATCTCACTGGACCCTGGGGCCCTTCTCGATCAATCCCGTTGCCACCGCCGGCCACTCACATCTCGTCCCGAGGCAGCATCGGGACCCGGCTCGCCAGTCGCAACCGCCCCGGCACTCTAGATGGTTTGTGCCGATTTCGATGAATTAAGCATCAGCCCATAGTTGCATACCAAACAACCCCTCAGCAACATGGCGGACCAGGATTCCAATGCCTTGTTCGGCCTCGATAACAACAACCTCGGTGTCGCCCCGTCTTTCCTCGACGGCTCGGAGGGCCAGAACGTTAAGCCTGGTTCCAACGGTCCCTCTAACCTCGCCACCGACAACCAGTCCTACTACGATACCACCAATTGGTCATTTCAGGACACGCCCCCGTACGACTCATACAATATCGCGGCCACCACCGCCGCTGGCGCCACTCCTCTCTTCCAGACGGCTACGCCTTGGGAACTCTCTCCAAATCAGCAGCAACAACACCAGCACGTCGTCCCGAACGTCTCCTCTGCCCTCGACCACTCGACCCTCGCTCAGGCTGGCTTTTATGCCGCCTCCACTCCCGCCCCCGCCCCCAACCATCACTCCCAACAAGCTGGCAAACACCACAGCCTTCCGCAGGAGAACCCGAGCCTCTTGACACCCGCCCAGCAGGAA